AAACGGACGTGCTCGGACGTTTCTGGGCGATTCTAGGGATCCCTTAAGAGTTCTGAGGCTACTAAAGTGGTCACTAGAAATGCCCCCGACACGTCCGATTCGCGTCCCGTTCGCGTTTTCAAGGTCTGAGATGTGAAAATTAGGCTTGAAAATTTTTAGAATACTGCTTTTTACCTTATTTAATATTTTAATACAATCGCCTCGAATTATCCGGCTATGAGAAACTCTAAAAAACTTTTTTCCAGCCAAAAGAAGAAGGAAAACTGAAATTTGATAATTTTCAAGCCTAAACTGTTCATTTTCAAAAAGCTTTTTCTCAGAAGCCTATGGGTTTAGCAGATAATCTCTCTTGTTTCCAAGTACTCTTACCCGGGTCTATAAGCCACCAAAGTTTCAACTCGAAACGCGTACCCTGAGTCCGAGTAGTTCCCTAGTTAAACATATTTTTGAACGGAGAACCCATTCTTTCTTAAGCTTTATTGTTTTTTTGCTTATGATAAGCTTATGTTTTTTGGGAGACAAAAATACTCGTTGAGTTGGGAAAAATGATAGAAATTCTTAAGATCGCTATTTCCAATAGGATTGTAGCAGAAAGTGTTTGCGGTCAAAAAAATTTTTTCGGTTACGATGCACTTAAAATCAAATCTTTACCACTCGCGTGCTGGCGAGTAGCACCCGAGGGAGCTATCGCCAATCACCCGTTTAACCTCAGCCGAGCACCAGAAACGCAATTTTTAGCCGCGATTAGGCCACTTTTAAGTCCAGCGGAACTAGGCAAACGCCCAATTCACACGCCGAGCTCCGGTTGAGGTCGAGGCGATCACTCGTTACGTTGAAAAACACCGGGTGATCGACATTAGCATCGTTTCGCAAACCTGTTAGCCCAACGGGTGCTACTGACCAGCACTAGACCACTTGAACGGTCCATTTATCCTCGTCACAGTAGTTTAACCAATTACCGTATCGTATACGATACACGCATGTTTAAGACAATGCTGCGGCGGCCGGTCAATATTGCGCCGTCAGTTTCGGAACCAGGAAATTTTTTTTATGTTTTATCTTTTTCGCAACTTGTTAAGAACCTACTTCTTGAGGTTACAAGATAAAGTATGCCACAAAAAGTACATACGCTTTCATTTTGAAACCGAAAAAACCTATCCTGACTACCGTAATCCTACCGGCCGCCTTAAACAGGCGTACGCGTGATGCCTGAGAAAAAGCTTACTCTGAAAAATAAGTTTGGAAAAATTACCAATGCGTAGAAATCGCTGTTGAAGACAGGGTAGATGCACTCGAACTCGGTGAGCTCGAATATTTGATGGCCTAACAAAAGAAAGTTGAAAAATTCTCGTGATTCATGCCGTTTTCTATGTGTTTCCGTGAAACCCAAAACCACCACGCCAGAATGAAAAATTTTGGAGAATCAGTGGTAACTTTGGATTCAGCGGAATTAATTCGAACACTTTTTTTATATTTTTTTAAAAAAATTAATAAAATATACTCCAATGCGTGTTTTTAATTCAAAATGAGTATAGTCTGTGTATCAGGACTTGGAATTTCACCAAACGACATTCCGTTGTTCCGCTGCGTGCTCGGCCGCGCCCTCAATTATTTATTTTATTTAGGAACTCGACCAACACGTGTCCTTAGTGGAACAGTCCATCTATCAAAAATGAGAACCAATTCAAATGAAACCGAGGCTCGCAAAAACGCTTCGCGACGCAGAGGAACAGCGGAACGTCGTTCGGTGAAATTCCAAGTCTTGGCACACAGACAACAATAAAACTTCGTTTACAGTCAAAAAGTGAGTTAAAATGAATAAATTTGCGAAATGTCGTTGACCTCTGTGGTAACGTCGATCATCAACTGATCTGGATGAGCGTCCGAGTTCCGCTCGTCGATGTTCACGTTTTCCTTGTGCTCCTGCTCAAAAAACTATTTTTAGCTTCATTTTTGACTTTAATGATGAAATGGATCATATTAAAGAAACAAAACTTTTGAGGGTAATTTTTCAGGGAGCGATACATTTTCGAGGCCTCAGCGAGCGTTACTCTCGCTGCGATATAGCCCATATAGCTAATTCACGGCTAACTTGGGACGCTAAGGGGGCGTGTCCTGTCTGCGCTCTCCACGAGCCAGGCGCTATCTCGTGCCTTGTCAGGACCCATTTTTTGATGAGAGAAGCCAGCCGTGAATGAGCTATAATATTGGGTGCACAACAGTTAAAAAAAAATTAAAATTTTAAAATAATTGGTTGAGAATAACAGTAAAGACAAGATTTGAAAAAAAATAGCCTATAATGCACTTTTCTACGGAGAAAGCTCAATTTAACGGATCGGGATTAATTTCCTTTCGGATTTTTTTAAACCAGGTAATCCACGGAGCAAAAAGCTCCTAGAGTTCCCTTTCATCTTCCGGAAAAATTCGCGGCCACTTTAGGGGGGTTTTTTTAGTTTTTCTGGTCAACTAATAAGGTCAATTTTTTTGGTATTCTCTTATTTTTTTCTTTTTGAAGAAACTCATAATCCAGATGAAAATATGATTGAAATCACATGAACAGTCAAATTTTTAATATGAAATTCGAAAAAAATACCACTGTCTAAAAAAACGCAACTGCGTTCAATTAGAAATCGCCCGGAAAATTCTCATTTTGAAAAAAAAGCGGTTTCGAATACGCTTCAACATGAGCTAATAAACAATTTTCTATTTTTCTGAATCAATTTCCTTCTTGGGCCAAAATTAAATCCCACTTAATCGCATGATGGCCAGGTGGCTCAACGGGTGTACCCGCATTAAACCTGTTTTTTTGAGGTTAATTTGAGTCTCAGTTGGGCTAAAAACTATCGCGAGAAACAAACTTTTATTGGCACGAAGATCGGAAGATCATTCTCAATATAGCTGATTCACGGCTGGCTTGAGCCATCGAAAAACGGGTTCAGACACGATAATACACGAGATAGCGCCTGGCTCGTGGAGAGCGCAGACAAGACACGCCCCTTAGCGTCTCAAGCTAGCCGTGAATCAGCTATACCCAGCATTGATTAATTATCCAAACAGACCCGACTTGATCTGAATTCAAAAAAAAACCTCTTTCGCAATATTACGAAACCCCCAAAGATTGATTACCGACGACGCAGCTCAAACCGATGGATCACCCACGCAATCATTTCGAAAATATTCAAAATGATACAACCCCGCCTCCATCAGAACCTATGAATTCATAAAACGATCTGATCGGCTCAATAGAGCCGTTGCAACCACTTTTATTTTTATCTATTTTTATTCCCTTTATTTTCCTATTTTTCCCTTTATCTTATGTTTTACTATATTTTTGGTACTTGACTAATAAAGCATTAAAAAAATCAAAGCTCGCAGAGAAATACACCAAAAAGTATTCTACACTCAAAAAAATCACTGAACTACTCAAATTGCAGCGACTTTCTATTAGAATACCGAAGCTAATAGAGACGCCAAAAAAACGAGGGAACAACGGGTGTAAGAAAAATATGTAACAAAGCTGTGCTAAAGCGGGGACTCAGTTGGGTTTAAAATTGCCAAAACTTCTACCAACTGTGCTTATACGGGTTTAGAACGGGGGCACCCGCTGAGACCCCGTGTTAGCACGGCTGGGCCACCCTAATCAGCATGCGAGTTTTCACATTCGAAGGTCTTCATAAGTGGAAAACTCAATGAAAAACAAATTTAATCGGAAATCGCGATGGAGAGTTTAATGATGTTTTTCTATTTTGAAAAATTGGCTAGAATATTTCTTGACGTAGCACGTTATCGAATCTGAACATTTCAAGCTGCAAAAACTTCCTAGTTTTCGAAAAAAATATTATCTTATAGACAAAAAAACCTATAAAATTTTGTTGGAATAGGCTATTTTGAGCCTATTCACAAGAACTAAGTTTTTGCAAGCTGAGATATTCAGAATCTTCCTCCGGTACAAAAAAGAATTTCACGAAACAAAAAAACCTTGCCAGCCAGTTATTTTTCTGGTCGACTGAATTTCCAGCAAAACTCACCATTTCCAAATGTCCTCTCGACAATTTCAAGGCATCGAGGAAACTCGGAGCGTCTTGGACAGTTTCGCAGAGTTCTCGGAAACTCGGGCCAGTCCGTAGGTCCTGCAGGCGTCCGTCGGGATTCCGCCGGTCGGAAAAAAGCCGTCGAGGAGGTGGTCCTCCTTCGCCGATCCCCTCCGGCGAGAGAAAACTCCTTGAGAAAACTCCAGAAAATAATTAAGCGGAGGAGGGGTTGGAAAAGTTTAGTAAGCGTGAACGATGTGTAACTTATTTAATTTTTTTTCAAGATATTTTTCGACATTTTTCTTCATTTTTTCTAAATTTCAGGTTTCATATTTCAAAAAAAGAGTCATCGAAAGGAAGAAAGAAAAAAACGAAAGAAGAACAAGAACAAGAAAAAAAAGAAAAAAAGATGTTTCGTGCTAATCCAAAAATTTTTTTCTACAGCCAGTCGTCTCTTTTCGAGGTCTTTTTCAGTCCTTTGTTGTTGTTTTTCAAATTTATTTTTACTGGTTCAACCCGTTCCAGGAATCAGGACCGGTGGAGCCGATCGAATCGTTGATAATTTGTGGGCGACCGTCCCTCGGCGCCTAAACTTTCGTGATTTTTTTATTTCATTCATACATGGGCAGACTTATTTTAGGGCGAAAGAAAGAAAAATATAAGATAAACAACAAGAAGAAGAGGATCCTCGCCAAAAAAGAAGTTTTATGCTAACCCCTGTATATTGTTACCCTTATACTAATGCTTATGTTTGACATTATTGCAAATAGAGAAGATAAAAGCCTAGACTTTGAGTTTAAAAAAAAATTCAAACATTACATAATGCAGATTTCGAACACTCTTCTGTAGAGAGGAGCCGACCTCATGACATCTACAGACTGAAACTGGCCTTTCATCCACTAGGCTTCATCGGAAAGAGATCCTGCTCGTCGACAAAGTTTTGGGTGAGTATGTCCGTGTGTAGTGGTCCTTAAATAATGTTTCCATGATGTTATTGATTAGGACAAAGTCTTTTTTCTTTTTCAAACCTCAAAAATGGACAATATAGCACATTTGAAAAATTTTCTCTGTCCTCGAGGTGTTTGCGCGTGCTGTTTCCTGGAAAATCTACGTTGGCCGAGACGTTTACGGCGGTATCTTGGATTCCTTGAAGATGAAGTTTTTATCCCTTCTTTTCACATCAATTTCTGAATCGGAACTATCGAACCATAACGTATGCTGAACTAGAGCTTGGTCGGAAAAGCTTGAATGCGTCTGGAAGATTTGTAAAGGAGTTTTCGCACTGTTTTACGCTGTTTTTTGCGGTTTTTTAATATTTTTATCTTCAAAAGCTTTGGAAATTTTTTTTCATGATGATTTTCTGATTATAGTCTGTTCAGATTTTGAATGTCAAGCAGCTAACTCCACCCCCAAATCTACAATATTTTTCACGTCAATGTTTTATCTACAGATGCCAATGGCCCTTTAATAAGGCTGCATTTTTTGACTTCTTTTTCTATCTTTTAGATCGAAAAAGATCAAAATTAGTCCCGCGCGATGAAAAATCGACGCGAAAAGGTACCGTCTCAGCAGGGGCGGAATTAGCTGGTTGACATTCAAAATCTGAACAAACTATATATATCATTGAAATAAAGTACGTCTCTTTTTTTATCATGCTTTGAACAGTATAAATGGGTCTGGAAGAATGGAAATCATGTACTGGTTTTTCGGTTTTTTTGAGAATTTTCGACTGTAAAACGGTTTTTAAAAATTTTTTTCGATATGATTTTTTTCGATTCTACTCTATTGAATTGATATATATATATATATCTATATATATATATCATATAGATATCACTTCTCACAGTGAGAAGGAAGATCATCATCGAAGATGACCATCAAAGTATCAAAGTAAGTAAGTAAAATAGTATATATATATATATATATATATATATATATATATATGTCACTTAAGAGACTGTTCTGAAAAGTATAAGTGGGTCTGGAAGATTGGAAAACATTGATTTCCACTGTTTTTTTGCGCTTTTTCGGCAGTTTTAGAGATTTTTTTCGGTAACCAAACGTTTCCAAATCAAATTTTTCATTATGATTTTTCTGATTCTACACCTTTGAATCAGTAGATCTTTGTATTTTGAGCTTGTTCTGTGAAGTAAAATAGCGACGACTTGACATTTAAAATCTGAACAGACTATATTTATTGATTGACCGCGTGCGAATTCTGATTGAATTTGAAAGTGAACTCCGTTAGCTATTTTTGAGGATGCGCCGATTGACCAAAGTTGGTGACCAAACCAAGAAGAACTATATACGAGGAAAAAACATAACTTTTCCGGTTCTCTTCCTTCACGCCACAGATCTGTCTGTGAGCGAAAATAAACATTTTATATATACCCCTACAAAAATGTGCTCAATTGGAGATAACGACTTTTTAAACTTTGCCAACCTATATGTTTTTTCATAGGTCTCAAGGGCAACTTCTGAACACAGATTTGGAATCAGCGTAAAAACTACATCTAATTTAGAAGTCCCGCTGTGAGCTGAGAAAATTTCCTAGTAAGAAGTTTTCCAGGGCCACTCTATAGTCTGTTCAGATTTTGAATGTCAAGTGCAATGACGTCATTCAAAAACACTCTGTGGATGGCTCGCGCTCTGATTGGTTTATCGCACCATTATGAGCGGAGCTTGAGCGACGACTTGACATTCAAAATCTGAACAGACTATAGCCCGTTCACGGCTGGTTTGGGACAGCGAACGGGCGGTTTAATTTTCGCGGCAAAAGTAGATCATGGCGAATATCCATGCGCCTTTCATAAAAGCCCTATTTTTTGGCTTATTTGTTTTTATTTTGTATTTTATCGATTTAAAAAAAAATCTAAAAACCAATGATATGAATGTAAACAAAAAAAATTCACCAAATGAGTCTCTTATTAAAGGCGCATGTATGGCCACAATGATCTACCTTCGCCACGAAAATTAAACCGCCCGTTCGCTGTCCCAGGTCAGCCGTGAACGGGCTATATATGGGTCATCGGAATGTAGACGAGACGTTTTCGAAAACATGCATTTTCTCATAGCCTCTTGAAATCCTTGCCATTTTTCCGAAAAGAAATCTACATTTGCCAAGATGTTTAATTCAAAATATGCAAATAGCTTTTATGTGCACATGAAAGTTGTTGATTCCGCACTGTAATAGTAATTCAAAACCTTCCGAAATTTTTCAATACTAAAATGAAATCAAAAAAACATTATTGAATTGTATTGTTTCATTGGCTTATAACAGATAATCGAGTTGATAAAGCTATGTGGTTCCCAGAAAATATTTTTAAAAAAAGCAATATTCACTTGAAAAATAAGGAGGTCACCATTAATATTGAAAAGAAATATGAAATACCTTATAAAAAAATTGAGCAAGAAGAACGGCCCGTGTTCGAACAAGTAGCAGAAAAAAATCCTTCGTCGTCATTTCAAATGTTTTTCAGTTTAATCGCGAGCTCCGTGTATGCAGTCAACGTCCACAGTAAGCCGAGCATGTTTTAAACTCCAATGTTATTCCCAAAAAACCAGAAGCAAACAAAAAAATTATTTTTATTTTTGCGATACGATTAAATTTTTTTATAAAGTTTCCCTACAGTATAATTTAAATAAAACGGGACTTTGATAAGAAAAAAAGATTTCATAAATGCAATCAGTGAAAAAAAGCCGTGCCGGGAACCAGTAATAAAGGCGGAAAAAAACGATGACTCTAATTTTTTTCTCCTTGCTGGTCTCCTGGGACTCTTTCTCGTTTTTCCTTCGCCTCGCTCTCCTTCTCCTTCTTCTCACCGGCGACCTTCTTGTCGTCTTTCGGCTTTTTTCGTATCTATCTTCTTGAGCTGGGGGTACATCTTCGCCTTTTTTTGACGCCCCCTGAGTTGCCCTACGGTTCGCTCGGAGGCGGCACTTGCGAATCTTGTACAGATCGATCACGCGATTGAGGTCTTCCATCTCTTCTGAAAAAATTGAACATTTTTTTCCGCAATTTTTAGACGCTTTTGACAAAAAATAAATCCGCATGTATGCCTTAAATCACCTACAAAAAAAGGAAGTTCTCACCTTCCATACGAACCATGGCCTTCTCGTATGTCTCTCCCGGAAGGACCGCCTCGGCCGTAGTCGTCTTCTCTGAAACTCGTTTTTATTGAAAAAAAATTCCATATTTCGAGTTTATCGACCGCAAAGCGCTAACATTGTTAAAAAACTTCCTCAGTCGCATTGATATTAATAAATTTTCATTTTCTTCCAGTAATCGACTTTCAGTGGAAGAAAATGAAAACGAACTATTCCAGAAGTAGGTAGTTCCGCCAGGAGGCGACTACTCGAAACAGCAGGAAGATCTGAGGTGCCCCGTCAGCAGTCAGTACTGGGATTCGCATAAGGATAAAACGAACTATTCCAGAAATATGTGTAGTTTTTTTCCTGCGACGCCCAACTTCTGGGCACGGAATCGCTCGCCATTCTCGAGAAGGTTGTAGAGTTCTGTATCACCGTCTCCGTCGTTCTGGCGCAACATCTCGAGGTCCTTCAAAAAAAGTCTGGAAAAAAAGAAATGATGTAAAGAAAAAAATTAGTTACTCAGGCGAATTCGGGGAAGGTGTTGGGAAGCTATTCGGAAGGCTTTTCGACCACTTGCTGGAAACCTTCCGAACGCCTTCCACGGAACTGGACGCTGATCTTCCCAACGCCTTCCCAGTGCCTTCCGAACAAGCCGAAGTACTGACCCTGGATGTGGCAGCCTTTTTTTGCCATCGTCCTTGCACGGGCAACCCCTGAGTCAAAGGAACTCGTAGATCGCCCTCTCGCTCACGGATAATCGTCGTGTCGTATACGGCTCCGCGCGTGGACATCACGGCATCCTCCACCATCCTAACGAGCACGTTCATAGCTGAATTATGTTATCAAGGATCGATGATGATCAACTGGTTTTTCAAATCCTAAAGCTGCAATTTTTCTAATTTTACCTATTCTGTGAGCCTCCAGGACCTCTTCGAACTTGTTGCAGATCATGGCTAGAACAGTAAATGTTTGCTCTGAAATTGGCAAATGATTTTGTCATCTCTTTTCAAGGCTACTCACTCAGCTCGTCGGACTCTCCGGAGAACTGTTTGGAGATTTCCGGGCATGCAGACGTCTTGATTCGCAACGGTTTGCAGAGAGCTCGGGGCGTCACGTCCTTCGGGATCTGTCCAGCGTACTTTGGGTCGACCTCCGACTCTCTGACTCTTGGCGGCGGCAGCGGTTCTTCAACCGAACCCGCACCTTGAGCCGGAGTCTGAGCAGCAGTTTTGTTGTCGGTGAGCTGAAAGATGAGACCGGAATCAACTTGAAAGCCAAATGTTTCTCTACTTCGAAGCGTCTGAGCTTTCGTCTGCTAACTCTTATAACAGTTAAGCTTTCTTAACATTCAAAAACCGAAATTTTTTTCTTTCAAACTAACCTGAGTCGTAGACTTGCCGACAGGTTCCTTCGAAGTGGTCTCCTGCGAGGGCGGCTTTTTTAGCGTCTTTCTTTGCAGGGGCGGGCTGTTTGGCAGCGGCTTCGGCGCCAGCAGGCTTGCGGTTGGTCTGAGGAGCGGGAACCTTGTCCTTGGAGGCGGGCACCGACGACTTTGTCTGATCCTTGGACTGCGGCTCTGGTCTCTTCGGCAGCTGTCCCTCCCTGGCCAACTTCTTTGGGTCCACGAACATCGAAGGATCCATATAAAATGGGGCATCCGGCTTGACCTTCTTCCGACTCGATGACTTCATCGCAGCCATCAGATCATGATTTCGCTGACGTGTGTCCGAGATGGGCTTCACATTCTTCGGAGGATCGAACTTTCCCTTTGTGACAATGCTCGCCTTTACTTCTTCGTACTTCTGCAGCGCCTCCTGGACGTCTTCGGACATGATTCCCTCTCTGGCCCGCCGGAAGACTTCATCATCCGTGACAGGAGTGAATTTATCATCAGGCGGCTCCCCAAAGTCATCGTCGGGTTCCAACTTCTTGCCTTGCTGGACTTTCCAGAATCGACGCGCAGCCAACTTCTTCTCTCTTGCCACATCATCGTCTGAAAGAAAAAAAATAAATAATTTCTGCCGGAGTTTGCTCCGCATGGAAAAAATAGAAAGGAAAATCCGTTCAAAGAGACTCGGAACTGAGCTCGAGAAATTTAAGCTCAGAAAACAAAGTTCAAGTTCTTACGTGCATCATCGGCAGCGTCAGCGTGCGTATCCGAAAAGACTCGCATCACTGAAATTCCTCGGATTAACCACGTAAATTGAAAAGAAAAAACTAACGCGAGCGACAATCTTGGTCGCATAAGTTGTAAATGGCCCTGTCGAAAACTTGAGCGGCGTACGAACCTGAAAACAACAATTTTTTAAAATTTAAAATCGTTAACAAGAAAGGATTTACGGTTGGGGAACTTTGGCCAGATACTGTTCTGTGAAAATGTCTCGAAGCCTCAAACTCCAAACTCGGAAAAATTTTCAAAAGTGAGACTCATTGGAATAATTTTTTTACTATAACATCAACGAGCATTTACTTTTCAAAAAGCCTTTATAATTTCTCGAAGTTTTTGAAGCTCATAATTATATTTTTTTGTTTCTTTGTTGTTTTTAAGTTCTATTTTTTTGGTAACTAAAAAAATTAAGAACATTCTTAATTTTTGCTATCAGAAAAAAACCAATACCGAAGGAAGCTAGGACTAGGTCCTTTTTGTGGCGCCATAAGTAGAGCTTGAGGGCGATGATCGTCGAAACGATGCTCACAATCAGAAGGACCACTATCACTCCACAGGCGATGTACAGCAGCGTGTCTGTGAAGAAAAGTCCAGATAACTCTTTTCAATTTTGTCGAAACTTCAAAGAACTGTTGGCTCAATGATGTAAAAAAATTATAAAATGATATCTGAAAAAGGTTATGTTTCTACATTTTCTCACTGTAAAACCTCTACATTTTACATCCTTAAATACCCACTATGTTCACTGAATTTAAATTTTCAAAAAGGTTAATTACTTTTTTTCAAAAAGCACTTTCATTTTTTTATCACTAAAATTCAGTTTTCCAGTTGGTTTTTTTCCAAACTCACTGTTGCTAGAGCACTTCTCCTTCTCGGCATCTATCTTCTGCGTGCATAATTGGGAGATCACCGCGGCGGAAGAGTTCGAGCTCGAAACTCCCACTCCCTGGGTCGCGCCGAGAACCGTCGGCTGAGTAGTCGTCAGTGACTTGCATGCAGCTAGAGTCTGAAACAAGATTACTTTTTTTCTGAGAATTTTTTTCGAGTTTTTCCTTTGAAACCATTCATGCTCTTAAAGAAAGCTTCTAGGTTGTCCAAAGGGAAATAATCTTGCAGAAGCGCTCAATTACATTTACTTTTTCAAATCTAAACTAAACTTTTTTTGATATTATGCCTTTGACGAAATATTCTAGTGTTTAATATACAATTCCTTTGAAAATTTCCCATGATTTCAGTGAAGATTGATTTCCGACGATAAGAGCTTTGAATATTGAACCATATTTTTTTCTTAATAGTTCTAGAAAATCTTTTTCCTCTTACAAATATATTAGAAGGCTACTCGTGACTGTAAATTTGAGCCTACTTGATGGATATTACAAACAATAGAAAGCGATCGGCTTTGATGATGTGATTTCCTTCTGAGAGTTATAAAACTGCTAAAATGTTTTTGTGCAACTTTTTATAAAAAGCATAAAATATTTTAATCATTTCGCGTCAAGACAAACTTTCTACGAATTTAGGAAAAATCAGCTGGAAATTTCGAAAAAAACTGAAATATACTTTTTTTATCTCCTCGTTTATTCTAGAATACCTTATTTTTCCACTTTGTGCAGTCGGTCGAGTATATCTTGAGGGGATACTTCCTTCTATCTTGATCAGTTCGGTACCGCCGTTGCAATAATTCGAGATGTCGTCCACTTTGATCGTTTTTAACTTCGCGAAAGATTCATCGATCAACTTGACGTTCATCAATGTCAATGCTGAACCTACAAACAGAAGATGATTTTTCCAAAAATGGAAGCAAAAGGAGTCTAATGAAATAGTAGAGAACAATAGAAACAGTAGGGAGATGTAAGCCCAGGTTCCCTTATTCCAAATCAAATAAAAAAACTATACTTTTTGTTTTAAAGTTTAACCGAAAATTTATTTAAAATATCCAGTATTTCCTTTTTTTCAGTATTAAATGAAACGTACCCGGTCCCTTGTGGACAATCTCTACCAGACCGGCAAGATTGTAAGTTGACGTGTTTCCAATCATGATGATCGTACTGCTTTTTTTCACCGAAATCAAAAACTTGTAGACATCTCCAGTAGATTGCGCATTTTCTGCGTAGATCACTTCTTCGGTACATTTCGACTTATCGCATTCGGTTGGGATAGCTTCCTTATCTCCGTACGCATAAATGGGCCTCTTGCAGCAATCTTCTGCAAGTTGAGGATTCTCATTGATTGTAACAGGGCTGGTGTAGTGAATGCTCGTTATCTAGACGCTTTCATTCTCATGAAACTTATTTTCCAATAAGATTTATTCTTTCGATTCTATAAATCGCAACGCACTTTTCATGGAGCAAGGAATCAATTTTCCCCAAATCTGTAGCAAAAAAGGATATGAAAATGTTTTTTTTCTCAAATTTTCCGATGTGTTTCTAAATATTGAGTACATCAGTATCTTTTATTTACTGTCGGCTGAATATGACAAAAAATGTTATCTTAATAACATTCTTCGATTTCTGCAAAGACATAGCGACACTTCCAGTGAAAACGCAAATTCTGTTTCGTGACGTCATCTTGACCTAACTTATTAGATACTACGTCTGAACTTTTCGAGTTATAATATGATAAAATGAACTGATAAAAGCCTATGAACTCTATAGAATTATGGAGACTTCACATTAAAACTCGAACGTGAAGAAATTTTTCAGGTTCGTCGCATTCTTCCAATCAAAGTGAATTAATATATAGAACAAACATTTCCACTTATGTATTTCTCGTTTTTCATAAAGTAAAGTGGAGTAGCGTTTTGCGATTTTACAAAATCGCGACGTGGTTACTATCCCGCGTCAGTCATGAAGCTAACCTTCTCGACAAAAAGTATAGTCTGTTCAGCTTTCAAATGTCAAGTCCTCGCTCAAGCTCCGCCCCTAATGGCGCGATAAACCAATCAGAGAGCGAGCCACCCACAGAGCGTTCTCGAATGACGTCATTCTTCTTGACATTCAAAATCTGAACGGACTATATAAAGGGAAAAAATAAGCAAACCAGCAGAAAAAGCGTTCAGCATTGCTATCATTAGCAACAGCTTCAGACTCAATTTTCCTGAAATAAAAAGCATAACTTAGAAAAATGAAGATACCTTCAATGCGGTTCCACTTCATGATGGGCGAAGTGTCCGTTGCTGAAAAAAATATCAATATAATTAAAAGAAACACAAAAAGAAAAAAACATCTTAAAGCTGATTAGGTTTTCTATGGCCTACAATCATCACTTGGTTGGGATTTGGTTCCGAGCCTGATCATTCCGAACAAATTGAGTAATCATCCTAACCAAAAAGGGACTTTTTCATGTGTTCATTCCGAACAAAAAACATGTTCATTCCTAATCAAACGCACGTTCTTTCAGAACCAAAGGTACACTTTCTTCATTCATTCAATTTGTTTATTTTTCGCAACATCGGGATGGTATGGTGATGTTGCAGGGAGGAAAAAAAAGACCACTAGGTGGATTAACTAACCACGGCGTTCTTTTGACGACGCCCCTCCCACAATTTCCGTAATGTTTGACGTCTTTTGTGCATACACAGAACGACGCTAACTCGCATACTCATTAAATTCAAAAATAATTTTTTTCCTCGAAAAATAGCGTTTTTTCAAAACTATAGACGTGGAAAAAATCGATCCTTTCACAATTCCTTTTCTAGTTGACAAAAAAACATTTGGGTGAAAGTTTTTCTTATTTTCTGAACACTTTCATACCTTTCATCCTCAAAATTGGTTAAAGTCCTTTTTTTGAGTGAAAAACGTGGAATTTTGTGCCGAAAATGACTTATTGTGGTTCTATGTGTCTTTCCCTGACTTATTGAAAAATTAAAAAAAGTTTTCTTTTACAGATTTAGTTTAGTTCATCCACCTAGTGGTATTTTTTTCTCCTCTGCAACATCGCCATACCATTCTGATGTTGCGAAAATGAAGAGATTGATTGATTCGAATAAAAAAAATTTAATTTGACACTGAAAAATGTTGCTGAAAGGCTTTTTTTTTTTGCTTTAAAGGGAAAATTTGGTCAAAACACAGAAGTTAACAATGAAAATTGAAAACAAAAAGTTCCTTCGCAAGAAATTCAAATGTTCGCGCGCAAGCTGTCTATCAGAATCTAGGTGGAGCAACCCTTCCAAGCCGCTCCACATTTTTCAAAAAAATTTTACATTTTCTTCCACTGCGCAGAACGCCGTGTAACCCCACCTGTATCTTCCGTTGATTTCTCAAATTTTTTTAAACGAAACTTCTCTTTTTGCAATTATTTGTCATTTTTTGATGTGCTTCCAAGTCGAGAAAAGCGGCCGGCCCTTTTTCGAACCATGATTTTCCAAACCAAAATCAGAATCATTTCTTAGGCGATCAATTCCAAGCCGCTCTCTATTTTCCAGATGGCGGAAAATAACTTTCCAAATTTTTTTCCAATCGGCCGCCTCTGACCTTTCTTCCCATTACCAGTTCAAATGTTGCAAAATAAGGTTTCTTCGGGTTATGGCTTTTTCCAATAATTGCGAACTCTACTGTGAATCGTACAGATGTATTCGAACAGAATTTGCGAACTTTCAAAGAGACCGCAGAAAAATGGAGATTTTTCGGAAACACATGTTCAAAGCTTTTCATCAATGCCGTGCTCCGCTTACGTGTTTACTCGAGGAGCCAGAAGCCTCCGCCGGGATTCAAACTCACGTTGGTCGACGTTGGTCTGATGACGATTCGTTTCAATAGCTAGTTCAGCTCAGCGTAGTTTTTATATACTCTCACTCTATTGCCAAGTGGCATTTCCACGTCAGCGTCTATTTTTGATAATTTGGAGTCTGTTTCGATAAAGTATAAAGTAAGGATGACTAACATTCTTTATACCGTGTTTAAAGTAAGAAAAACTGAGTCCCACAACGATTTATCGCCAGATATAACCCGTTCACGGCTGGCTTGGCTAAAGAGCGGGTTAGCTTGCACGGAGATGGTAGATCATGACGACTATCAATGCGCCTTCCGCAAAATGCTGAATTTATGAATTTTTTTATTTCGGTGACTGAAAGAAAATCTGAATTTAATGAAACTAATTTAAAAGAAAAAGTAAATTCAATTGAAAAAAATAATTCATCAAACGAGGTTCTTTTTTTAAAGGCGCATGTATGGCCGCCATGACCTACCATCGCCGCGCAAGTTAAACCGATCGTTCGCTGTCCCAAGCCAGCAGTGAACGGGCTATAAATGGTTTTCTGTTACTCACTAAAGATGAATACGGAGTCTGGCGCGAGAGAATGCTAGGTCGGGGCGGTACATTGACGAACTCGCAAACACCTCGCTCTGTCCTCGCGCCGATGCCGCGAGCACTGTCTCATCGCGTGCGACGATGATTATTTAATAACGCCGAATTTTTTAAAGTCTTTTTTTGATACGAATCCTAGAAAAAAGTCAAAGAATGCATTGAGATTGACGAATCACCTTCGAAAGAGTTCCTAAAGAGAACTCGCAGGCGAGCCGATAAGTCGTGTCATTTTACCGCGCCACAGGTTAGTGCGACAAGCCGGGCGGCCCGGGCCGGACTCTGGAAAAGATTTGAAATTTCATTCCCTTTAGCTGATTCACGGCTAGCTTGGGACGGTAAGGGGGCGTGGCCTGTCTGCGCTCTCCACGAGCCAGGCACTACCTCACGCATTATCGTGTCAGGACCCTTTTTTCGATGGCTCGGGAACGGCGCGTTTGGAGAAGTGTCGCTTGCGGAGATCAACCACCCGGCTTTCGAACAGGACAAGGCGGCCGTGAAAACGGTAGGCCTTGAGAAATCGAATTTATCCAGGAAAAGTTCGAAAAACACGTCTAGAGCTGAATTTCGAAATTTGTTGTGTTGATCAAGAGTTGCAACAAGTCTGAATTCTGGGAATTCTAAAGATCTCAGAACATTTTGATGGATTGGAATAAAAATAGGGATAAACTTGCGTAGAGCATCATTTTGTCCGTTGTGCGGTATTGAAGTTTTGACTTTCGTTGAAAATTAATTAAATTTGAAGTACTTTTCGGACTTTTGTAATGCACTGCTAGCGGTTACTTTAGCGGCGTCAGCGCTCTTAAGTGATTACTAGAAATGCTCAGATGCGTTTTTTCAAGTGACCGAGGTCCGAGTTCTGTCAAATATGTAGTGTGCGATAAAAGTGTTCTGTGGAAAAAATAAAGACGCAATTTCTGGGGTTTTAAGGTGAAGAAAGGCGTACCGGCGCACCTCGGACTTGAAGAAAAGTTCCTTGTTGAAGGAACAATCTCCATCCCTGCTGGACCACCCCTAATGTTGTCCGCACATTAGGGTGGTGTTACGATTCTAAACCTCTGCAGCTACTGATGGAACTGTGTCCGGGTGAGGCTTCCAAAAAAAGCATTCCTTCCAATCTCTATGAAAAGTCTCTGTGAGATTAGTTAACTTCGAAAATAATTTGAAAAAATTGCGGAAAATATTTTTAAACGAGAATTTTGCGATCGCTGATGTCAATTAGACTTTTTGACACATATCCGCCTAATCTTCGAATTTATGAATTCTTTCCGCCTAAAGCTTCGGCGGAAGTCTATTTCTTTTGAGCTTACCGTCAATTTTTGAACTAATATCGTTTTTTGAAGGTGGAGCTCTAAGCACTTTTCTCATGGCCAAGTCTGAGAAAGCCTCGAACCTGACCTTGACGAGGTTCTGCCTCGATGCCGCGAGGGGACTTGAGTATTTGTACGACGTTGGGGTCCTACACAGAGATGTAGCCGCACGAAACTGTCTTATAGATGAACACGGAACGGTATTTTCATGGAACCTGCAGAGAATTCACCAAATTTTTCAGGCAAAAGTGGCGGATTTCGGGCTTTCGGTTAAGGCCTACTACTATGAGATGACTACCGCGGAAAACTTGCCTACCCGCTATTTGCCACCTGAAAGCCTGACGAGCTACTCTTTTAAGGCCGAATCGGACGTCTACGCCTACGGGGTTTTCTTTTTTCTCATATCTGACAAAATTGGAAACTTTACAGCATCTCGTCTGCGAAGTGTTCAACAAATGTCAAATGCCGTATGCCGGCATGTCAGGACCGGAGGCACGAAAACAGGTTACTTTTTTCTTTTTACAAAAATAGTACGTTTTTTGCAGATACTCGCGGGGAAAGTGGTCAACGTTCACGAAAGAGCACCCGAAGCTCTTCGCTTTTTTTCGTGGAAAAACAGGATCTTCGCCTATCACGCAATTTACAGGCCGACCATGCCCCCAGGTATAAACTTTTTTTCAGAGCGCATTATTCGACGCAAAAATAGCCTCAAATTTCATCTTTGATTTTTCGAAAAAGGTCATGCGTTTTTATAACTCACAGCTTGATAACTATCGCCGCTATTTTTTCTCGATACTTGAACAAATCCAAAAAGTTTGAAAAAAGAAGCTTTAGATAGTCGAGTTCATGACAGAGGTCATCAGCATTTTGAAGGAGGTTTGGCTTTAAAAGTTTTCATAAAAAATGATTTCTTTTACAGACGAATCCGGTTGACAACGCAGCATTTGAGATTGGAGCTGAAAACAAGGAAGCGATGCAGCCGAGCACTGGAACTGAAGTGAATCTTTGTCTTGTCTATTGAAGCCCAGAGGTCACACTGGGAATGGCTCCATGCACACCGAGTCCTTTGAAAGAACGTCCGACCAGAATCGGCTTGGGCGATGAGAAATCAAGGAGCCATTTCCAATGCGATCATGCTGTTTTTAGTCGTGGAAAACTTCATACTTCTCAGCTTAGTATGAAAAATAGGGTAGGAGAAATGAAAATTCTTTTTTTGATTAAAAAGCCAAAAAAATCATATTTTTTTCGAGCCAACATCTTTTTACAGGAAGTCTTTGAAAGACTCGAGCCAAGTTCAGCGGCTCAGTCACCGCCTGTCGATTTCGCTGCATAGCAAGCCCGGAAATAAGACCCACAATTTTTCATGTATTTCTTACTTATTAATTATTATACCCAATAAAAAAATTGAAATTATAATGGTGTTTGCGTTTATGATCTTTCAATTGGTTTCTAAACTCTCTGAACGAATTGAATTGAAACTTTGGTGAGCTCTTGGCGAGAAGGGAGATTCTGCTGATAGTCTTCTGATAATAGTTCCTCGAAGAAATCCAGGGAGAGTTCCGCAGACCGGGGTTGCGCGGAATCGGAACTTTCCACACGCAAAACGGGAGGAGAAAAACTGCGAAGTTCTGTGCAACCCCACGAAATAGAAAATGGGAAAATATACAGTTATTGGAAATGAGCGCAATCGCCACTTATTTGACCTAGTTGTAAGATTGCACGTGGCTTTATTGTCTGTTCAGTTTTTGAATGTCAAGTAGAATGACGTCATTCGAAAACGCTCTGTGGATGGCTCGCTCTCTGATTGGTTCATCGCGCTTTTAGGGGCGGAGCTTCAGCGAGAACTTGACATTTGAAATCTGAACAGACTATATGGCTCATTTTTATCCGATGGCTAAATGCCAAGGCTTTGGCTCACTCACGATCCTCCACTTTTTGTCTTGAAGAGTACGGAATAAAAACAAGGGGTTTCCGCGGAATAGGATACACTTTGAATGAAACTACTTTCCAGCTTGTTAAAGGCCCAAAACAAGGCCAGATTGATGGAACGATGCCAAATCTATGAGTCAAGCTCAAATATGAAACTTAAGAAACTATGAAAAGCCATGGTGCTCCCGATACTTTTCGGAATGGCCGGGAGGCCCTGAGGATCCTAAGACCAACCTCAGAAAGCTTTTGATTTTTCAATGATACTTCAAAGACCCACGTAACATTTCCACTCGTATAGTCCGTCCGCCACGACTTGACAGTTTTAGTGTGTCTGCGTCTCTCTGTTCCCTCATCGGCGATGTCAGAGAAACAGGGGAAGAACACGTCATTCGAGAGATAAAAAGGAATCAAAAATTTAGTGGAAGAATTCAAATAGCCAAGTTTCGGTTTACCAACCGGCTCTGACTAGACTTGTAATTTATGATACATGGACACAAAAATTTTGAAAGACGTTTAAAGCTAAATTCGCTTGCACAGGAAAAAAAGACACGAGAAATTTACTTTTCATACTGGGCGTCGGCTTGAACTTGCAAATGGTCATGGCCTCGACCGAGTTGGGCACGTCGTAGAGAATCCTGTGCGCTTCGACTTCCCAAACGCCGGCCTGGGTGATGGCCATCAGCTGATGCGTTTCGTTGCTGCCGCCTGAAAGCAAAGACGATGACCCCGACTCGATTTGAAGTTCAGTTTTTGAGTAATCAATTATATTACTCAAACCCAAAGCTACTAAACACCCTGTTCACGAACTGAGTAGGGAACTACTCGGGCTCGGGTACGCGGATCGAGTTAAAACTTCAGTGGTTTATAGACCTCAGTCAGAAGACTTGAAAACAAATGAGAATATATGCCCAATAGAGAACTGAGAAAAAATTAGTAGAAAATCTCGGACATTGGTAACGCAAAACGGACGTGCTCCGGACGTTTCTGGGCGATTCTAGGGATCCCTTAAGAGTTCTGAGGCTACTAAAGTGGTCACTAGAAATGCCCCGACACGTCCGATTCGCGTCCCGTTCGCGTTTTCAAGGTCTGAGATGTGAAAATTAGGCTTGAAAATTTTTAGAATACTGCTTTTTTTACCTTATTTAATATTTTAATACAATCGCCTCGAATTATCCGGCTATGAGAAACTCTAAAAAAACTTTTTCCAGCCAAAAAGAAGAAGGAAAAACTGAAATTTGATAATTTTTCAAGCCTAAACTGTTCATTTTCAAAAAGCTTTTTCTCAGAAGCCTATGGGGTTTAGCAGATAATCTCTCTTGTTTCCAAGTACTCTTACCCGGGTCTAAAAGCCACCAAAGTTTCAACTCGAAACGCGTACTTGAGTCCGAGTAGTTCCCTAGTTAAACATATTCTTTCTTAAGCTTTATTGTTTTTGCTTATGATAAGCTTATGTTTTTGGGAGACAAAATACTCGTTGAGTTGGGAAAATGATAGAAATTCTTAAGATCGCTATTTCCAATAGGATTGTAGCAGAAAGTGTTTGCGGTCAAAAAAATTTTTTCGGTTACGATGCACTTAAAATCAAATCTTTACCACTCGCGTGCTGGCGAGTAGCACCCGAGGGAGCTATCGCCAATCACCCGTTTAACCTCAGCCGAGCACCAGAAACGCAATTTTTAGCCGCGATTAGGCCACTTTTTAGTCCAGCGGAACTAGGCAAACGCCCAATTCACACGCCGAGCTCCGGTTGAGGTCGAGGCGATCACTCGTTACGTTGAAAAAAACACTGGGTGATCGACATTAGCATCGTTTCGCAAACCTGTTAGCCCAACGGGTGCTACTGACCAGCACTAGACCACTTGAACGGTCCATTTATCCTCGTCACAGTAGTTTAACCAATTACCGTATCGTATACGATACACGCATGTTTAAGACAATGCTGCGGCGGCCGGTCAATATTGCGCCGTCAGTTTCGGAACCAGGAAAATTTTTATGTTTTATCTTTTTTTCGCAACTTGTTAAGAACCTACTTCTTGAGGTTACAAGATAAAGTATGCCACAAAAAGTACATACGCTTTCCTTTTTGAAACCGAAAAAAACCTATCCTGACTACCGTAATCCTACCGGCCGCCTTAAACAGGCGTACGCGTGATGCCTGAGAAAAAAAGCTTACTCTGAAAAAAATAAGTTTGGAAAAAAATTACCAATGCGTGGAAATCGCTGTTGAAGACAGGGTAGATGCACTCGAACTCGGTGAGCTCGAATATTTGATGGCCTAACAAAAGAAAGTTGAAAAAAATTCTCGTGATTCATGCCGTTTTTCTATGTGTTTCCGTGAAACCCAAAACCATCACGCCAGAATGAAAAATTTTGGAGAATCAGTGGTAACTTTGGATTCAGCGGAATTAATTCGAACACTTTTTTATATTTTTTTAAAAAATTAATAAAATATACTCCAATGCGTGTTTTAATTCAAAATGAGTATAGTCTGTGTATCAGGACTTGGAATTTCACCAAACGACATTCCGTTGTTCCGCTGCGTGCTCGGCCGCGCCCTCAATTATTTATTTTATTTAGGAACTCGACCAACACGTGTCCTTAGTGGAACAGTCCATCTATCAAAAATGAGAACCAAGAGATTTGTATTTTGCACAGAAGTTCCTCGAATTTTGAATTTACTTTTGAGATCACTTTTGTACAGACGAAGAGAAGTGCAAAATGCAAAGCACTGATTTGCAGAATGCATGAAGCTTTTTTAGAGTATGCTGGAATCTGAGGACTTTCTGAGGGGTCCCTATAGTAGTTTGTTGTTTTAGGGACCCTTGTAGGGGACAAAATAGGGCCCCTATAGGCATTAAAATCTTAGGGGCCCCATAGGGGTTTAAGGTCTGATCCCTAAGCCCCTAAAGCTCGATTTTTATTTCTAAAATTACATAATAATAGCATCAATCGGTTTATCCTTTCAATACGTTTACGGATAAACAAAAAATGACGACCGCTGGGACGGAAAAAAAACTTTTTTTTTAACTTTAGAGGTCAGTACTGATCCTCTCGTGTAGGTTAACGAGCGATGATATGAAGCCTGTTCAAATTTCACATTTTAAGCAGCTATGGCTGATTCACGGCTGGCTTGAGCCATTGAAAAAAGGGTCCTGACACGATAATTCACGAGATAGTGCCTGACTCGTGGGGAGAGAATCAGCTATAATTTTTCCTCCGCGAGCACTGCCTCATCGCGTGCGACGGTGATTATTTAATAACGCCGAATTTTTAAATCTTTTCTGATACGAATTCTAGAAAAAAAGTCAAAGAATGGATTGAGATTGGAGAATCACCGTCGACGGCGTTCCTAAAGGAAACTCACAAGGGAGCCGATGAGGCGTGTTGCCAAAAGTTCTACCAACCGTGCTTATACGGGCTTAATACGGGGGCACCCGCTGAGACCCCGTGTTAGCACCGCTGGGTTACCCTGCTCAGCATCGCGTTCCGCCGATGGGGGAGTCACGAAGGGGGAGCCACGAAACAAAAAGGCCTTGGGTTTCCCCACAGTTTTTTTCAAATTTTTAATCAACCTGAACTCAACAAAAGTTTGAAAATTCAACTCATCGACAATTTTTTAATTGAAAAACATATTCCCAAATTGTGTGCTGAAGGCTGGAGTTTTTTTCTGTCAGTTAACGCTTCACTAGAGTTATTGAGGTCTCAAAAGGTTAGACATTCGAGTTAATCAAAAATATGATTTCTGAAGCTTATTTTTCATGAATCAGGATGGCAATTAGTTATTTTTTTCAGAAAGGCACACAGTTTGGGGAATATTTTTTTCAGTGAAAAAAATTTTTTTGATGAGTTGAATTTTTCAAACTTTTGTTGAGTTCAGATTGATTAAAATTTGAAAAACTGCGGGGGAAACCCAAATCCTTTTGTTTCGTGTCTCCCGCACGATGATGACTGGGGTTGTGATTTAGGTTCCGTTTTTTTCATCGCCAAAAACCCAGATGCAACAAAAAAATTGATTTTTGGAGAAATTCATTCCATTTGAGACAACGAATCACGCCGTAAAGGCAATCAGTAATGAAAGCGACCGATGAAAAAAACGAAGATTTTATTTCTTCTCCTGGCTCGTCTCTTTGGACGTCTCTTTAGTATTCTCGGCCTTTTTTTCTGCGCTCCTTTTTCGGAAGCCCCTGAAAAACCGACCAGAAAAATTTGAAAATATTAAGAAAAAGAGCCTCGAAGTCTTAAACTACAATCGCAAAAAAATTTCATTAAAACGAAATATAATAAAAAAATCCCATTTCCTGACTACTAATAACCTCCATTTTCCAATAAGTTTTTTTAATAATCAAATGTATTTGAAACTTAAAGTTCAAGTTTTTGTTTGTGGCAGCGAACAACTACCAAAATTCTTAATTTTTCTATCAAAAGCCATTACCTAAGGAAGCTGAGGGACGGTCCTTCTTGTGGCAGAAGTAGAGCTTGAGGGCGATGATCGTCGAAACGATGCTCACAATCAGAAGGACCACTATCACTGCACAGGCGATGTACAGCAGCGTGTCTGTGAAGAAATGTCCAGATAACTCTTCTCAATTTTGTCGAAAATTCAAAGAACTGTTGGCTCAATGTTGGCAACAAATTGTAACATGATATCTGAAAAAAGCTAGGTTCCACATTTTCTCACTGTAAAACCTCTGTAATTCGAATCCTTCTATACCCATTATTTTCACTGAATTTGATTTTCAAAAATGATAATCACTTTTTTCAAAAGAATATAGCCTATCTTTCTATGACTAAAATTGATTTTTTGTTACTTTTTCCCCTAAACTCACTGTTGCTAGAGCACTTCTCCTTCTCGGCATCTATCTTCTGCGTGCACAACGGGGAGATCACCGCAGAAGAGTTCGAGCTCGAAACTCCTACTCCCTGGGTCGCGCCGAGAACCGTCGGCTGAGTAGTCGTCAGTGACTTGCATGCAGCTAGGGTCTGAAACAAGATTACTTTTTCTGAGAATTTTTTCGAGTTTTCCTTTGAAACCATTCATGCTCTTAAAAAGCTTCTACGTTGTCCGAAGGGAAATAAGAAACGCTCAATTTCTTCTCTCATGCTCTTTTCAAATCTCAATCAAACTTTTTTGAAATTATGCCTTTGACGAAATATTAGTGCTTGATATACATTTCCTTTCGAATTTTGTAGTGAAATTAAATTCAGTGAAGATTGATTTCCGACGATATGCGTTTATATATTGAGCCATATTTTTCTTAATAGGTCTAGAAATCTTTCCTCTTACAAATGTATTGGCTATAGCTGATTCACGGCCAGCATGGGACGCTAAGGGGGCGTGTCCTGTCTGCGCTCTCCACGAGCCAGGCGCTATCTCGTGCATTATTGTGTCAAGACCCTTTTTCGATGGCTCAAGCCAGCCGTGAGTCAGCTACACTGCGTTCAATAAAAATAGGATCCCCCTCGATTTTGGACTTTCTGGCAAAATACGGTAAGATATCTAAAAACTGTAAGTGCCATCCGGTTCAGAGTACAAAATAACCCCCAGAGCCGAACTTTCATTATCCTAGCACTCTTCCTACGAAAATGCCATTGACCAGTTACAAGATGGTGTATCGTGACCGAATTTCAGACTGCCGTCGTTTTCGACCGTTTTTCTTTCTGTATGTAGTCGGAATGGCGGTGTACTTTTTTTAAAGGTTTTGTGAAGGTGCTTCAACCACAAAAAGACACTTAGTTGGATTGGATAAAAACTGGCGATCCTCGGAAATCAAAGGAATAAACACCCTTCCGACTGCTACTCGAACTTTTTGCGGTACTGTATAAATGAAACATATAAAAAGTTTTATTTCTGATAAAAATTGTTTTATTGCACGTTTTCAGTAATGCTTCATTTTGTTGACAAACTAAAAACCCGCCAAACGCTCTGTTTGAAACAATACCTTCGATGAGCGCGCGTACCAATTTCTCTCCACATTTTCTCGGCATTGTACGTAGTAAATGAAACTTTTTTAGATTATTTTGTTGATGAATTATGTTCATAGCACCTTCGCGAGTTCTCAAAAAAAAAAGTACACCGCCATTCCGACTACATACAGGAAGAAAAACGGTCGAAAACGACGACAGTCTGAAACTCGGTCATGATACACCATCTTGTAACTGGTTTTCTAACTTTTAAAGTGATGTTTTTCAAACTTCTTTTTATTTTTTTGAATGTTAAAGTATCTCTATTTATAAGATAAGTTCATTCAAAGTACTGGAAAAAATCACTCGCTCGAATATTTTGATGCAAACTCGAAAAACGTCATTTTTCCCTGTTTTCAATATAAAATATTTTTTAAACGTGGAAGATTGGAAGATATGAAAGGAAAACCGTAGAAAACTTGGAAACAAATAAAATGAGAACAAAAAAACCACACATCAAAAAGAGAAATTGACAAAAAATACCAATGAAAGTCAAAATTTCCAGGTGGTCCTATCCTTATTGAACGGTCGAAAAACCGTTTCTTCGATGACATTTTTGTAGGTAGAGTGCTAGGATAAAGAAAGTTTGGCTCTAGGGGTTATTTGTACTCTGAATCGAATGACGCTCACAGATTTTTGACATCTTCCCGTATTTTGCCAGAAAGTCCAAAATCGAGGGAGGTCCTATCCTTATTGAATGCAGTGTATACTCGCGACTGTAAATTTGAGCCTACTTGATGAATATAGCTAATAATAAAAGCCATCGGCTTGTTGATGTGATTTCTTCGAGATTTATAAAACTGCTAAAAACGTCTTGTGCAATTTTTCAAAAAGCATAAATTATTTTAGTCATTTCGCGTCAAGACAAACTTTCTACGAATTTAGGAAAATCAGCTGGAAATTTCGAAAAACTGAAATATACTTTTTTATCTCCTCGTTTATTGAAAAAACCTTATTTTCCACTTTGTGCAGTTGATCGAGTATATCTTGAGGAATACTTCCTTCTATCTTGATCAAGTCGGTAGTACCGTCGCAGTAAATCGAGACGTCATCGACTTTGATCGTTTTCAATTTTTTGAAGGAACCCATACTCAATACGACATTCTGCAGGGTGATGGCCGGTCCTACAAACAAAAAGTGAATTCAAAGAAGGGCAGCCAAAGGAGTCTCATGAAACGGTAGGGAGATGTAAGCCCAGGTTCCTTATTCCAAATCAAATAAAAAACTATACTTTCGTTTAAAGTTTAACCGAAAATTTATTTAAAATATCCAGTATTTCCCTTTTTCCACTATGAAATGTAACGTACCCGGTCCCTTGTGGACAATCTCTACCAGATTAGCCACAGTGTACGACGTCGTGTTTCCAACCATGGTGATCGTATTGCTTTTTCGAACCGAAGACAAAAACTTGGAGACATCTTCACCACTTAGCGCATTTTCTGCGTAGATCACTTCTTCGGTACATTTCGACTTATCGCATTCGGTTGGGAAAGCTTCTTTATCTCCGTACGCGGTCATGGGTCTTTTGCAGCAATCTTCTGCAAGTTGAAGAATCTCATTGATTGTAACAGGGCTGGTGTAGTGAATGCTCGTTATCTAGACGCTTTCATGATCATGAAACTTATTTTCCAATAAGATTTATTCTTTCGATTCTATGAATAGCAACGCACTTTTCGTGGAGCAAGGTATAAATTTTCCCCAAATCTGTAGCAAAAAAAGGATATGAAAATGTTTTTTTCTCAAATGTTCCGGTGTGTTTCTAAATATTGGGTACATCAGTATCTTTTATTCACGTTTGGCTGAATTTGACAAAAAATGTTTTCATAATAACATTCTTTGGTTTTTGCAAAGACATAGCGACACTTCCAGTGAAAACGCAAATTCTGTTTCGTGACGTCATCTTGACCTAATTTTAAACTCGAATGGTGAAGAATGTTTTCAGGCTCATCGCGTTCTTCAAATCAAACTGAATTAATATATATAGAACAAATATTTTGACTTATGTATTTCTCGTTTATTCATAAAGTGAAGTCACGGAGTAGCGGTTTGCGATTTTACAAAATCGCGACGTAGTTACTATCCCGCGTCAGTCATGAAGCTAAGTTAATATATATAGAACGACGAAAAGTATAAAGGGAAAAAATAAGCAAACCAGCAGAAAATGCGTTCAGCATTGCTATCATTAGCAACAGCTTCAGACTCAATTTTCCTGAAATAAAAAGCATAACTTTAAAAAAAAAATGAGAAAATGAAGATACCTTCAATACAGTTCCACTTCATGATGGGCGAAGTGTCCGTTTCTGAAAAAAATATCAATATAATCGAAAGAAACACAAAAGAAAAACTGTTTTTTTTTCTTAAAACTGGTTTGGTTTGGTATGAGACTGCTTTGAAATAACTTTATGACGATTAAATTTTTTTAACGAAATACTTAGCTTTATCAATTTGAAATTCAAACTTGAGCAGAACGAAAATTACATACGATCGAAATAGCCCAAAAACCCTGGTCATTGTGTATAAGGAATCATCAACAATTCGACGTCACGCACCCAACATAATTGCCGATATCGCAGCGGGCCGCACGCGATATATCCAAGGCTTCTCGCTGCGATATCGTCAACATGTCGCTGTGACCACGTCAAAGTCTCGCTGCTATATCGCTCCCACCACTAAAAAATTTGAAATTTGAAAAACATTTTTTTTTGCTTTATTTTTGACTTTTATGATGAAATCAATCAAATTCAAGAAAAAAAAAACATTTTTGAAGAAAAATTTTTCAGAGAGAGCGATATAGCGCAAGACGTTTGCGAGGCCGCAGCGAGAGGCGAGCGATATCGCTCCCCCGCGGTATAGCGTTACTCTCGCTGCGATATAGTCCAGAATTTTGGGTGCGGTGTTCCCAAACGGGGTGGAAAAACGTCAAAAAAAAAATTTGGCGCGAAAGATGAAATCTACAGTACCCAGCCGAAGGCGATCGAACAAGTTATTAAAAGTTTATTACTCAGTGCATTTGAAATGAAGACATCATCAACGTGGAAATTTGATCGGTTGATAGAAATGAAATGAACGCTCATTGATGACGTGTCGGTCATTTAAAAACGTTCAAGGGAAAAAAAACGTGAAAAAAGATTTTTAAAATGTCGCGTTGGCATTTCAAAATGACGTGCATTTTCACTTCGCACCATCTTTTTCCTTACTTTTGGTTGAAACGACTTTCAAACGAAATTATCACCGAACGTTTATTTCTCCTAAATTTGACCACGGTCACGCAATTCGGCTTGCTTCTGCTAACAGAATGGGCGGTCTTTTTTTAGCCCTGGCAAGGCAAAAAGGATAATAAGACCACAATTATGCTATAACACGTTCAACACCACGGATGGAACTTTTTCGCAAGAATACCAGTCAACCAGGACGACAACACTGGATGACCGATTGCATAAGACCTCCTGGAAAACGTGTGGTCCACGCTTCGATCAATAAAAGGCACTAAAAGGCAATAAAAGGTCGAAAGCGAAGATGGACCATCTAAGCATCTAAGCATCTAAGCTAAGCAAGCAAGCTAAATTTGACCACTGAACGAGCTATCGTTTTGAAAAAAAGTCACCGCTCTAACGTGCTGAGCGGTGGAAATATACGTCAAACGCGATCGTAGGTCTTTTGGAAAACTACAGTTTTCAAGTGTTCTCATATAAAAAACATTTTGAGCAGTCATTAACTATCAACTACATCGTACATTACCATCAGGCTTGTGCGAGGGCCGGCCCGTCATCCTCCCGGCCCCCCGACCAATTCGTAAGCCCGGCCCGGCCTTAGGAGGGGCCTCAATAAAAAAATGGCCCGCCCGGCCCGAAGCGCGCAATTTTTTTCTAGTCGGACATCAAGTTTTTTTCTACGACAAAAAAATTATGTTTTTTTGCTCATTTTTTTCTCTTAAAGTTTAACAAAAAAACTATGATTTGAGAAGTAAAAAGTCACATTTCGGTGAAAAATTTTTTTCCAATGAAATTTTTAAATTTTTGAAGCCGGGCCCGGCATGAGCCCACGCGGGCTTTTTCCTGAAAATAAGGCCCAAAGCCCGGGCCGCCCGGCCTGACGCACAAGCCTGATTACCGTGTATAGTATCGTTTTGAAAAAAGTCATCGCTCTAATGCCGTGTTCAAAGTAATTTCCGCGAAATGCAAAATGGTCTCTGACCCTCCAAAATTTAGTTATCTTTCTCTTTCTCTGACAGCTATTTTGAATTTCGCGGAATCACTTTGAACACGGCATAACGTGCTAAGCAGATATAGCCTATTCCGCGCCAGCTTGTCACCTTTTTTTCTTCCGCCAAAAAGACCGTACATCAAATTAGATCAAATTTCTGCTTTTATAACGGCAAGAAACACAGGTCTTGAAGCGAAGTTGGACAAATTTGACCTGGCCTTTTGGCGGAAAGAAAAACGTGACAAGCTAGCGCGGAATGACCGGCATGTTCTAAAACACGAGCGGTTGTGGGGCACGAGCGGCACGACCGTTACTAAATCACGAGCGGTTTCATCTTCGCTCCTTCGCGAACGCTTCTAAATCACGAGCGTTTTTGGCTTATCGTTCTGTTCGAGCGTTTCTAAACCGCGAGCGTTTCATTTTAATCATTTTCTTTATTACCATCCAAGTGTGTTTTTTTTTTTCATATTTCTACCTTCTTTTTCTCCTTGAATAAAAATTTTGACGATCTTATATGCACATTTTTTCGCTCAATTTGTTGATTGATTCACATTTGAGGTTAAAAATATGAATGGCATCAATTCGAATATGAGATTCTATTACCAGAAAAAAATTTTTGAGAGAAAGTATTAGAAAAAAATTTGCTATACGCAAAATTTGAGAAATATTGACTTTCATGCGAGACGTCTGTGAAATATTAGTTTATCATACGCAAAATCTGTGAAATATTGAATATGAAAATCAGATGAAATTATTAGAAAAAATTTGCCATACGCAGAATCTGTGAAATTATAGAGCCCGCAAAAAAACTTAGAAAAAAATCCATTATATGAACCTCAAATGTGAATCAATCAACAAATTGAGCGAAAAAAATGTGCATATAAGATCGTCAAAGTTTTTTTATTCAAGGAGAAAAAAAGAAGGTAGAAATATGAAAAACACACACTTGGATGGTAATAAAGAAAATGATTAAAATGAAACGCTCGCGGTTTAGAAACGCTCGAACAGAACGATAAGCCAAACGCTCGTGATTTAGAAGCGTTCGCGAAGGAGCGAAGATGAAACCGCTCGTGATTTAGTAACGGTCGTGCCGCTCGTGCCCCACAACCGCTCGTGTTTTAGAACATGCCGGAATGACCCATATAGGCCAGCTTGTCACGATTTTAATTTTCCTCGGAGCTACAGAACCCTTTCTGGGCTTCGCTTCGATGCTCTCGGTGTTCCCCCCTGCGTGCGCCTTTAATAAAACATTATTTCTGATCAAGATATTGCTTCAATTTCCGCTATCTCTTTTATTTATAAGTGATCACCCAAGCGGCGCCAGCGCCGCTTACGTGTTCACTTGAGAAACCAGAAGCCTTCCGCAGGCTCCGCCGGGATTCAAACTCACGTTGGTCGACGTTGGTCTGCAAGCTGACTGATGACGATTCGTTCCAATGGCTAGATACGTCCAGCGTGTCTTTTATATACTCTCACTCTGTTACCACGTGGCATTTCACGTCAGCGTCTATTTTTTTATAATTTGAAAACATTTCGATAAAGTATAGTCTGTTCAGATTTTTAATGTCAAGTGCAATGACGTCATCCAAAAACACTGTGGATGGCTCGCTCTCTGATTGGTTTATCGCACCATCAAGGGTGGAGCTTGAGCGATGACTTGACATTCGAAATCTGAACAGACTATATCTCCCTGAATTCATTTTTTTAACGATTATAAAATAATCGATCATCGATGATAATATTCTCGCGACCATTTATAAATCGCAGAAATTACTTGAACACGGTATCCATATAGCCGTCAAGATCCGAAATTCGTACGAACTATAGCCTATCCGCGCCAGTTCGTCAAAAAGACCTTATACCAAATTAGATCAAATTTATGCTTTTATAACGGCAAGAAAAAAGATCTTGGAGCGAAGTTGGTCAAATTTGACCTGGCCTTTTGGCGGAAAGAAAAATGTGACAAGCTAGCGCGGAATGGCCTATAACAACGTTGTGGGTCAAAATTTCATTGTGGAAAACTTCAATTGTTTTTTTTTAACCGAGAGAAGAAATTTACAATTATTTTTGATCTAAACTGTTTAGAAACTCATTAAATAACCTACAATTCAAAGAGTTTTTGAAGATATATGACGAACGAAAACCGCAATAAGATCGACTTTTATTATACATAACAATAAAAAAATATCGAAAGTTTGAAGAATGGAAGTTGTCCAGCTCGTTGCGGCTATTTTGTCCAGATGCCTGCTCTTCCTCCTGAAATAAAAAAGAAGGTTATTCTTTATTTACTTTTGTAGAACTAAAACTGAAAAGTAACACAGACTGACAAATTGATACTTGAAGTTCAAGTCGAAACAGAACTGGGCAGCAATATGTCAGAAATTTCATGAAATTGCATGAAATCGCGTCAACTCGCTTGAATTTCTATCCATCCATCCAATATAGTCTGTTCAGTTTTTGAATGTCAACCAGCTAACTCCGCCTCTGCTGAGACGGTACCTTTTCGCGTCGATGTTTTATCGCGCGGGACTAATTTTGATCTTTTTGATCTAAAAAGATAGAAAAAAAGAAGTCAAAAAAATGCAGCCTTATTAAAGGGCCATCGTCATCTGTAGATAAAAACATTGACGCGAAAAAAATATTGTAGATTTGGGGGTGGAGTTAGCTGCTTGACATTCAAAATCTGAACAGACTATAGCCTATTCCGCGCCAGCTTGTCACGTTTTTCTTGCCGCCAAAAAGACCGTACACCAAATTAGATCAAATTTCTGCTTTTATAACGGCAAGAAACACAGGTCTTGAAGCGAAATTGGTCAAAGTTGACCTGGCATTTTGGCGGAAAGAAAAACGTGATAAGCTGGCGCTGAATGACCTATATTACCGTTTCTGATATGTCGCTCTGGAGCCCAGTTCTCATCACAGAAGTAGGAGAAGTTCACAAAAAAATAATTTTAATTTGAATCAATAATGAAGAAAAAGGTCACTCATCTTTCTTTTTATGAAATTCAATTGCTGGACAGAACTGTGCACATAGGCAAGGTATCTGAAATGAATATTTACAAAACAGGTATCAACTTTGGCTCCAACTCGTTCATGAAATCTTTGTCCGAAGCCCAGTTCTGCCTTTCGTCTCAAAGGTCGAAGAGCCGAGCCAATTTGAAAATGAATTCATTTTGACTCGTTGTCCGGGACTGCAAATCGTTCCACCCAATTTCTTTGAAAACTCTTTTTGAAATACGATAAATGAGAACTTATCTTTATTACTTTTTATTGAAGGCGATCTCCGGACAGAACTTTCCATTTGGAAATAATATCAGGATCGGAATTTGAGATAGGAGCTTCTATAGTCAACTCCTTCCATCAAATCCTTTTGGCTTCAACTTGTTCAAAGGCCATTTTTGTCTTTCGCCACAATGATCGAAGAGGATCTCTGCAATTTTCCATTTAATTTAATTTATGAAACTGAAAAAAACTCATTTTATTTTTCTTCAAAGTTTATCGCTAGACAGAACTGGGCATGAAATATGCCAGAAACGAATCATCGCAACAACTTCTTCGAATGAGCAACTCCATTTCATAATCTTTTTCAGCTTCGTTTCTGACACGATACTTCAACGCCCAGTTCTGTCGGTAATATCGGCCGCGTTTCCTGAAAATCCCAAAATCATTCAACACAAAAAATACTTGAAGCTCACTTATCCTTCAATCGAAATCGAGGTACAGGCAGAGCCGGGCATTTGAACTTATTCTCACGAAAATAATGCCCAAAATAAGGGCTTCAAATCGTCGATCCCTTTCCAAAATGGTGCGCTCAAACGCACAGTTCTTTCTTCGTCGGAGAAGATGATCCCTGAAAACTGAACCTCATTTAACATTTTGGCAGTTTGGAACAGGGCTGTGCGGCAGTCGATCGCCGAAATTGTCGGAAATAATAAAAAAAATCAGCGATTGCCGGCAACTGGCACTTTTTTCCAAGTGTTTTTTTGTTGTTATTTTTGGGAAACTTTTTATAACGAATCTATTAAAATGTATTTTTTCTTGATACATTTTTATTTCAGAGAGAATTTTCACTCATATTCATGGAACTGGAGCCATCTACGCTTCCTGTTGAAAAATAATAATCATCTCAAACTTAAGAACGTAAGTTGCCGAAAATTGCCGATTGCCGCCACGGCGTTCTTTTGACGACGCCCCTCCCACAATTTCCGTAATATTTGACGTCTTTTGTGCATACACAGAACGACGCTAACTCGCATACTCATTAAATTCAAAAATAATTTTTTTCCTCGAAAAATAGCGTTTTTTCAAAACTATAGACGTGGAAAAAATCGATCCTTTCACAATTCCTTTTTTAGTTGACAAAAAAACATTTGGGCGAAAGTTTTTCTTATTTTCTGAACACTTTCATACCTTTCTCCCTCATAATTGGTTAAAGTCCTTTTTTTGAGTGAAAAACGTGGAATTTTGTGGCGAAAATGACTTATTGTGTTTCTATGTGTCTTTCCCGACTTATTGAAAATTTAAAAAAAGTTTTTCTTTTACAGATTTAGTTTAGTTCATCCACCTAGTGGTATTTTTTTCTCCTCTGCAACATCGCCATACCATTCTGATGTTGCGAAAATGAAGAGATTGATTGATTCAAATAAAAAAAATTTAATTTGACACTGAAAATGTTGCTGAAAGGCTTTTTTTGCTTTAAAGGGAAAAATTTGGTCAAAAACACAGCAGTTAATATTGAAAAATTGAAAAAGTTCCTTCGCATTTTGCTGTCGCAATAAAAAAAACAATTACCGTAAATCAGTACAAAACAGATAAAGATACAGCTGAAATAAACATGAAAAATCACGTGAAGCACTTGAGCAACAAGAAATTCAAATGTTCGCGCGCAAGCTGTCTACCGTAAATCTAGGTGGAGCAACCCTTCCAAGCCGCTCCCCATTTTCAAAAATTTTACATTTTCTTCCACTGCGCAGAACGCCGTGCCGCACAGCCTTGGTTTGGAACTCATCTTCGATGTCCTTCTGCTAACAAGCGACATGAGATATCCAAATAACAGCTAGATGTCGCCTGTCGCAAATGTCATCGAGATATCATGAGTCACTGAAAAAGATCAAAGTCTTTTTCATGAAAATTTGATTCCGCGAAATGCAAAAATGATCTCTGACTCTCCAAAATTTAGTGATATTTTCCTTCCTCTAACGGGTATTTTGCATTTCGCGGAATCCAATTGAACACGGCAATAATGAATCATGAAAAAAACGAATATAACCAGTGATTCACTCTACTGATTTCGTGCAAAGAGTCCCTATGCCGGCATTCTGCAAGTCAGAGATTTGTATTTTGCACAGAAGTTCCTCGAATTTTGAATTTACTTTTGGAGATCACTTTTGTACAGACGAAGAGAAGTGCAAAATGCAAAGCACTCATTTGCAGAATGCATGAAGCTTTTTTAGAGTATGCTGGAATCTGAGGACTTTCTGAGGGGTCCCTATAGTAGTTTGTTGTTTTAGGGACCCCTGTAGGGGATAAATAGGGCCCCTATAGGCATTAAAATCTTAGGGGCCCCATCCGGGTTTAAGGTCTGATCCCTAAGCCCCTAAAGCTCGATTTTTATTTCTAAAATTACATAATAATAGCATCAATCGGTTTATCTCTTCAATACGTTTACGGATAAACAAAAAATGACGACCGCTGGGACGGAAAAAAACTTTTTTTTAACTTTAGAGGTCAGCACTGATCCTCTCGTGTAGGTTAACGAGCGATGATATGAAGCCTGTTCAAATTTAACATTTTAAGTAGCTATGGCTGATTCACGGCTGGCTTGAGCCATTGAAAAAAGGGTCCTGACACGGTAATTCACGAGATAGTGCCTGGCTCGTGGGGAGAGAATCAGCTATAATTTTTCCTCCGCGAGCACTGCCTCATCGCGTGCGACGATAATTATTTAATAACGCCGAATTTTTAAATCTTTTCTGATACGAAACCTAGAAAAAAAAGTCAAAGAATGGATTGAGATTGGAGAATCACCGTCGACGGCGTTCCTAAAGGAAACTCACAAGGGAGCCGATGAGGCGTGTTGCCAAAAGTTCTACCAACCGTGCTTATACGGGCTTAATACGGGGGCACCCGCTGAGACCCCGTGTTAGCACCGCTGGGTTACCCTGCTCAGCATCGCGTTCCGCCGATGGGGAGTCACGAAGGGGAGCCACGAAACAAAAAGGCCTTGGGTTTTCCCCACAGTTTTTTTCAAATTTTAATCAACCTGAACTCAACAAAAGTTTGAAAAATTCAACTCATCGACAATTTTTTTAATTGAAAAAAACATATTCCCCAAATTGTGTGCTGAAGGCTGGAGTTTTTTTCTGTCAGTTAACGCTTCACTAGAGTTATTGAGGTCTCAAAAAGGTTAGACATTCGAGTTAATCAAAAATATGATTTCTGAAGCTTATTTTTCATGAATCAGGATGGCAATTAGTTATTTTTTTCAGAAAGGCACACAGTTTGGGAATATTTTTTTCAGTGAAAAAATTTTTGATGAGTTGAATTTTCAAACTTTTGTTGAGTTCAGGTTGATTAAAATTTGAAAAACTGCGGGGGAAACCCAAATCCTTTTGTTTCGTGTCTCCCGCACGATGATGACTGGGGTTGTGATTTAGGTTCCGTTTTTTTTTCATCGCCAAAAACCCAGATGCAACAAAAAAATTGATTTTTGGAGAAATTCATTCCATTTGAGACAACGAATCACGCCGTAAAGGCAATCAGTAATGAAAGCGACCGATGAAAAACGAAGATTTTATTTCTTCTCCTGGCTCGTCTCTTTGGACGTCTCTTTAGCGGTCTCGGCCTTTTTCTGCGCTCCTTTTTCGGAAGCCCCTGAAAACCGACCAGAAAATTTGAAAATATTAAGAAAAGAGCCTCGAAGTCTTAAACTACAATCGCAAAAAAATTTCATTAAAACGAAATATAATAAAAATCCCATTTCCTGACTACTAATAACCTCCATTTTCCAATAAGTTTTTTAATAATCAAATGTATTTGAAACTTAAAGTTCAAGTTTTGTTTGTGGCAGCGAACAACTACCAAAATTCTTAATTTTTCTATCAAAAGCCATTACCTAAGGAAGCTGAGGGACGGTCCTTCTTGTGGCAGAAGTAGAGCTTGAGAGCGATGATCGTCGAAACGATGCTCACAATCAGAAGAACCACTATCACTGCACAGGCGATGTACAGCGGCGTGTCTGAGAAGAAAAGTCGAAATAAGTCTTCCCAACTTGGTCGAAAAAAATCGAAAAAAACTATTGACTCAATGGCGTAAAAAAATGATGAAATATAAAAAAAGGCTAGGTTTCCAGATTTTTCTCACTGTAATTTTTTTATAAACCTACAGTCTTTCTATTTTTTTCAAATAAGATAAATAATTTTTTTCCAAACCTTAGAGTCTTTCTTTTTATCCCTGAAATCCACAATTGGTTTTTTTGTTCTCCAAACTCGCTGTTGCTAGAACCTTTCTCAGCATCAATATTCTGGGAGCCCTGGGCGGCGCCGAGAACCGTGGGCTGAGTAGTCGTCAGTGACTTGCATGCAGCTAGAGTCTGAAACAAGATTACTTTTTCTGAGAATTTTTTCGAGTTTTCCTTTGAAACCATTCATGCTCTTAAAAAGCTTCTAGGTTGTCCAAAGGGAAATAATCTTGCAGAAGCGCTCAATTACATTTACTTTTTCAAATCTAAACTAAACTTTTTTTGATATTATGCCTTTGACGAAATATTCTAGTGTTTAATATACAATTCCTTTGAAAATTTCCCATGATTTCAGTGAAGATTGATTTCCGACGATAAGAGCTTGAATATTGAACCATATTTTTTTCTTAATAGTTCTAAAAAAATATTTCCTCTTACAAATATATTAGAAGGCTACTCGTGACTGTAAATTTGAGCCTACTTGATGGATATTACAAATGATAAAAGCAATCGGCTTGATGATGCGATTCCTCTGAGAGTTATAAAACGGCCTACAATCATCCGAACCTGATCATTCCGAACCAAATCCGAACCTAATCATTCCGAACCAATTGAGTATTCATTCCGAACCAATTGAGTAATCATCCGAACCAAAAAGGGAATTTTTCATGTGTTCATTCCGAACCAAAAACATGTTCATTCCGAACCAAAGGTACAGTTTCTTCCGTTGATTTCTCAAATTTTTTTGAACAAAATTTCTCTTTTTGCAATGATTTGTCATTTTTAGATGTACTTCCAAGTCGAGAAAATCTGCCGGCTCATTTTTCGAACCATGATGTTCCAAACCAAAATCAGAACCAAGTCTCAGGCGAACCCATTCCAACGCGGACCATCTCATGCTCACTAGAACCAATAGTTTTTGAAGCTTTGCCCGACAAATCTTCGGTATAGTCCGTGAATTTAGAACACATCAACAACTGGATTCATCTGTTTTTCCTTTTTCGTGAATTTTGAACATTTAGAAACTGAACTTTATCAATAATTTTTTCAAGACTGTTCAATTCTTCTGCAATTAAGGTCACCTTTTTTATAGCTCATAGGAGAACAAGATTTTCAGCGGGATTAGATTCCTTCGAATCCACATTGATGAAGTATCGGAGTAAAGAAAACGATGAATGTTGGTCCATCATCAGGAAAAGTGCGAACGGCTCATTAGGAGAGATTTCACCACAGTTTGAAAAAAACGGTATTTTTCTTCTAACTTTCTTCCGGGCTCAAAAGTGAAACTATTCTCTTTCATGCCGCGATATCCTGTGCAATAAGGTGAAAAATTCCACGATTTTCCTGAAACTCGAATATGACTTTGATTTTTCTTTTATACATGAATTTTGTTCTATCCTGATTGAACCTTCTTATAAAACCTCATTACATTGGAAAAGTCAAGATTAATGAATTAATGATGAGTTCAAGCCGCTCTCTATTTTTCAAGAAGATGACGGAACATGATTTTTCCAATTTTTCTTGCATACGGCCCCTCTGATCTTTCTTCCCATTACCAGTTCAACTTTTTGCAATATCAGGTTTTTTTCGGGTTATAGCTTATTTCAATAATTGCAAACTCTAGTGAAAAATCGTACAGATGTAATTGAAAAGAATTCGCGAACTTTCAAATAGAGCTCAGAAAAAGTGAGATTTTTCAAAAAGACGTTCAAAGCTTTTTTTCAATAATTTTCGTCCTATTGAATAGCCTTACTATGTATTTGACGTTATATCTTAGTCAAAAAAAACTTTACAAGAAAATAACTTCTACTGAGGTAAGTCTTCGAACATTCGCGGTTTTTTAGTGAATGAGACAAATTTTACTCGTTTTCATGTAATATCATTCCATGAAACTTTTTAGGTGAAGTTGTCGTAAGAGTAAACTTTAGCAGAATTCGAGCATCCGAACACCTTCGTCGAGCTGCTGTTAACGGATATACTGTTTCTATCCGCGACCGGTAGAAAAAAATATCGAGGGTCAATTTTATTAATTTATTCTATTCAGTAAAAAAATTCTCGATTGACGCTACGATGTATAGCATAAGTGGAGAAAAATAAATAAATAGTTTGAAAAAAATCTCCCACCATTAAAAAAAGAAGGAAAAAAACTGGCTTTAACAAAAGTCTCTGAGATGGCCCAAGAGGCTCTGAAAGCTCTCTAAAAACCTCTAAGAGCCTTTTTCCAGCCAAAAAATGGGGGAAAAGGAAGGCGACGAGAACGACATGTTCAGTAAAACTTGTAGCCGCTACACGGTGTTTCTTTTGCGACGCCCCGCCCACTTTTCTCCGTCAATTAGGACGTGTTTAGTGCATGCACCGATACGTTTAGTGCATGCACCGATAAATAAGGTTAACCGATGATATAAGTGTGAGAAACGAATGAACATTGAAGAAAAAAAGACGAGGAAATTAAAAAGAGATTAAATAAAACTATATTGCTGTGGAGAAACAAATAAAAGATGTTTTTACAGCAAGTACTTTTTTTATTATAAAAAGTTGACGGAATATCCGGATATAAATGAATTCCGGAACATATTTTTCTTAACTTCACAGACTTTTTTTCATGTAACTTCATCTCATTGATGTCCACAACCTAGGAATCTAAACAATCGACAAAAAAATAGAATAAGAAAACATAAAATGGGGTGAAACATGTTCCATACAAACAGGTGGAGATTTTTCAAAACGCTTCTTCATCACGAGTTTTTAAAGTTAGCCTCACAGAACTACTTTCAAAAAAACGTCTAACAACCCAGAGTATACCCCGATCGTGGTCCCGCAATACTATCAGCAATCTACGAAAAGAAAAAAAGTGAAAAAAATATGAAAAAAATTGACAAAAAAATCAAAAAAATAAAGCCACTTTTTTCAAATTTCGCGGGCGAATTTCGAGAAGTGCGCAGACTTTGCCGAGTTTCAAATTCCTTGCATTTTCTTCAACTGGCAGAAACGCCGTGGCTATGCAACGAATTTTTCCCGCAAGAAGATTTATAAAGTTTATAAAACTATATCGTTATGAATGAACAAAGGTGAATCGGGAAATCGATACAAGTAGGTACCGCGTAGCGACCGCTAGTGAGGTAGGTACTTATTAGCAGCTTTCATGATACCGGAAAGCATACAGCGATACCACTCCGGTAGAATCTAAGTACCATAGATATAGTACACGGACGCATACAAACAACCACCGATTAGAATACGCTGCTTGATTTCAAAGTTGCTGCCCGGTACAATCTTGTAACGACCTCTCGATCGACCAGTGAACAAGAAAAATAAGTTGAAGGGCAAAAAAATGAAATTCTATTTTTTTACCCCAGTTTTCTAGGGAAAATGGGAAAAAAATACGAATCAAAGTTGCCAGAAAATTTACTTTTTCACCATTATATCAGTTTTAATAGTTAGAAACTCGAAATAAGAAACGTTGAAAGACAAAAAAGAGAACTTTACATTTTTTTAGGCCAAATTTTTTTAGTTGAATAAATTGCTTTTTAGTTCAATAATTTTTGCATAGTAATACAGTAGATAATATAAATTTCATATTGTGAAAAGAAAAACATGAAAAAAAACCATAGAAAGAAACGAAATTATCAATAACTACGAAGAAAACAAGAATGATTTTGAAAATTAGAAACGTTTGGCAAACCTCCAAGTGAATGGGAAAATATGGTCTCAAAGCGATGAAATAGTGCGCCAAAACCTTGGCGCCTGCCCAATTTACGTTTTTTTTTCTTTTCGTTGTTGTCGTGTTCAAAGTAATTTCCGCGAAATGCAAAATACCCGTTAGAGAAAGGAAAAGATCACTAAATTTTGGAGAGTCAGAGATCATTTTGCATTTCGCGGAAATTACTTTGAACACGGCATGTATTTTTGAACAGTATTACATTTATTGATCATTACATCCGTTTTATGAACTGACACATTTCTAAATATTAAACTAGGTCATGTTTCGCACATTAATTTATGTTTTTTTCACGTTTTTTTAAATTTTAGGCCCAAAAAAATTAGAAATTCAATTTTTAATTTTTTTAACCGTTTTTTTCCTGTTTTTTTCTAACTATTTGAGTTCAAAAAAATAGAAAATAGGAAGTTTTTTTCAATTTTTTTATTCAGAGTGGTTTTTCCTTCTTCAAAAATAAAAATAGGCCTAAAAATGTAAATTTACAATAAGACTTTACGTAAAGTTCTCTTTTTTCTTTGAGTGTTTCAAATTTCGAGGTTTCTAACTATTGAATTGATAGAATGGTGGAGAGTGAATTTTCTGTCAACTTTGATTCGTATTTTTCCCATTTTCTCTAGAAAAACTTTAGGGGCAAAAATAGAATTTCATTTTTTGCCCTTCAACTTATTTTCTTGTTCACTGGTCGATCGAGAGGTCGTTACAAGATTGTACCGGGCAGCAACTTTGAAATCAATCAGCGTATTCTAATCGGTGGTTGTTTGTATGCGTCCGTGTACTATATCTATGGTACTTGGATTCTACCGGAGTGGTATCGCTGTATGCTTTCCGGTATCATGGAAGCTGCTAATAAGTAGCTACCTCACTAGCGGTCGCTACCCGGTACCTACTTGTATCGATTTCCCGATTCACCTTTGTTCATTCATAACGATATAGTTTTTATAAACTTTATAAATCTTCTTGCGGGAAAAAAATTCGTTGCATAGCGGCTACAAGTTTTTACTGAACATGTCGTTCTCGTCGCCTTCCTTTTCCCCTATTTTTTTCGGCTGGAAAAAAAGGCTCTTAGCGGTTTTTTTAGAGAGCTTACAGAGCCTCTTGGGCCATCTCAGAGACTTTTTGTTGAAGCCAGTTTTTTTCCTTCTATTTTTAATTTTTTTATTTTTTTGAATTGAGATTTTTTTCAAACTATTCATTTATTTTTGCTCTATTCTTATGCCATGTCCAAATTGATCCCGCCAAATTCATAATGTTCATGAAAAAAAGGGGAAACATAAAAAAATTTTTTTAGTGATGAAGAGAATTGCGGATTTCGCGAGAATTACTTCGAACATGGTGTAAAAATTTTTAATTGAGAAAATTTGGAGAATAAACTTAATGAACTTGGACTACGATCCTTTTTACCTCTGAATTGCCGGTCGCGGATAAAAAAATGGTGTAGTCCGCCAACAAAAGCTTGATGAAGGTGTTCGAAGGCTCGTAATCTGCTTGAGCTTACTCTTCCCAGAGCTGCTGATAGAAGAAAGGCGCCCCGCACCGCGAAACGGTAACATTATCAAAAGAGTCATTTTTTCTTAGTTTTTTTTCACCAACTTCAGCTTGATTTTCACTCATATGAGTGAAAATCATGATAATTTGGAGGTTACCTTTTCCGACCCTGCGGAGCGACTGCTTAAATTCACGGGGTGCCCCGTCAGCAGCTCTAATTCTTCCTGTCTTCCAAGTGCCACGCGCCAACGCCAACTCTTCTTTGAGGAAACAACCCAACCAATACATATTGATGAAAAATGATAATTAGACTGAAAAACAGTAAGATTCTACTCATTTACTATGAAACCGCAACATGACGAAGAACTAGCTCGCTTGATCGTATAACCGATTCACGACTAGCTTGGGACTCGAGGAAGCGTTTTTTTCAGTGGCTAAAAGCCAGTCGTGAGTTAACGAAACTTTCTTTAAAGGTTTTTTTAAAAAAATCTCAGTTTCTAGAAAAAAATATATTTATAATTCGTATTCGAAAGATCAGCCACTCACGAAAACATTAACTTCGGGACCTATTGATCGGTTCGGGCTCGAAAGATGAAGTGCTCACTTACGGACCCAAAGTATAGCAGGCCCATTTCGAGTGAAAACTTTTTTGGAATGAAACGAATCGTGATTTTGAAAAATTACAGTTAAATTTATCTGTCAATAATTAATAGCAGTTTTGATGGTTTGCAGAGGGCTCTGCAATTATTGAAAATGATTACCCTGAGAAATCTGATATTACACAGGACGAAATGCGAAAAGGGAAAATCTCTTCTAATGAGCCGTTCGCACTTTTCCTGATGATGGACCAACATTCATCGTTTTCTTTACTCCGATACTTCATCAATGTGGATTCGAAGGAATCTAATCCCGCTGAAAATCTTGTTCTCCTATGAGCTATAAAAAAGGTGACCTTAATTGCAGAAGAATTGAACAGTCTTGAAAAAATTATTGATAAAGTTCAGTTTCTAAATGTTCAAAATTCACGAAAAGGAAAACAGATGAATCCAGTTGTTGATGTGTTCTAAATTCACGGACTATACCGAAGATTTGTCGGGCAAAGCTTCAAAACTATTGGTTCTAGTGAGCATGAGATGGTCCGCGTTGGAATGGGTTCGCCTGAGACTTGGTTCTGATTTTGGTTTGGAACATCATGGTTCGAAAATGAGCCGGCAGATTTTCTCGACTTGGAAGTACATCTAAAAATGACAAATCATTGCAAAAAGAGAAATTTTGTTCAAAAAAATTTGAGAAATCAACGGAAGAAACTGTACCTTTGGTTCGGAATGAACATGTTTTTGGTTCGGAATGAACACATGAAAAATTCCCTTTTTGGTTCGGATGATTACTCAATTGGTTCGGAATGAATACTCAATTGGTTCGGAATGATTAGGTTCGGATTTGGTTCGGAATGATCAGGTTCGGATGATTGTAGGCCTTATAAAACTGCTAAAATGTTTTGTGCAACTTTTATAAAAAGCATAAAATATTTTAATCATTTCGCGTCAAGACAAACTTTCTACGAATTTAGGAAAATCAGCTGGAAATTTCGAAAAACTGAAATATACTTTTTTATCTCCTCGTTCATTAAAAAAACCTTATTTTCCACTTCGTGCAGTTGCTCGAGTATATCTTGGGGGATTTTTCCTTCTATCTTGATCAAGTCGGTAGTGCCGTCGCAGTAAATCGAGACGTCATCGACTTTGATCGTTTTCAATTTTTTGAAGGACCCCCTATTCAAATCGACTTTCTGCAGGGTGATGGCCGGTCCTACAAACAAAAAGTGAATTCAAAGAAGGGCAGCCAAAGGAGTCTCATGAAACGGTAGGGAGATGTAAGCCCAGGTTCCCTTATTCCAAATCAAATAAAAAACTATACTTTCGTTTAAAGTTCAACCAAAAAAATTTGTTTAGAATATCCAGTATTTCCCTTTTTCCACTATGAAATGTAACGTACCCGGTCCCTTGTGGACAATCTCTACCAGATCATAGATACTGAGCGATGTCACGTTTCCAACCATGGTGATCGTATTGCTTTTTTGCACCGAAGACAAAAACTTGTGGATATCTCCACCACCTCGCGCATTTTCTGCGTAGATCACTTCTTCGGTACATTTTGATGATTGGCACTCGATCGGGAATGCTTCTTTATCTCCGTACGCGGTCATGGGTCTTTTGCAGCAATCTTCTGCAAGTTGAGGATTCTCATTGATAGTAACAGGGCTGGTGTAGTGAATGCTCGTTATCCAGACGCTTTCATGATCATGAAACTTATTTTCCAATAAGATTTATTCTTTCGATTCTATGAATAGCAACGCACTTTTCATGGAGCAAGGGATCAATTTTTCACAAATCTGTAGCAAAATTGGATGTGGAAACTTTTTTTTTCTCAAATGATCCGAGGTTTTTTTTAAATATTGAGTACATCAGTATCTTTTATTCACTGTTGGCTGAATATGACAAAAAATGTTATCTTAATAAGATTCTTCGATTTTTTCAAAGACATAGCGACACATCTAGTTAAAACGCAAATTCTATTTCGTGACGTCATCTTGACCTAGCTTATTAGATACTACGTCTTAACTTTTCGGGTTATAATATGATAAAACAAACTGAAAAAAGCCTATGAACTCTATAGAATTATGGAGACTTCACATTAAAACTCGAACGTGAAGAAATTTTTCAGGCTCGTCGCATTCTTCCAATCAGAGTGAATTAATATATAGAACAAATATTTCCACTTATGTATTTCTCGTTTTTTTCATAAAGTGAAGTGGAGTAGCGTTTTTGCGATTTTTACAAAAATCGCGACGTGGTTTCTATCCCGCGTCAGTCATGAAGCTAAACTTCTCGACGAAAAGTATAGTCTCTTCAGATTTCGAACGTCAAGTCCTCGCTGAAGCTCCGCCCCTAATGACGCGATAAACCAATCAGAAAGCGAGGCATTCGCAGAGCGTTCTCGAATGACGTCATTCTTATTGACATTCAAAAATCTGAATGGACTATATAAAGGGAAAAAAATAAGCAAACCAGCAGAAAAAAAGCGTTCAGCATTGCCACCATTAGCAACAGCTTCAGACTCGATTTTTCCTGAAATAAAAAAAGAATCAGTTTTTAAAAAAATTAGAAAATGAAGATACCTTCAATGCAGTTCCACTTCATGATGGTCAAAGTGTCCAATGCTGAAAAAAATATCAACATAATTGAAAGAAACACAAAAAGAAAAAAACTGTCTTAAAGCTGATTAGGTTTTCTATGGCCAACAATCATCCGACCCTAATCAATCCGAACCAATTGAGTAATCATCCTAACCAAAAAAAGGGACTTTTTCATGTGTTCATTCCGAACAAAAAAACATGTTCATTCCTAACCAAACGCACGTTCTTACAGAACCAAAGGTACACTTTCTTCCGTTGATTTCTAAAAAAATTTTTTTAAACGAAACTCTCTTTTTGCAATTATTTGTCATTTTTTTGATGTGCTTCCAAGTCGAGAAAAGCGGCCGGCCCTTTTTCGAACCATGATTTTCCAAACCAAAATCAGAACCAATTCTAAGGCGATCAATTCCAAGCCGCTCTCTATTTTCCAGATGGCGGAATTTTCCAAATTTTTTTTTCCAATCGGCCGCCTCTGACCTTTCTTTCCATTACCAGTTCGACTGTTGCAAAATAAGGTTTCTTCGGGTTATGGCTTTTTCCAATAATCGCGAACTCTACTGTGAATCGTACAGATGTATTCGAACAGAATTTGCGAACTTTCAAAGAAAGCGCAGAAAAATGGAGATTTTTCGGAAACAAATGTTCAAAGCTTTTCATCAATGCCGTGCTCCGCTTACGTGTTTACTCGAGGAGCCAGAAGCCTCCGCCGAGATTCAAACTCACGTTGGTCAAAGTTGGTCTGATGACGATTCGTTTCAATAGCTAGATCAGCTCGGCGTAGTTTTTATATACTCTCACTCTATTGCCAAGTGGCATTTCCACGTCAGCGTCTATTTTTTTGATAATTTGGAGTCTGTTTCGATAAAATATAAAAATAACGATCACAGACATCCTTTATGCCAAGTTCAAAGTAAGAAAAAAACTTAGTCTTACAACGATTTATCGTCAGATATGATCCGTTCACGGCTGGCTTGGCTAAAGAGCGGGTTAGCTTGCACGGAGATGGTAGATCATGACGACTATCAATGCGCCTTCCGCAAAACGCTGAATTTTTTGACTTATTTCTTTTTTTATTTTTTTATTTCGGTGACTGAAAGAAAATCTGAATTTAATGAAACTAATTTAAAAGAAAAAGTAAATTCAATTGAAAAATAATTCATCAAACGAGGTTCTTTTTCAAAGGCGCATGTATGGCCGCCATGACCTACCATCGCCGCGCAAGTTAAACCGCCCGTTCGCTGTCCCAAGCCAGCAGTGAACGGGCTATAAATGGTTTTCTGTTACTCACTAAAGATAAATACGGAGTCTGGGGCGAGAGAATGCTAGGTCGGGGCGGTACATTGACGAACTCGCAAACATCTCGCTCTGTCCGGTGGTGCGAGCACTGTCTCATCGCGTGCGACGATGATTATTTAATAAAGCCGAGTTTTTTTAAGTCTTTTTTTGATACGAATCCTAGAAAAAAGTCAAAGAATGCATTGAGATTGGAGAATCGCCTTCGAAAGCGTTCCTAAAGAGAACTCGCAGGCGAGCCGATAAGTCGTGTCATTTTACCGCGCCACAGGCTAGTGCGACAAGCCGGGCGGCCCGGGCTTTCGGCCTTTGTTTTGAAGAAAAAAGCCTGCGCGGGCAAGGGACGGACTCAAGAAAAGATTTGAAATTTCATTCCCTTTGAGGATCTTAAAGGATCCTGAGAGAGAGGAATAGCTGATTCACGGCTAGCGGGACGGTCAGGGGGGCGTGGCCTGTCTGCGCTCTCCACGAGCCAGGCACTACCTCACGCAGTATCGTGTCAGGACCCTTTTTTCGTAGCGCCGCTAAATCCAGACGTGGGGGCTTGCCTCACGCGCGCGCCAATTCAAAAAAGTGCGCTGGCGCACAGACCCCAATATCCCCCATTAATGTATATCTTTTTCAGTCAATCTTTCCGTTTATATTTTTTTGTCGAAAGATTTTTTTCGGTTAATTTCGCCATAAAAGTGAATCAATAAAAAAATAATCGAGTTTTTTTAAAATGAAAAATAGTTTTTTTCGCAAAAGTTTTTTTCCACTGGTCAATCGTGATAGAGATACAAATAGTTACCGAGTAGCTACCTTTTTTAACTAGCTCAGCAAGTCTTAGCACGGTTATATAGGTCATTCCGCGCCAGCTTGTCACGATTTTAAATTTCCTCAAAGCTAGAGAGCCCATTTCGGCGCTTCGCTTCGATGCTCTCGGTGTGCCCTCTTACGTGCGCCTTTAATAAAACTCATTATTTCCGAATTTTTGGAATTTTCTTATTTTACAAAAAAACAGTTGTAACATCAAATTTTTATATCAAGCTAACCCAAAAAAATTATATGCAAAAAAAAGCTCGAACAGTCGGTTTCCTTAATAACAATTAAAAAAATAATAATTCAATCTTTTTTTGATTTTTCTTTTTACAAATCCAGCACAGAATCTGAGTGTATAGTTAAAGCGAAAAATGAAATCAATCCATTAAAAAAACAACCTCGTAAATTAATAAAAGAGATAGAGAAGATTGAAGCAATATCTTAATCAGAAATAATGTTTTTATTAAAGGCGCACGTAAGAGGGCACACCGAGAGCATCGAAGCGAAGCGCCGAAATGGGCTCTCTAGCTTTGAGGAAATTTAAAATCGTGACAAGCTGGCGCGGAATGACCTATAGGCCATTCCGCGCCAGCTTGTCACGTTTTTCTTTCCGCCAAAAGGCCAAATTTGACCAACTTCGCTTCAGGACCTTTGTTTCTTGCCGTTATAAAAGCAGAAATTTGATGAAATTGCCACTTCGTAGAGCATCTTCTTGTGCGTCGAACGGTGTTGAAGTTTTGACTGTCGTTGAAAATTAATTAAATTTGAAGAACTTTTCGGACTTTTGTAATGCACTTCTAGCGCACGGCGTTCTGCGTAGTGGAAGAAAAATGTAAAATTTTTTTGAAAATGTGGAGCGGCTTGGAAGGGTTGCTCCACCTAGATTTACGGTAGACAGCTTGCGCGCGAACATTTGAATTTCTTGTTGCTCAAGTGCTTAACGTGATTTTTCATGTTTATTTCAGTTGTATCTTTATCTGTTTCGTACTGATTTACGGTAATTATTTTTTTATTGCGACAGCAAAATGCGAAGGAACTTTTTTTCAATTTTTCAATATTAACTGCTGTGTTTTTGACCAAATTTTTCCCTTTAAAGCAAAAAAGCCTTTCAGCAACATTTTCAGTGTCAAATTAAATTTTTTTATTCGAATCAATCAATCTCTTCATTTTCGCAACATCAGAATGGTATGGCGATGTTGCAGAGGAGAAAAAAATACCACTAGGTGGATGAACTAAACTAAATCTGTAAAGAAAACTTTTTTTAAATTTTCAATAAGTCGGGAAAGACACATAGAACCACAATAAGTCATTTTCGGCACAAAACTCCACGTTTTTCACTCAAAAAAGGACTTTAACCAATTTTGAGGATGAAAGGTATGAAAGTGTTCAGAAAATAAGAAAAACTTTCACCCAAATGTTTTTTGTCAACTAGAAAAGGAATTGTGAAAGGATCGATTTTTTCCACGTCTATAGTTTTGAAAAAACGCTATTTTTCGAGGAAAAAAATTATTTTTGAATTTAATGAGTATGCGAGTTAGCGTCGTTCTGTGTATGCACAAAAGACGTCAAATATTACGGAAATTGTGGGAGGGGCGTCGTCAAAAGAACGCCGTGAGCGGTCACTTTAGCGGCGTCAGCGCTTAAGTGATGGTACGGCCACACTCTCAGAGCTAACGACGAATCTGTTGCTAAACGTTGTTTGTTGATGGAAGTCGCTGGAAAAAGACCGAGAGGGCGGCCGAAACAACGATGGTTGGACGCTCTCCACAACGACATGAAGAACACCCGACTACACCCAGACCATGCAGCCGATCGAATAAAATGGCGCCTACGATCCAGAATAGCAGACCCCGCAACCGAGCGGGACAAACGCTGAAGTAGAAGAGGAAGACACATATCCGCCTAATCTTCGAAAATATGAATTGCGGTTTTTTTCCACCTAAAGCTTCGGCGGAAGTCTATTTCTTTTGAGCTTATCGTCAATTTTTGAATTGATATCGTTTTTTGAAGGTGGCGCTCTAAGCACCTTCCTCATGACCAAGTCTGAGAAGGTGTCGAACCTGACCTTGACGAGGTTCTGTCTCGATGCCGCGAGGGGACTGGACTACCTCCATGAAGTTGGCGTCCTACACAGAGATGTAGCCGCCCGAAACTGCCAGTTGGACGAATATGGAACGGTATTTTCATAGAACCCAAATATTCATTGACCACCATTTTCAGCTAAAGATAGGTGGTTTCGGCTTGTCGCTGAAAGCATACTACTACGAGATGTCATGACCCGAAAACCTTCCAAGCCGCTATCTTGCGCCACAGTGTTTGACGGAGTACGCTTTCAGCTCGCAGTCGGACGTCTACGCCTACGGGGTTTGCTTTTTGCTCTTATCTGACTAAATCAGAACCTTTACAGCATCTCATCTGCGAAATATTCAACAACTGCCAGATGCCATATGCTGGCATGTCGGGAGCAAAAGCCCGCGAAGAGGTTAGGTTTTCATTTTATTTAAAAAAAAAAAAGTCTGTTTTCTGCAGATTCTCGCCGGGAAGATTCTCAGTGTGCACGGCAGAGCACCCGAACCTCTGCGCGTCTTAGTGGAGAATAGGATTTTTGCGTTCCATCCCATATACAGGCCACCAATGAATGAGGTATACACTTTCTTTCAGGGCGAATATTTTCGACGCAAAATACCTTAAAACTGAAAAACTGTGATTTCTAAAAGTTTGTAAGTCGATTGAAGTTACTGAGTTATCCTTTCGAAAAGTAAAAATGCTTTACGGGAAAGTTGAGAATCTCCAGTTCTTCTAACTGATCTTTGATTTTCAAAAAAATGGCCATGCACTTTATAACAGAATTTCGCGGCTATTTTTTCTCGATACTTGAAAAAATTGATTAACAACAGAATAAAAATAGAGTAGAATAGAATTTTCAAAAAAAGGGCTTAAAAAACTTTGAAAAAAAATCTTCAGATAGTCGATTTTCTCGATGCGCTCGTCAACTGTTTGGAAGAGGTTAGAAACTCGAATTTTTTCAAAAATTATTTTTTTCACAGGCGAACCCGGGCGAAAACGGAGAGGTTGAAAGTGCGTTGGAGGCCGGAAATGGGGACAACCTGCAGCCGAGCAATGAAACGGAGGTGAAATTTTGGTTCAGTCTTTTTTTGTCCATTGGAGCCTAATGGTAACACTGGAAATGGTTCCAAGGTGTGGCGTCTCTTTATTAGCTGTGAGGCTAATTCGAAGGCGCTTCAATTGAGTGGTTCAGTGGTTTTGAGTTTAGAATGCTTTCTTGTGCGTTTATCTGCGAGCTTGAATTTATAAGTAGTTTATTAGTCAAGTGGCAAATTATAGTAAATATAAGAGGGGGAAAAAAAGGGGGGATAAATGGGATAAAAAGAAAGAATAGAAAAAAAGTGGTTGCAACGGCTCTATTGAGCCGACCAGAGCTTTTATAGTCTCTGAAGAAGGTGGGGTTTAGTGTATCATTTCGAGTAGTTTCGAAATGATTGCGTGGGCGATCCATCGGTTTGAGCTGCTTCGTCGGTGATCAATCTTTGGGGATTTCGTAAGATTGCGAGAGGGGTTTATATTTAGATCTAGTCGGGTAGATTTGGGTAATTAATCAATGCTGAGTCATGGCAGTGATTGCGAAAGATTTCATCTCTTTCGTGATCTTTATGTTAAGAAAAGAATAGTTTCTCGCGATCCGCGATACTCCCGGGGCGCAATGAATCCATTTCAAGTAATTGAGGAGACGAAAACAACAATGGATAAAAATTCATGAGCTTAATTCTTTCAATAACAATTTTCGTTGTTAAAAGTTTATAATCAACAGTTTCACGCAATTAAAACGAGTGAAGGGGGAAGAAGTACAAAAAAGGAGGGAGGGGGAGGGAAAGAGAGAGACGGGCCCTCACTGCATGAGCGGGCTCTGAGCCCTGCTCATTTGGGCTGTTTGTTGATTGAGGGAAGACAATAAGTTGTGGTCTGGATTTGTCCTTCCTTTTTCGGTAATGATTCTTAAGTAAGCGGCTGTTGCATACATATTTTCGGATGCGTCCGAGAATAATACCAGTTCAATAGACTTGGTTTTATCTTTAGAAATAGCCAATCTGGGTATGAGAAGATTGCACTTCTCTATTGTCTTCTGAAAAGACTGAAATTCTTTTACGTGATTTGCTGCGATCACATCGTCCCATTTTGCTGTGGGATGTTCGAAAAGTTTTGGTAGTAAAAGTTTTCCTTGAACGTATAAAGGCGCAAATAGGCCTATTGGGTCAAAAATTCCTGCGATGTACCGTAGGACTTCTCTTCGAGTAATATCTACGTGCTCCATGCTCTGGGGAATTTTTACCTTTAATTTATCCGTAGCCGTGTTCCATTGATAACCTAACAGTTTTTGAGTTTCTGCTTTGCTCAAGTCTTCCTTCGGGATTTCTTTTTGAATTCTTGGGTCATTACTTGCATATTCCCTCAGGTTCATGCTAATATTTTTGAAAAGTTCTTTGCTTTCTTTATGAAGACCTTCTGGTCGTTCTTCATTATTGTACATCATGAAAATGTTATCCACGTATAAATTGTGTTCGACTGCTTCGGTTACTCGGCTTTTTTCTTTCATTTGTTCCACATAATGTTTAATGCTAGCTGCCAATAGAAATGGGCTTGCATTTACCCCAAAAGGTATTCTTGTAAATCTCATTGTTCTCACGTTATTTTCTTCAGTAGGTTTGGTGGGGTTTTTGTACCAAAAGAATCTGGTACAATCTCTGTCTTCCTTTCTCAATGTAATTTGGTGGAACGCTTTTTCAACGTCTGCTATCAGCAAGTTTTTTGCTGTGAAGCTTCGTAAGATGATTCCGACTAAGTCGGGTAAAATGACTGGTCCTTGGTGGATTGCGTCATTCAAGGAGTATTTTCCTTTCATATGAGCTGATGCGTCGAAGACTATTCTGGCTTTAGTTGTGTTTGAGGTCATGTTTATGACAATTTGATACGGTATGTAATAGTGAGGACTTCCTGGGACCGAATTTTCCTCTGTTACATCTTCTATGATGCTAGCTTCTTCGTGTTCTTTGAAATTTTTCACAATTTTGTCCCAATTCTCCCTACATTTTGGGGAATTTTTCTGTTGTATAAATCTTCGCCACGCTACTGGGCGATTGTCATGGAGGTTTTCTTTTTTACCGTCTTTCCAGGGCCATGCCACTGTGATTTTGCCACTGGAATCTATGTTAACATTCGATTTGAAGTGTTTCATAACTTCTTCTGTTTCATTATAATCGCTGCGGTCGGTAATTCCGATGCCGCTTAGGTCCATCATATCTTCAATAGTTTTATTGATATTTTGTGCTGTCATAGCACGAGTCATAACTGGATACTCCTGGTGAGTCCAGACTTGTCCGCATACTAGATGGCCTAGTGAACTAGGGACTGCCACCATCCCGGAAGGTAGGTTTATCATATTTTTTGGTCCATTTATAAATGTCCAAAATAGGTCCATGCCTATAAGCAATTGAGGTGAGTCTTCCTCACTCTCTTCTAATTTATCCTCCATTATACCGTTTTTCTAGCATCTTTTCTCTATCTTTGTCCATAAGTTGTGGTTGATTCACCGATATGGTGATGCTAGGCGTGGTAAACGCTTTTTATTCCTACCAATATGTTTTTCTTTCGTCTCAATGTATAACTGCACCCGATCCGCGGGTGAGTCTATGGGTTTCTGACCAAAAACTGCCAATTTCAATGGACAGTTCTTCTGAATTATTTGGAGTTGCAGGGCTTCCGCTGCTTCCTTTGTTATAAATGTTGTGTCCGATCCTGTGTCTAGCAAGATTTTTGCATTCAATCCTATCTTTGGGGCTTCTGGTTTGTTCCATATTTTACCTTGGGCTATCATCAGATTGCACTGTGTGCTTACCATATTTTGTCTGGCATAAATGACTTCTGGTTTTCTAGGTGATCTCGTGAAATTGTTTACTTTTTCTTGTTGATCTTTTGTACCGTTAAATTGGTTTCCTGAGCGTTGTTCTTGACTCTTTTGTCTATTGCAGAGTGCTGAATTGTGGGCACTTTTGCAGAACTTGCAGCTCATTTTCGAATAACAATCTTTCAACATATGTCCAGGTTTCAAGCATTTTAGACAAAGCTGTTTTTCCTTCGCTTTTCTTTGTCGAGCATTTCCGTCAGGCACTGTTTTACATTCGTAAAATTGATGATTGTTTCTGTCGCAGAAGACACATTTATTGTTCTTTCTGAATTGGTTTTGCGGATTTTTTCCTTTTTCGTTGTGTTTCTGGACAGTGAAAGTGTGCAATGCCATTTCTTGACGCGAACTAGTTCCTCTATTGACCTTTTCTTGCATTGAAATTATGGATTCGATGTCATCTAGCATCATGTCGATATAACTGTAACCATGGCATGTGTGTTCTGCTTCTAATCTTGCTAAGTTGGTGAGTAGCCACTTTGGGAATTTGTATCGAATTTCGTTCAGAAATGGAGCTGAATCGACGTTCTGTTTTACGTTTTTCAAGCTGTGAATTAAGATAGCACAGTTGTTGAAAGTGTTTCTGCAACTAATTATATTGTCTTTTGCATAAGGCAATTTCTTCAGCTTTTCCCACAGTGTGTCGAATTGGGTAGTTTCGTCTCCATATGTGTCATGTAGCCTTTTTATGACTTCTGCGTACGAATCTCCTGTCTGTGGGTATCTTTTGATGAGCTCAAGCGCTCTTCCTTTACAGCTGCTCAAAAGGGCTGCAAATTTTAGAATGTCAGCTACGTTTTGTCGATGAACTAATGTTTCAAACATTTCCCAAAATGGTAACCAATTTTCTTGTTCTCCATCAAACTTTGGAATTTCTAGTGAATGATTGTGAGCTAAAAGCTTTGTTACATCTACCGTAGGCGTGCTATTGGTTTGGTTGTTTGTTGTCGACCTGCGTGTAGTGTTTTGCGTTCTATAGGGATTTGATTGAGCTTGTCTGGGGTTGGTGTTTCGAGGATTACTGTTCGTGGATGCTGTACTGCCTCCTGGGTCGTCATCATCGTCTGTTTCTGCTTCTACTGCTCTTGGGAAAGTTTCGTTTGCGTCTTCGTTTTTGGTTTTTTGTTCCTTCCTTCTTAAGGCTTCTGTTAGTTTTCTCGAAGATTCGTCCCAGGATGAATCCTTATTTATCGCAAAATCTACGCTTTTTAATCGTATATCGAATTCTTCAGCGACCGTGGCTATTTCTGCGTATCGCTGTTTCAAACTTATTAACGTCTTGGATGCTTTTTCATAGAATTCTGTTATGATTCTGCCTGAATTGATGTCTTTTAGCACTTCTTCGTCAATTTTTTCGCTTGGAATTCTTCTTGCTTCTGCTCTACATTTCTTGACACACTCATCTAATACTTGCGCTTGTTGTTTAATTAGATCAACGTGAGTCTGGATACTTTCTGCGTCTTGTTCAATTTGGCTTACAATCTGTTCGCTGGTATGCCGTTTTGTATCGTATTTAGGAGCGGTCTTATGAGCATTCACTATCATGGAAAGACATTTTTGGCACGAGGTTACTACTGCGACATAGTTTTTCTGAATATCATAAGCCATTTGCTCTAAAGCTTCTTGTAATAGTTTTTCTGATTCGTCTTCCATTTTTGGACTATGTTTCTGATTAAATAAATTCTTTCCAGGTTTATGGTACTTCTGATTTCTGATATCTCCTTTCGGGTGTTAGGTTTTGAGTCCCTCAGACTGTATAAAATTCCCACAATAGGGCCTCTGTTTTGAGTCCTTCAGACTGTATAAAATTCCCACAATAGGGCCTCTGTTTTGAGTCCTTCAGACTGTATAATTTCCCGTCAATAGGGAGGACGGACGAGTTACGGACGGACAAGTTTTACCTTTGATTGTGAGACGAATTGCAATTCGCACCGCCGGCCGGTGTTGGAATTGCTGTAGTTAGTTCTCTTGAACTAAACTACTTTGGATCCTACAGCGACGCTCCACACTTGGGAGGAGTCCTGTCAATTTGACGTCTAGTAATTCAACTGCGGTGGTCAGTCGCAGAGGTGATTGAGGACTCAGGACTTGCACCCTATCCTATCAATCTAAGCGCTCTGGTCTGTTTAGACCTAAAAACTTTTTTTTTTTTGAGGGGAATTTACTAATTTACGCCTTAACTAAACTAAGCGCAGCTCGAGATATTTCCGAAAATTGTTTTAGATCCGAAAATTTGGCGGCTTTAAGTTCTTAAATTGGCCGATGCACCATAAATTTGTGGCGTCTCTTTATTAGCTGTGAGGCTAATTCGAAGGCGCTTCAATTGAGTGGTTCAGTGGTTTTGAGTTTAGAATGCTTTCTTGTGCGTTTATCTGCGAGCTTGAATTTATAAGTAGTTTATTAGTCAAGTGGCAAATTATAGTAAATATAAGAGGGGGAAAAAGGGGGGATAAATGGGATAAAAGAAAGAATAGAAAAAGTGGTTGCAACGGCTCTATTGAGCCGACCAGAGCTTTTATAGTCTCTGAAGAAGGTGGGGTTTAGTGTATCATTTCGAGTAGTTTCGAAATGATTGCGTGGGCGATCCATCGGTTTGAGCTGCTTCGTCGGTGATCAATCTTTGGGGATTTCGTAAGATTGCGAGAGGGGTTTATATTTAGATCTAGTCGGGTAGATTTGGGTAATTAATCAATGCTGAGTCATGGCAGTGATTGCGAAAGATTTCATCTCTTTCGTGATCTTTATGTTAAGAAAAGAATAGTTTCTCGCGATCCGCGATACAAGGACACCGATTCCTTTAAACGAACGCCGGACCGGAAACGGCTTGAGCGTGGAGACCTCAAGTACCATTGAGCCATTTCCAGTGCAACCACGTTTTTTCTAGTAGTGGAAACCTTGATAACTCTAAACTTAGTATGAAAATAGGGTAGAAAAATTGAAAATTCGTCAAAAGTCTAATGAGTCAACATATTTTACAGGACGTTTATGAGTTGGTCGACCCGGGCCGCACACTTGCCACCTATTAAAGCCGCAGAACATTGCCTCCATAGAGAGGAATCACGACTGATCATGTACTATTCGCCTTTTCCTCAATAAACGTTTAATTTTTTTGGTTTTCGAATTCATGAAAATCGGCTCTGAAAATGGAATAATTAGAAAGTTTGCTTTGGCTACCTTGAGAGGTTCCATATATATGAAGTACATTTCAAAAAATCAATCAAAAAAATTTGACTCGAAATTAAAATTTTTATACACAGGAAAGATGGAGAAGGCAAAAAAAAAAAATGGGGAGAAAAACCCGCAAACCAAAAAGATCGAAAGTGTATAGCTGAAAACACCTGGGACGCAAAATTCAACAAACTATAAAAAGGGTCGGTGATGAAAAAGATCAATTTCAACCATGAAAAATACTCGTGAACTTTCTAGAAAATACCAGGAAAAAACAAGCTGAATATCCAATTAATTGAAAAAATTAGATAAGGAAAACAAGGAAATATTTCCAAATATAACTTAAAGCGTTAAAACATGGAAGCCCTCTAGAAAAACTCAAGAGAGAGCTCTCTGGATACCACACAGGCAATAAGGGTCAGGAAAATAGATATACCTCACGGAATAAATCATGAAGGAAGCCAACGTCCTCGCGAAAGGTTCACAACAAGGAAGGATGATGGGGCATTGCGAGACTGGTGTCGGAATCGTCCGATCCGTCGGCCCCTTCACTCAGAAGACGTGCTCGGGCGGCGGCTCTCTGCGCGGCCTTCCGATGTCGGTAGCGGTTGCGGCCCATGACGAGATAGTCGGCGGTGGTGATCCGCTCGACCTCGTCGTCTAGGGAGATCTTCGGAGGCGGGTGTCGTGCCGCCGACGGCCGCTTCTTGCTGTTCTGTCGCCATTCATGGTACTCGTCGTAGGCCTGGAAACTAGTAATGGTACTTCTTAGTAGTTCTGCAATAAAGTGCTTCATGATGAGGTAAACAAAACACATGAAAAAAGGGTTTTCAAGTCGGAAATTTTCTAACGATTGTTCTCATTTCTTAAAAGATGTTGCGATAACTTGTTAAAAGTTCCTTCAAACTAAAAAAAAAGAGAGCAGCAGCCAGATTTAACTTTTCTCGCTAGTTGAAAACTCCTTCTTCAGTTCAGTGACTAATATTGGTGAATCTCGTTATTTTTAAAATGGATCGAAATTTAAAAAAAATCACCTCAGCTTTCTCCCTGTCATCTTCTTCGATTTTCTCATCTTTCAGCGAGAAAATCGCCACACGCATGGATTCATCGAAAGTGTAGGCGCCGCGAGACGATCGCCCACAAATTATCAACGATTCGATCGGCTCTACCGGTCGTGATTCCTGGAGTGAGTTAAACTAGTAAAAAAACATAATAATTGAAATACAACAAAATGGCCGACAAAACGTCGAAAAGACACAATTGGCGTAGAAAAAAATGTTTTGGATGCAAAAGGGTGTATACGGTCCAAGCAATTATTAGGGGTACGGTATGTAAAATTTTGGGCCTTTTCTTTTTTGGCGTAGTTTTTTTTTTACTTTTTCATCGTAATTTTCCCTTTTTTGAGTATTTTTTTTAATAGTCAATTCACTTAGTTCTTAAACTAATACTTATGAAAACAAGAACACAAATACACGAAGCACCGCAAAAAACTTATTTTGGCGAAAAATAAAATATTTTCGACGCAGAGAGTGTTTGCGGTCAATACATTTTTTCGGTTACGGTGCACTAAACGTCAAATTTTTACCACTTGAACGGTCCATGTATCTTCGTTACAGCAGAGTTTAACCATTTTCCGTATCGTAGATCCATCAGATGCCTTGAATCTTGCCTGGAAAAAGTTTACTATCGAAATATACGTTTGGAAAAATTACCAGTGCGTAGAAATCGCTGTTGAAGACAGGGTAGATGCACTCGAATTCGATAAGCTTCGAATATTTGATGGCCTAACAAGAAAAAGTTGAAAAATCTCGTAATTCATGTCGTTTTTAATGTATTTCCGTGAAACCCAATATCACTATGGGAATATGAAAAATATAGCTAAATTTTGGAGAATCAGAAATAACCTTTGCTCAATTAATTCAAACGCGGTAAGAAATTAATTCGAACTAAGCAATCGATTTTTTTTTTCAAAACTTGATGAAATGTTCTGCAATCCGTATTTTAATTCAAAATGAATAGTATAACTCCGTTTACAGGCAAAAAATCGAGTAAGAACGAGTAAATTCCCGAAAAATCGTTGACCTCTGTGCTAACATCGATCATCAACTGATCTGGATGAGCGTCCGAGTTGCGCTCCTCAATATTAACGTTTTCCTTGTGCTCCTGCTCGACGAGGCTCTCCAGGCCAGTCTGAAAATTGGTTTTTGTCAAGTTATATATTGAAAATGATGAATTAAGTTTAAAATGGATGATTTTTTCTCAGATAATTGGTGCTTGTTCAATAAAAAGATCATTACAACCTGTTCAGAATAATTTTAAAAATATTAATAAATTCCTGTTTAAAAAAAAACTATGTTGAAAGAGACCGTAACCTTGAAAAAAAAAACTTCAAAAAATTTAAGAAGCACAGACTGAAAAGTCTGAAGTAGCCACTTGAGAATTTTTTCTTTTAAATTCTAAACCAAGTACTCTCTGAAGCGTTAGTTTTCAACGGCCTTTTGAAATTTAGTGGCCACTTTAGGGTTTTTTTCTATTCTCATCATTTTTCAAGCGCTCTCCGTGCAGCTTCCACTCATTAAGGTGGAATTTGTCAATTTTCTTCCCGAAAGTCTCAAAAAATCACCGTCTCATCAATGCGGCAAATGATAGACTGATCATACTGTAGGCCGGGTTCTCGATCCCCCAAAATGAGTCCCTCGAAGTTCGGGACCAAAGTGAGGGCGTAGAAGGCGTATTTCGTGGTTCCCATCACATGGAGCGCCCTTTTGGCCATCAAATTTCCATTGGGTTCTTCGCTGAACCGGTGTCTGTACGTCTTTTTCGCTCTCCGCTGCTCCCGTTCGTCTCTGAAATTCGGCTTTTTTCTTGGGAAAAAATAAATCTTCTTTTTTTTGCCCTCGAAGCGTTTAGCGGGCCCCGAGTGGATCTGCCCTAATATCTGTGATATAGTCTGTGTACCACGACTTTAAATTTCACCGAACGACATTCCGATGTTCCGCTCGCGAAGCGTCTTTGCGAGCCTCGGTCTCGCTTTGAATTGGTTCTAATTTATGATAGATGGACTGTTCCACTAAGAACACGTGTTGGTCGACTTCTTAAATAAATTGGAAAAATTAAAGACGCCTCGCGACGCAGCGGAACAGCGGAATGTCGTTCGGTGAAATTCCAAGTCGTGGTACACAGACTAAAATCTGGGGACCGGCCCTAGTGAGACATCCGCCTCAGAGTGGAACGGCTGGGTCTCAGGCTTGTGTGAGGGCCGGCCCGTCCGCCCAACCAGGCCCGGCCTTAGAGACGCCTCTACCAAAAACGAGCGGCCCAGAGAAGATTTTCTTCAAGTCAAAATTCAGACCCAAAAAATTACGTTTTCGGTTCGTTATTGACTCAAAATTGAACATGATTTTGAGTATTTGGGTAGGGAAGAAAATTATATTGAATTTTAATTTGAAGCCTGATTTGGCCCAAGCCCGCGCGGGATTTTTTGCAAAAGAGGCCCAAAGTCCGGGTTGTCCAGCCTGAAGCGTAAGTCTGCTGGGAATAATAAAGCCGTGGTTAGGTGGCGGCGGGGATCGAACTTGTGATCCTTTGAACCGTAACCAGGCTCACAACCAGCTGCGCTACGATGCGCTGCTGGGAGGCAAAATAATTAGGAATTTAATCGCTAGAGATTACATGACCTTTAGGGTCCGAAAAGTGGTCCCTATTGGGGTAAAATCAAGGTGGTCCATATAGGGATTTACGGTCTGACCCATTAGCCCCTAGAGGGGACCCTCAAGAGCCCCTAAGGTTGTCCCTATAGGGACCAGAGTTCCGAAATAATCACTTGAACATCTCCATGATGGGATCTTCGAAAAGACAAGCCAGAGACTGATCCGCGGGTTCTTGTTCATCGACGTGGGGGACGAAAGGAAGCAGTTCAATGTTCTGGAATCCTTGGTGCTGTTTGGACGTTTCCACTTCGTAGGCCCAATCCTAGAAAAACGTGAAAAAATGTGGAAAATTCGAATCTGCTAGATTAAAAAAAATGTTGAAGACTCGAAGGCTAAGTTTTTTGAAGGCTTCTAAAAAGGAATGACTTCGAAAATATTTTATTTAAAGTCAAATAATCATTTGTTATTGTTTTAACTTTGATTTTGATATTTTCTTATTACTCTTTCCAAAGAAACTCATATTCTAAATAGTGAAAAAAAACGGACAGCCAAAACTTGATATGAAATTCGAAAAAAACCCCACTGTCTAGTTAAAAATGCAATTGCGTTAAATTAGAAATTGCCCGAAATATCTCATTTTCAAGAAAAGAGCGGTTTTCGAGTACGCTTCAAAAGGAGCTAATATACAATTTTCTTTTCTTCTAAATCAGTTTTGTTCTTGCACCAAAATAAATTCTCTTTTTCACATCCGAGGGATCTCCAGGGTGGAAAAACCCAATAAAAAGGGCCTTTTCGGTGAACTTAATGAGAAATCTCAATGGAGAGTTTCCTTGTGTTTTCTATTTTTTATCCCTGAAAATTTCAAGCTTCAAAACTTCCTAAGATCATCTTAAAGTCAAGGAAACCTATTAAAATCCGTTGAAAGAGGCTATTTTGAGCCTCTATATCCCGAAAACTGGATGTTCAGACAAACTGCGATTTTCAAGATCTTCAGGTACATCAAAGAATTCCCCGAAACAATAAACCTTTCCGGGCAATTTTATTTGCCTGAATCTCCGCAGAAACTCACCAATTCCAAATGTCCTTTCGACAATTTCAAGGCGTCGAGGACACTGGGCGCCTCCTGGACAGTTTCGCAGAGTTCTCGGAAGACTCGGGTCAGCCCGTAGGTCCTGCAGGCGTCCGTCGGGCTTCCGCCGGTCGGAAAAAGCCCGTCGAGGAGGTGGTCCCGTTCGCCGATCACCTCCAGAGACTTGGCCGAGAGCTCATCGGTGAAAAACGAACCGATCTGGGGGAAAAAATTCATTTTCTTTTAGACATATTTTTGAATTTTTAAAAGCTCAATAAGTCTAGAATTAGCTATAAAAATTCAGGAAATGTGTAAAAATGAGCCGATCTGGAGAAAAGAGCCCATTTCAATGTTTTTTTTCATTTTTTTTTCTATCAAAAATAACATGAATTAAGGAGGAAAAGTCAGTATTTTACAAAGAATTCTATGAAAATTCCGGTTCTCCGTAAGAAGAAATGAACAAATCTAGATAAAAAAAGACTATATTTCTGCATTTTTTTAACTTTTTTTGCTCTAACAGGAGGAAAAAGTCTACTTTCTTGAAAAATTTTTCATCATTTTTTCTTTGTCCTATGGTGAAAATATATACTTTACAAGGATCAAAAGCTCAAAAAAGGCTAAAATGTTCCATAAAAATTCCAGAACTGTATGAAAAATGAGCCGTTCGGAGAGAAAAAGCCTATTTTCTATAACTTATAATTGTTTTCTTCCTCATTGAGAAAAATTTATGAAGTTAAGTTACTATTTAAAAAGGACAAAAAGCTCAAAAAGGCTAGATTCGACTATAAAACTTCCAGACCCGCGCAAAAATGAGCCAATCTTGATAAAAAAAGGCCTATCACCTAATTTTGCATTATTCGTTCTAATTTTCCCTCAGAAATTCGATAACTTTTCTCTCATTAGAAAGAGAAAAAGCTAGTTTTTTCTGATATCAGATTATATTTTTCTATTAAACCTACCCGATCCACGCAAATCCTGTCCAACTCGGTTCCATCTTCAGCTCCGACGACCATGATCGACGCATTCTCATCAAGACCCATTCTTTTGGTTATAGAGGATTTTGATCGATTCGCGTCTCGGCTGGAAATCGTACCGTAATCGTGAAAAATTGTAAAGAAATCGTACCGTAATCGTGAAAAATCGTCAAGAAATCGTACCGTAATCGTCAAAAATCGTAAAGAAATCGTACCGTAGTCGTGAAAAATCGTAAAGAATTCGATACCGTAACAATACAATCATTGAATTGATATTTAAAAATGATACTTAAAATATAAAAAATCCATAGAAGAGAAAAAAAATGAGCTTGAAGTAAATTGAACTCTTTTCTTTCTGCAAAATGACTTTCTGAATTTATTGATCCCAAAATAAACCCGAATTTCTGGACTTTCTTTCAATGTAGAAATTTTCTCACCCTTCCATGAAATAAATTTTTTGGAACCCTAACCTTGAAATTCCCTATTTTCTCTCAAAAATCCATTCGCCATGGTTTGAAATTTTTCCTAGCGTCTCTATTCCCTTACCGGTGAGGTTAGAGAAGCATGGAAACAGCACGTCAAAATGAGAGGGTAGAGGCCCTTTCAAGTCGCAAAAAACGGACTGAATTCGGAAAAAAATTTTAAATGCAGCGAAATTTTTTTAATGGTATCCTTTCCGAAAAATTCCCAATTTTCTCAATTTCCTATCATAAAAACTCACTATAATCCAATATACTCCGGCCTCAAAGCCAACAATTCCTTCTTGATCTCGGCGTGATCAACAGCAGCTTGTTCCTAGAAACTTCATTTAGGAATTAAATAGGAGAAAAAAACCTTGGCCTCATTATAATACTCCAACTCGTCGAAATCGCTCTCCTCGTCCTTTTCGACCAATCTCTGAGAAAACATATACTTCTTAGTTTTGGAAAAAATGGGGAAACCTCAATAAAGCCATCCAAATCGAAGAGGATCTCTTCATAACTTTTTCGCTTTGTCTCATCAACGATAAAAGTGTTGAGAATGTACTGGAAAAGAAAATCAGTTCAAAAAACAACTTTCGGAATTTTTTTTTTTGAAGTTTTCTGATTCACGGGTAGCAAGGGAGGTCACTTTACTTAGGCGTTTGGAATTTTCTATAACAATGCTCAAAAACTCTTTGAAAGTCAGAATGAAGATCCACATAGTGGCTACCTGCGCAAACTTCTAGTTTAGGAGATATTTATTTTCGAGCGGTTATCAGGATTATTATTATCTCATTTCATCAGGTCGACTAGTCGGTCTCATTGCCGCTCTCTCATGGGATAATATTTCGACGCCCGTCAGCCCTAGACAAGCTGGGCGCCGTACTGTTCCAACATGGTGAAGCAGTTTATTCGCTGGTACTACCAACGGGACCACATTATTTCCCAACCCTAGCTGTTACGCTGGGACTTATTTTACAACGATTGTGGACCGTAACCCGCGCCGACGACTGACTCTTCGATTATAGCATGATTCAGCAGAGACTTTTTCTACAACTTACTCTGAAGACTGAATAAATTGAAATTGAAATTGGTTATCAGGACCTGGCCTTCCTCAGTCAGCCGGCTTGATGGTGCAACCAGTAAGAACCTTGCTTGCGGAACCTATAGCCAGGGTCCTCATCCATTTTGCAGGATTTCTCTTCAAAATGACCTCCCTTTTAAGGGGCGTGGCCTTTCTACGCTCTCCAGCGGCACCACTCATTTTTTAAAATCGTGTCAGGACTCTTTTTAGACTGCCAGCCGCCTATAGATCCTTCAAACCCACCCTAATCAACTGAGCAATGTCGATCCGACGACTCTGAACCATCAAATTTACTTTGGCCGTCCTGGCGTTTGCTGGGATCAGCATCAGCCAACGGACCAACTGCACCATTTCATGTCTGGAAATACTTCATTTAATCAACTTTTATCGGAAATCTGATGAAAAATAAACCTGAAACTTACGAAAATGAAAAAAAAAAACAGTCACTGATGGAAAAAGCTGTTCCCTTCTAAAAAGTGCCAATAAATAAAGATATAAAGAAATTAAAAAATAACAGCTTCAAAAATTTAAAATTTTTACTCAACTGATTATATCAATAATTTCTTTGATCTGCCATATTTTGTCATGAATTTTTTGAAAAATGGTTCTAGAACTATTAGAGGATCACATACAGAAAGTAAAAAATTCCTTGCTCTCTTGAATTTCATCAAAAATTCCTTATCGCAAAAAACTTAGTACGAATCGATTAAACGAAAATACTTGAAGAAAAAGACGATTTACGAACTTTGCGCGTAATTTGAAGTTTACTCTGTGCAAAATTCGCAAACGGTGTATGCGGCTAAAACGCCGCTTTACGCGCAAAATCAATTTTTCTCATTTTTCTTCAATTTTATAATTGTTTTCTTCTCTCTTCAACTTACAAATTAGCGACAGAAGCCGTGCAGAGTTGCGACACTTTGTGCTGCAGTCGGACGCGATCTCGCTTGAGTTGATCCAGGATTGGCGATGTCGCCGAGGAGACGATTCTCTCAGAACTTTCGCTTCTCGAAGCGGAAGCCGAGGTGATGGTGTCGTCGTAGACTGGTCGAAGGATGATATCTCTGGAATTTGAATTACTTTTTTTCAAAACAGAAAACGATATTACACAAAAGTTAGGTATGAGAAATGTTTGGATTTCTTCGCATTTTTGACATTTTCCGTGTTTATTTCGAATGTTTTTGCTCACAAGGCATTGTTCTTGGTGTCCAAGTTGAACTTGATGGTATCGACGAGTTTGACGAATTCGGACATGTGAAAAGCGACAGATCTGGCGGCTGACGACAGTTGGCCTCTGACGACGTGGACAAGGGCTCTGCAAAGACAAAAATCGGTTCAATAGATCAATACTCGGAAAAAAAAAGATAAAATAACTGAATAATAAGACAATAGTCGAGAACTTGATTTTGTCTCGAAATGTCTCGGAAAGATCCCGTCTCTACTCATTTTAAGACAAGTCTCAAAATGTCTCGTCTCGGAAAATCGGGACTAGGATTCATTTCGAACGGGAGACTTTCAATGAAGAAAATTCCGTTAAATCATATATGAATTTTTCAATTTTATAATGATTTCAAGGCGTAAAAGTCTCGTCTCAAGATATCTAGTAAACTTCTTGAATCTATATCGATTTTTTAAGATGAGTCTTCATTTTTTGAGAATTTCTCTCCTCTCATCTCAAAAAATCAGATTTTGAACAACCCTGCTGTTAAAGTGTATCATAGTCATCAAGTGACCACTTAAGTGCTTCGGAACCTCTACAGTAATCACTAAAGGGCTCAGGAACGTCCGGAAGCCTTACCAGTGTTAGAACTTTTTCTTAAATGCTTCACTGGAAAACTTTTTAGTGGCCACTATAGAGGTTCGCAAAGGACTATTGGAGAGGACACTAAAGTGGTCACTAAACCCACCTCTATAGTGGCCACTATTGTCCGTTTTAGTGGCCCCTTCAGTAGTTTTTCATCTAGTATTCCTTCCAGTAACTCTGATAATTTTAAAACAAACAGATTGGACCAGTTATGTTGATCCATTGACCCCTAAAGTGGCCACTAAAGTTCTTAGTGGTCTAGTAGTAGCACTTAGACCTCTATAGTGACCACTAATATTCAACCCCTAAGTGGCGACTAATTTGACTACTATAGTGGCCAGTAAAACGTCAAAAACCCTATAGAGGCTACTGAAAAATTTTTCCCAGTATTCGCCATAGCTTCGAAAGCTCTTTTTCAACGCTCAGTTGATTATATCATTGACTAAAACAACAAAATAAATCATTGATTGATTAAAAAATATATTTGACATTTGATTGGTCAATCTATAGGAATTTGTATGATAGATTTTTTGGTCAAATCCCATGGAACGGCTTTTGAGAATTTCTTCTTTATTCATAAGTCCTCTGAAACGTAACAGCGAGAAGAAATTTCTAGAAATGCTTGAAAACTTTCTGAACACGTTTTAAAAAATTACTTCTGTCGATAGGCCTGAAAAAATCTTTAAAGGCCCAGAGATATCGAAAAACTTGTTTTTTTCGAAATATATGTCTATTTTTCATTTTAAAGTTTTCCTGAGCATCTTTTAAGACTTAAAATATATTATTTAAAGCTTCTTCAGTGAATTTTCAAGCCTTTCTGAAAATTTCTCCTCGCTGCTACGTTTCAGAGGACTTATAAATAAAGATCAATTTCTCAAAAGACGCTAATTAGAAGTTCAAACGTGTAGTTGATCAAGTTGAAAACGTGGTCTTATGATCCTACGCCTTGGTATTCTCTTTCAAGCCTTGACGAGCTCAATAATTAAAAAAAAAAGATTGGACCAGTTATGTTGATTTATTGACCTCTATAGTGGCCACTAATATTTAACCCCTTAAGTGGCCACTAATTTGACTACTATAGCGACCACCAAAACGTCAAAACCCTATAGTGGCCACTAAAAATTTTTCCAACGTACTCAGAATAAAGGCGATGGAGTAGTCCACCTCATTAAGTGATCACTAAAGAGAAAAAAGCTCTACTTTCCCTTCAGTGACCACTTAGAGAAGAGCAAACACTCTTATATACTTTAGCACGTAATGAAAAACTCAGTTTCTTATTTTTAAAATCTGAAAAACCAGAAAAAGAGATTTTTTTCAAATTTTTCTCTAGAAACTTTCAAAAATCATGATCCGAACCTTTGGATTATTGATTTTCTCGAGATCATAATCAATTATTTTTTTCGTTATTTCACTATCTACTATAGATCATTTTTTCAACATTTTTCTTGATTTTTTTTTTGGTTCGTCGAAAAACCGACGTCAAATGCCTTTCCAGGAAATCGTGCATCGCCTGGGTTCCGTCGGGACCCATCCCTCGCTCCAAATACGATTCTCCGGCCGAGTCCGAGGCTCCGGCGATGAGGACGTCCAGAAGAACGTCTCCGATCTGCACCGACGAGGAACCCTGTCGAATCGATTTTGCAGACACTAAAGATATCTATTTCTGTGGAAAGAAAGCATTCCGATACACACCGTCATCTCATTGGCCCAATTTTTCTGCGTCGTTTCGAAACTCGTTTTGAAGAGCATCACCGAGTAGCACATTCGGAGGTACCTGGAAAATCAGTTTTTTAACATGTAAAGTCCGTTCAGATTTTAAATGTCAAGTCCTCGCTCAAGCTCCGCCCCCTATTGGCGAGATAAACCAATCAGAGAGCGAGCCATCCACAGAGCGTTTTGAATGACGTCATTTTACTTGACATTCAAATTTTAAGTCCGTTCAGTTTTTGAATGTCAAGTTGAATGACGTCATTCGAAAACGCTCTCTGATTGGTTTATCGCACCATTATGGGCGGAGCTTGAGCGAGGACCTGACATTTGAAATCTGAACAGACTATAAACTGGTCGGAAAAATTCGAGAAATTCCCTAATTACTAGAGCGTAGTTTTCTGGTGCAAATATTCGCTCAAAAATTACTTTTCACACAAGAAATTATATCTAACCGTAGAGAAAAACTCGAAAAAGTCAATAAAACGCCAAATTTATAGGCTTTTATTATGATACATTTTTAAAAATCAATGTTAAAATAACTTCTTTTGAAAATTATAACACTAAAATGAACAGGAAAATTATTAAAGCTGAAAAATGAAAATTCGTTTAATAATTCTTTTTAAAATTTGCATAGAGCTTAATTTTTCTGTCTTTTTTTTCACCCTTCGTGGCCATTTACCGGATTTTTTTAGATTTTTAACTCGATTTTTTTCGAATTTTTTTACTTTTTCTTTTTTTCAAGACTTATCAAAGCAAATCATAAAGAAGGACAAACTTTTGTTCAGAAATCCCAAATCTCTGCTTTTTTTGGCAGTTCCTCTTCATTCTTCCTACTTCTCCTCTCAAATAATCCCTTATTTCTCCCATATCCCAATGAAACCCTCATTTCTCCCTCTTTTTCACCTGAAGGCCACGTCCCAGATCCTCTCCGGATGGGGCAATTCGAACTTGAAGTTGTAGATGTGCGTGTGGACGCAGTTTTCCGAGCCGGGTTTCTGTGTCGGTTTTCCGAAGACCTGCAAATCTTCCAGAAGATTATTGAGGTATTCTACGGTTACAGTAACCCCCGGGTCTTCTCCACAAAAGGGGCGTGGTCCGCAGGTCGTTGCGGCTACCGTAATCCCGCCGACAGAGCGCGAAAAAATGGCATCGTAGAGCATGATTGGGGATACTTCCAGGGGTTCTGAGATAAAAAAATGGTTTCTGTTAGAGAATTTTTTTCTTAAAAAAATGAGACCTAAAGCCCCCATATTTTTTTAAAACTCACCCAAAACCGGCACGAAGTCAATCTCCGACAAGGGAAGGACTCCGGCGGCCAAAACCGAGACTTTCAGATCGTCGCGGACGACGAGGAGGACCGTGTCCCGGTAGGACGCGTTGAACTGCTCCAACTTGACGTAGCTGTTGTTCAAAGCTTCGAGCTGACCGTCTTCCGCTCGGAGAGTTGTCGAGTCCTGCAGTTGATTTCTATTTGGGGTGCTTTAGGAACTCCAGAGTGGTCCCTATAGGGACAACCTTAGGGTCCTTCTAGGGACCACGTTACCAACCCCTATAGGGGACACTAAAGCTTGCAAAAGTGGTCCCTATAGGGGACATGCTGGTCGATATTTCTTATAACCTCTAAGCGAAGAAGCATTTTCATGCGAAAAAAAATAAATCAGCGTTTTTAAGGAAACTGAGAGGAAACCCCTATAGGGTCCACTTGAGCTTTAGGGGCTCAGGAATCAGATTCTAAATCCCTATTGGTCTCCCCTTATTTTACCCCTAGAGGGACCACTTTCCGACCCCTACAGTGGTTTTTTTTCCCCTAGAGAGACCACTCTGTATATCCTAAGGGCAAAAATTTGGCACCTTCGGATATTTTGCTCAATGTAAAACTGACCAAACTTCGCAAATCTCCAAAAAAAACGGTTCAAAATTTTTTCTTCTAACGAGAGTATTTCCGAAAAAAAGACTAGTACCTCCTTCAAGTGGTCACATATGAAGGCAACGTCTTCGGGTTCTGGCATTCCTTCTCTGGTTTTCGGCGCGACGCGAGGATCTGAAACTGATAGAGATTCGAAAATTCCGTGTTTTTTGATCAAGAAGCAAAACTACCCAAATAATCGGCAAAAAGAGGTTATTTGAAGACTTCGAAGCACTGATTTAAAATAAATTTCTTCAGCGAAACTCTTTTTTTTGTAGAATAAGAATTCCTCACCATTATTTTTTCTGTTTTCGCTGGCTCTTTTCCTCAATTTCCCGACGAGATCCGCCGGTTCACTGATCGCCTCGTCGTATTTGCACCAGCGGAGTTTTAGTACACTCGGAGGGAAAGTCGTTTCGCCGATCCTTCAAAAATCTGTTTCGTTGAAAAAATGAAAACTTTTTAAGGAATGGAATGAATGGACTACACGCAGAAGAAGGCGGCGAAGGGCCTTAAGACCATGCTTTCAACTTGATCAACTACACGTTTGAACTTCTAGTTCGTCAAAGGCGGTAAATTGGAAGCCACAAAATGACTGATACGCAACAGGTTATGTGCTTGTCTACAGTCCACAGCATAGATGGGATAGTCTCGGCGGGACCTGAAAAGGGTGGGGGGCTTGGCGAAAAAAAGCTCAATTGATTGGCAGAAGCGACTTTTTTTAAAAAGTGATCGGAAAAAAAGAACTTTCACATCCTTCGGCGTTCACGTAATTCAATAAATCAACTTTAAAAAAATCTTTTTCTTCAAAATGGAGCTGGGGCGGGGTGGGGGTGGAGGAACTAGGCATTCGGGGGGTGGTTTGGTATTAGGGGGAGGGGGGCTTAGTATTAGGGGGGCTCGGTATTAGGGGGGAGGGGGGACTTGGCTGTCACCAGTCATGCTCATCCCATGGTCCACAGGGTCACAAGTTCGATCCCCAGCCCAACCAAGGGGTCTAAGAAATGTTGGTAGTGGGAAACCACGACTTCAAAATCCCCAGCCAAGGACGGATATTTCCCTAGAACCAGTCCACTAATTATCAGTGATATCAGGATAGGACCTCGGCTAATTGACTTGGGGAGGTCAAGCCGCTTAAGCGGGACAAGGAGCAGAAGAAGAAGAAGAAGAAGACAAACAGGAAAAATTCGCCGATTTTTTTATAGTCTGTGTTCCATGACTTGAAATTTCGCCGAACGACATTCCGCAGTTCCGCTGCGTGCGTTCGCGAAGCGTCTTTCGAATCTAGGTCACGCTTTCAATTGATTGTTATTGCTTTGGGAGCACATGTAATTCGAGTAGCTTAATGAAATAAAAGAAAAAATTTTAAAAGCGCGGCCAAGGCGCGCAGCGGCACAGCGGAATGTCGTTTGGTGAAATTCCATATCCTGGTACACAGGCTATAAACATTCCTTGTAGATTCTCCAATCCGAGGCTTCCACCTAGAGCATGGTTTAGCTTGAAGATCCGCTACATTCTGAGCTCGTCAAGGCGTAGGACCATAAGACCATGCTTTTCAACTTGATCAACTACACGTTTGAACTTCTAATTAGCGTCTTTTGAGAATTTGATCTTTATTTATAAGTCCTCTGAAACGTAACAGCGAGGAGAAATTTTTAGAAGAGCTTGAAAATTTTCCGAAGTTTAAAATAATATATTTTTTCTATAAGTCTTAGAAGATGCTCAGGAAAACTTTAAAATGAAAAATAGACATATATTTCGAAAAAAACAAGTTTTTCGATATCTCTGGGCCTTTAAAGATTTTTTCAGGCCTATCGACAGAAGTAATTTTTTTAAAACGTGTTCAGAAAGTTTTCAAGCATTTCTAGAAATTTCCTCTCGCTGTTACGTTTCAGAGAACTTATGAATAAAGAAGAAATTCTCAAAAGCCGTTCCATGGGATTTGACCAAAAAATCTATCATACAAATTCCTATAGATTGACCAATCAAATGTCAAATATATTTTTTAATCAATCAATGATTTATTTTGTTGTTTTAGTCAATGATATTCAACTGGGCGGTGAACAAGAGCTTTCGAAGCTATGGCAAATACTGGGAAAATTTTCAGTAGCTACTATAGGGTTTTGACGTTTTACTGGCCACTATAGTAGTCAAATTAGTCACCACTTAAGGGGTTGAATATTAGTGGTCACTATAGAGGTCTAAGTGGTACTACTAGACCACTAAAAACTTTAGTGACCACTTTAGGGGTCTATGGATCAACATAACTGGTCCAATCTGTTTGTTTCAAAATTATCAGAGTTACTGGAAGGAATACTGGATGAAAGACTACTGAAGTGGCCACTAAAACGGAAAATAGTGGCCACTATAAAGGTGGGTTTAGTGGCCATTTCAGTGTCCCCTCCAAGGTCCTTGGCGAGCCTCTATAGTGGCCACTAGAAATATTCCCAGTAGAAGATCAAACGTGTAGTTGATCAAGTTGAAAGCGCGCTCTTCAAGCCCTACGCCTTGGTATTCTAGTTTACGCCTTGACGAGCTCAGAATGTAGCTGATATTTAAGCTGGACCTGGCTCTAGGTGGAAGTTTCGAAATGGAGACTTTAAACGGAATATTTGAATAATTTGGCAAATTCTTCCTGGGTTTACCATCATGTGAAATTTTTATTTGATTGATACCATTCTTTCAAATATTATGCATCAGCATCTTTTTCAGAGTGTCCCCCTCGTTACATAGTGATTACTTTTTAAGCCAACATTATGGAAAAAAAAATTTTCCGTATCACTTCTGGCCAAAGTTTTCGATTTCTCCCTTCATTTCACAAGGAAATAATCAGTTTTCTGGTTATTATTCACCTCAAACTGTGTTTCACGAAGCCAGTTTCGATATCGACGATATGAACGTGGCCATTGTTCAACGCGGCGGCGAGTAAAAGTCCGTCCGGGGAGAATTCCAAACAGTCCAGGGATCCGGCTTTTTCCAAGGCGACTCCCAGAGTTCCGATCAAGGAAACGTTGATCTGAAAGCCGATTTTGTGGATTTATAAGGTCATGAAAAAAAAAATACTCTACCCGCCCCTATAGGGATCATTTAACCTTGCAAAAGTGCCACTGGTCAATTGAAAGAATATGGAAGGGTTGCACGGAATTCCGCCTTCCTTTCCGCGTTCCTGAGGGGATTTCTAGTAGCCACTTAAGTGGTTCTTGAAGGACTATTTGGAGAGGACCCTAAAGTGGCCACTTGAAGCATCTCTATAGAAGCCATTTTTTGTGTCTCAGTGCCCACTATAGTAGTTTGAGTAGCCTAGTAGCACCTCTCCGACTTCTAAAGAGGCCACTAACTTAATCCACTTAAGTGATCACTAAATCTATAGAGGGTGCTCTAGTGACCCCTAAGTCAACCACCAAAGATTCCAGTAAACCGGTAAACCCCTAGAGTGGCCACTAAACCCCCTCTATAGAAGCCATCCTTTTGTGTCTTAGTGCCCACTATAGTAGTTTGAGTAACCTAGTAAAATCTTTCCAACTTCTAAAGATGCCACTTAAGTGACCATTAATTCGACCACTAAAGATACCACTAAAACGTACAAAACCCTCAAGTGGCCACTTAAAGCATCTCTATAGTAGCCACTTTTCATGCCTTAGGGCCCACTATAGTAGTTTGAGTAGCCTAGTAGTACCTCTAAGACTTCTAAACAGGCCACTTAAGTGACCCCTAATTCTACCACTAAAGAGGCCACGAATAAGTCAAAACCCTAAAGCGGCCACTTGAAGAATCTCTTTAGAAGTCACTTTTCGTATCTTCGTGCCCACTATAGTAACTTGAATAGCCTAGTAGTACCTCTCCGATTTCTAAAAAGGTCACTAACTTTTAGCCCCTTGAGTGACCACTATAGCGGCCACTAAAACGTCAATATCCAAAAGGGATCACTGGAAGTTTTCCCAGAGAAAAAAATCCTTCCACTTGCAACCCTGGAGGATAACCTCTTCAAGAAATAGCATAGAAATACCTTTCTTAGAATTTTTAGAGTGGTCCCCATAGGGATTAGGTAAAAAACAGCCCTTAGTGGGGCCGAAAAAGTGGTCCCTATAGGGGTTAAATTGAGGTGGTCCCTGAAGGGGTTCAAAGGTATGACCCCATTAGCGCCTAAAGCTTAAGTGGTCCCTATAGGGGTCAAATTTTATTCAAAAAAAGTTTTTTTTCCAGTTTTCGCATGGAAAGTTCACATCGAATATCGACTTGAATGTCCCCTATAGGGACCACTTTTGCGAGCTTTAGTGGCCCCTATAGGGGACCCTCCAAAGATCCATAAGGTTGCTCCTATAGGGACCACTCTGGAGTTCCTAAGCTGTTTTTGGAGGAATTTTTCAATTTTTCCTTTTTTTTTTCAAGAATAAGCTCATCCTCCTCCCGATTAAACTCATTGAAAATCGAAAAAAAAACCTTCCAAATTTTCTTCCACGACGTCCGTTTGAGCATAATTTCGCCATTTCGCGCCCCGATTGCCAGCAAATCATTGGCCGGACTGAATTTCAGGCAGTGGACCTAGAAAATTTGAGTTGAAAACTATTTTTCAAGGTTCTGGTCTTCAAAGTAACTAGTATCGTTTCAGTTTTTTTCTTTTTTGAAACTTCTTTTCGATTTTTTTTTTTAAATTTCGCGATTTTTCAAAGTTTTCATAATGCATACTCAATGGATAAACTCTTCTAGCAACGGGGAAAACTATCAAATTTTTGAAAAAAACTCGAAAAATAGCCATTTTTATCAAATTCTGACACTTTTTTTCACAAGGAGGAAGTTAAAAAAATCGAAGAAAAAAATTATAAAAAAACGGAAATCTTCTCATCAGTCATTTTTCCGACCAGATTTTACGAGTTTCAAATAAAAATCTTTCAACTTTATTGAGAATCTCCTTGAAAATTATTTAGAGGGAAAAAAACGATGGAATTTCCCAACTTAAGAAAGTTTCTGGGCTCAAAAATAAACTTTTGATCGAATAAAATCTATTTTTTTCGAGTAAACAAAAAGATTAATAATGTTTTAAAATCAGTAAAATAACGAAAATTCACTTTTCAAGTTCCAAAAAAGGTTCAAAAAAAGTCTTTGATATGCTTCTTTTTTTCTGACTTTTTTTCATGAAAAAAAGACATTTTTCACGGAATAAAAATTAATTTAAGCTGAGCCTAAGCCTTAAAAAATGACTTTCCGATAAAAAAAATCTTGAAAAAAAGGAAGGCCTTTTTTGGAAGACCTTTTCCCTTGACGAAGAAAAAAACCTTAAAATTCAATCAGAACGGGAAAAAAATCAAATATATTTGAAAAAAATAGGTAAAAAGCTCTTTTTTTAAATCCATAAGGTCCACGATCTCATTAAAAAAACATTGGAAATTGAAAAAAACATGAAAAAAATCTCTTGAAAACCCTCTCGAAACTTTGAAAAACGCACCATTTTTTTGAAAAAAATTATTCAATTTTTCCATCCTTTCCAGGCCAAATTTTCAAACCAACACAACTCTTTCCACAATAAAAATCATTGAAAACTCAAAATGAGGGTAAAAACAATAAATTTACCTTGAAAGGAGCTCGAAAAGTCGATTTGGAGAATTGTAGATTGCCCTCGACGAGGCGAAGCATCCTCGTCGGTTGCATTTCATTCATCTTTGATTATAAATTTCGGAAAATTTATTTATATTTAAAAATGAGAAATTCAGGGCAACAATTTATCCATAATTCCAAAAAGAAGTCGAAAAAAAAAAAAAAAATTTAAAAAAATCGCTAAAAAAATGACCCTCAAAAAAATCATTGAAAATCATCACAAACTCCCTAAAAATTTCCAAAATTTTCAAAAATTCAGCCCAGCCAACGTAGCAAAAAGTAGATTTTCGAGCGTTTTTTCGAATTTAGAAAAAGTTTTTGAAGCCGAAAATGTGAGCTAATTTCTCAAGTTTTCCTGAATTTTGGATATATTTTTAAACCTGATTATTTAAAATCATAAAAAAAGCTAAAAAAATAATTTCAAAAATCTAGATTTCTTTCAAAATATCAACCTTACGGAATCCGAAAAGTGCATAAATTTTTCTTCTACTCCGTAATTTCTTCTTCAAAAAAGCTTCAAATAACCCAAGTAGCGATTTCCAACTTTCAGAGCGTTTCAAAAATACCAAACATTTTAAAAATCGTTCATATATATAAAAATGAGAAAATCAGATCAAATTCTTGCAAAAAAATGAGAAATTCAGGGCAACATTCGAAAGAAAAAAACGAGCATTCTGAGCAAAACCAAGGGTATGGAAAAAAATGGAGATTTGAGGAAAAGTAATGAACAAAAAAAATTGTTGCAAAGACCCGCAAGGTACAGCTTTTTTTGTAGTAGTAATAAAACTCGAGAATAAACGAGGATATCATGAAAAAAACAACAAAACCGTGGGAAAATAGCTAATTTCAGTGGAAAAAAAAAGGCGAAAAGAGCAATAAAATCATGAAAAAATCGTCAATTTTCAATAACAAAAATCAATAAAGAGTGAGAAAAATGTGAAAAATGGAGCCACAAGTTCAAGGAAATGGTTCATTTGGCAAGGGCTCCGTGGGTTCCGGCGAATTGGGCCTGCATTTCTTGGATTTCGTGAAAGTTTCCGCGCTTCATCACGGCCAGCATTTTCGCCATCCGATGGCGTCTTTTCCTTCTCTTCGCCGCCGTCGTCTGACCTTCCACCATCTCGTATTCCTGCAAATATTGGCGGTATTGAACTGAAGAAGGTAAAATTTACGAATAGACCATGAAAAAATAAAATAAAGATCCGCAATGGTTCCTATAGGCCATTCCGAGCCAGCTTATCACGTTTTCCTTTCCGCCAAATGGCCAGGTCAAATTTGACCAACTTTCGCTTCAAGACCTTTGTTTCTTGCCGTTATAAAAGCAGAAATTTGATCTAATTTGGTATCCGGTCTTTTTGGCGGGAACAAAAACGTGACAAGCTGGCGCGGAATAGACTATATCTAACTGTCGAAAATTTCAATTTCACACAAATTCTATTCATTTTTCCTTCGAAACTAGAAACCTATGTGAATGGTTTTTCAGTCTTGAAATCCAGTTTTGAGTGAAATTTATCATGAAAACAGTTCGTTAAAGTAAGAAAACTTAAGAAAACCATATTCTAACTCATTTTAAAAGGCGACCAAGAACTATTAAAAAAAAATTTTTTACTCGTTATTTAGGTAAATCTTCGTGAGCCGACCTATCTTCCTGGAGAAATTGGGTATAGAATTCAATAGAATAAACTATTCAAATACAGTTTTGATGTAAAGAGAATATTGACCTCTTCGCCGTCGTCGCCCTCCTCGTCCTCAACGTAGGGGCTTTCCTGTGGCGATGCCGAGTTTGATCCCGGCGTTCCGATCTGTTTAACGGTCTGTTGTCGAACAGCTGCCGCGGTCGTTGACTGGTACTTTGACTTCTGCAAAAATGGAATTAGAAAGAAAGAAAACTTCAAAATATGTTATCTATACGACGGGTGGCCCCGGGATGCTGCCTTTCACCCGAAATCGCCCGCAAAAGGCTGGGCTGAGATTCAGCCGATGTATGGTTCAAATTCACCATTTTTCCAAGGTCAGAGTATGTAAAAAGCTTGTCGAATTGTAGCAAATTTTCCTACTTTTTCTTTTTTTTCTTATCTTCTGGTGATAGATTATAAGTATCGATGTCAAAGTTCAAAATTGCACATGGCTTATTTTAGAAAAAATTTGAAACTCAAACTCGAATATTTTTCTTCAAAAGAGTTCACATAAAGATTTTTTTCTTTATCTTCTTTCTTCTGTAGTCAAAAAAATCGATAAGCCTCCGTTTCCTAGTTTTACAAAAAAAACAAAAATCCACTGAAAAAGCTCCTAAAAGCTCTAATTTTCCACTTTTTCTTGCCCAATCTTACAAGGAAACGTTTTTTACTTTTTTTTATAAAGGTATAAAGCTTCAAAGTCCGCGAAATACACAAAATGTGACAAAGAAAGCGCTATTTCAAGCTTTTAAAACGTCTTAAAAAAAAGTTCCTTAGTTAGAGTGTTGCACAGCCACATCCCATGAAGGTAAGTATTTTTTTTTTCTAACACCTGGTAAATATTCATTTTTTTTGATTTTAAAACGAACCTTATTGACATAGGCCCAGTGCTGTTGCTGCTGAACGGTGACGTCTTCGGAATAACTTCCATTGATGGAAACATTCGCCGACGGGTAATTGTACGGTGACGAAACTGCGCCCAGTTGAGAAGCCTATCATACTACCGGTTGATTTTTGGAGATCCTTTTTGACAAAATACCTGTTGACCCAAAACTTCCAAGAAGCCACTTAAGGCGTCGGTTGGCATCTCGCCAACACTGTCCTCCATATCGCGGTGCTTTCTTTTGCTCTTCTTGGATTTCCTTCGCCGATCCGATGAGTCGCTGTCCGAGTCGATTCTGCAGATGCGAATGGCTTGAAATTAGGTTTTGTTTTCCTTAACGCAATATAATTCGAAAAAAGTAGTTTCATGTTCAAAACCGCAAAATTCAAAATAGCCGTCAGAGCGATAAAAATATAACTAAATTTTGGAGACTCAGAGATAATTTTAAATTTCGGAGGAGCTATTTTAAACACGGCAACAGAGAAAATCCGAAAAAAACGATCTAAAAATAAAACTTATTTTTAAAAAAAGGCGGACTCAAAAAAATTCTCTATCTAAGACCGGATTTCGCGAAATTTCTCCGAATACTAATTTGAATACACTCTCCAGATACAGATACAACAAAAAATAGAATCATTTTTTCCGCCTCACTTTCGATTCCGGACATCCTTGGCGGCCTTGTGCAAGGCCATCACGTAGGCGCCTTTTTCTATCGGATAACCTCGGGCTTGCTCGAAAGCTGAAAGTTATAGATTGAATGTTGAAAAACAATGATCAAGAAAGATACTTTTATTTCGTGGTTAAGAATTTCCTGAATAATGGCCAGAACACTCCTAGAAGTATCGCCCTTCAAAAATCTTCATTTTTCAAGGACGTACACCTCATACTCAAAGAAAACCCTCAAAATATGCAAAAATAAACCAATTAGGACCTTTGATAACTTGTTCCTTGGAAGCTAATAAGTTTTGCAGTTTAGGTACTTTCAAGACCTTCACAGGTACATCAATGATCGTTAGGGTAACCGAAAGAATGAAATGATCTACTGTAAAGTGTTAAAAGAACTCATATTTACGCTGAAATCGGCTCTTTCCCTCAATACTTTTCAAAATAATTCTATGCGCTTTTAAAAACCTCCACAAGGATTTTCTGAACGGACAGTGATTTTTAATGTCAAGTAGTTAACCTTGCCCCTTTGGATATAGTACATTTTCGTGTCGAGTTTTTCAAATCGCGGGTCACGATGTTCCTTTAATAGCGCTATATTTTTTGAACTATTAGCTTGAGAAAAGTAAAAGGTGCAGCGCTATTAAAGGATTATCGTTATGCGAAATCATATTTCGACGCGAAGATACTGTAGCGCTAAATTTCTCGACTTTTTGATATAACAGCTTGAAAAAGTCAAAAAATGCATGGTTATTAAAGGATCCTCGAAACATCGACACGAGAGATACTGTAGCCGAGGGGCGGAGTCAGCTGCTAAGTACAAACAGATAATTCAAAACAAACCTTCAAGGGCTTCATGGGAGCTCCATCCAAGGTTTTCAATCAGAAATCGGCAAATTAAATAGCCGCTCCGATTGATTCCGTTCGTGCAATGAATACCAATCAAGGCGTCTGAAATAGCAAAAATTACGAAATTTCTCTTCAAATGAGCTTTCAGTAGCAAATAAACATAAATTCTCAATTCCCACCTTCATCCGCACAATTTTCGATATAGTTCTTGGATGGCTTGGTTGAAGGATTCGACGCATTCGTCTCGCTCAATGAATCTGCAAAAATATGTTATTTTATTTCAAAATTCCCTAAAGCAAACCCTCTGCCCGGACAGTTGACTTTCTCGTATTCGATAAGCATTCCGGTGATATCTCTCTTGTCATAATATCTGTCGGTATCCGTCAGGTCCACAACGAGCCCAAGTCTTTGGTTTCGTTCGGCGAGCTGCAGAAATTGAATTTGAAAAAAGGAGAAATGAAAAAATTATGTAAAAAATCACAGTCCTTCAAGAAATATCAAATTTAGCGATTAAAATTTTCAAAAACCAAAATCCTAAATGTTTTTCACTGACCAAACTCACGGATGTCTAGCCAATCAGTTCAAAAACTACTAATAGTCTAAAACGAAGAGATTGAAAACAAAACTCCGCCGTAAAAAATTAAAAAAAAGGATAAAATAAATTTTCAATTTTTGCTTCAATTTTCAAGTGCAGATTATGCCGCGTTCAAATTGATTTCGAATCAGACGCTTTTCGTTCGAAACTACGAAGCGAAATGCGCAAAATTGTCATTTTTGAAATCTTTATTAGAAAATCAAATGGCGACCTTCACGGAAAAAACCAAAATATTGTTTATAAATGCCCAAATATGTTTATAAATTGAAGTTTCGAGTGTAAAAGTCGCCATCTCGTTTCAGGAGCCCAATATTTTTACATACGAAATATAATTTCGCGTATTTCGCGGGATCATTCCCAACGAGAGACGCGTGAAATTAATCTGAACTCGGAACACAAGTTTTAAACTTTTGCACCTTTTAACCCCTTAACCCCTGAGAACGCTTACTAGAAGTTTTAGTTGAACAAGAAGAGAAATTTCAAAACTACAAAAAAAAGACTTGAAACGCCACATAAACGCTCAATATTCACCTTTCTAAACAAGTCATTAACGGTAAATCGGCACTCTGCCGGAACCCTCTGACCCAGACGTTCATTCAAAGGCGTCTTGAACACGATAAACCGCGTCCGAGGAATAACGTTGCCGATCGGCGAGAAGCGGGTCCAACTAAACAATTTCTCATCAAACTAAAAAATATTCAACGTACAAGGAGTATTATTTAAATTATTATGAAGGAAAGAAACCGTGCTGGGCAGTTAACCGCCTCACTCGCACATGTTTAATATTGTAAAGAATAAATTCGAATAAAAAAACGGATATCAGAAAAAAAGAAAAAAATGGAAAGATCTCATTTGCATAAAATCACGAGATGACGAAGATCCATGAGGTAAATGAAACGACCGTCATTGGATTATGACATTAGGAAAAAAAGTAATCTTTTTGAAAATTTTTCAGTTTAATTAGAAAAATTGATATATTTTTCCATTAAACGTGACAAAAAAATCCGTGTTCGAAACATAAAGATTCAAAAAGACATCTAATGACGACCGTCGAACAAAACCAATAGCACAAAAAAATTAGATATATGAAAAAAATAAAGAAGAAAAAAATTGCTCACTCTTTGGGAACCACTCTGCACACGCGTACCATAATTATTCGGAAATAAAATGTTTCTTAATTAGAGAAAACTTGAAAAAAGGTGAATTTTAGAATTTCTAGGTGTTTTTCAGGTACGCGCGTATACGAATTGATGAGAGCCGAGTAGAACTGGATGGGCCCGGGCTTGAAAGTTCACAGTTGAAGAGCACGTCGACAGTAGAAGAACAATCCCTCGTCAAATTCGAGGGAGAGAAGCGAAATTGAGACAGAAGAAGAGAGTATCGATCGGCCCTTGGAACGAGGCCAGACGCGCGTCGCGTCAAGACCCCACTGCCGCTGCCCATGCGCCTTTAATAGAACGAGTTTTTTCGGCGGTTTTTTTTTGATTTCATGCATTTTTTTTATAAACTTTCCGGAACGCCTCAAAAAAACAATGTTACGAATTTTACTAAAAAAATTGGGCGTGTTTTTTTAAAAACGTGATTTAGAAGCTGAAAACTCAATTTAACTGTGAAATACGCGTTAGAAAAATTTATTTGGTTTTTTTAATGTTTTTTTCAATTTTTTTCCCACCAAAAAAATCAGAAAACCGATCGTAAAAAGTAACGTTTTTTTAAGGCTAACCAACTGGTAAGAAGCTGAAAATTTCGAGATGATATCGAAAATCGCTGTCACGATTTTTATTCTTATTTTTTATTTTGTTTTTTGATTTGATGGCGATCGTTTGTCTTAAATTATACAACTTCGACAATATTGAAATAATTTTCTTTGACTTCATTTCTTTGTAAGGAAGAACACATGTTATGCCCAATTATTTATTTAATTTTTCGTGTGTTTTTACGATTTTACACGTATTCAGGCGCAAATTACACATGATGGAAGGAGCAACTGCATTTTTTTTTCTTGTTGTTGTTGAGGGCATAATTGGTTTCAGTATACAAATAAATAAAATAGAATACATATATATATATATGAAACTTGATGCAGGAAAAGGGCAATTTCTGAAAATTGACGGTTTCTCGATTGTCGAGCCAAGAAATTAGGTTTCTTACTTGAAATAGTTTTTTGGGACGCAGAAACGATTAAAAATCCTGGAAAAAAGGACAAAATTGCGCACAAATAGAAACTGAAGAAGAGCCGTCAAGGAGTGGAAGCCGAAAAAAGGAACACGAAGTCAATTTGAATTTAGAATTGGAAACAATTAGGACATAAAATAGAAAGGCACATTCAAGTGGTAGGTCGTGTGTTTACCAGAAACAACAAGAACGAGAGAAAGAACAAAAAAAAAAAAGAATGAATGAACGGAAAAATTCATTTTTTTTTTCAATTGGGCATAAAAGAAAAAAAAAGAGCCAACGTGTACTTTTGAAAGTAAAAGGATACGGTAGAAGAGGCGGCCGTGGGCCGATTCGAATCAATGAATCAATAAATCAATAAATTACGCGCGAAAGTGTAGATCCTAATAATGCTGTTGATTGCAATTCTAAACGCTATATCACAAGACTTTGATCTCACGAGCGGAGCGCGGTCTTGTCTCCGGATCTCTTTTTGACGAATTGAAAATCCTAGATTTCTCGATCATAATAATTGTGTCATTTGAGCAATGTGCACACGAATTCGAACCTAAATGTTCAGGTTTAAGAGAGAGAGAGAAATCGAATTTGAAGATAAAAGAAAGGAGAGAAGAGGAGGAAATACCAATAAAGACAGTACACGTAATTGTTGCAAGGAGGGGAGAAAAAGGAGAAAGAAAACAACAAATTGATAGGGGTGAGGAAACACACAAAGACTAATTCAAATGAACTTAAAAAAAGGACATGTGTCGCTTGATTGTTGGGAAGGGGGGAATCGAATGTGGTTAAAATATGATGATTTTTGTCATAAAAAAAAAGAAGTGATTTTATTCGGGCTCATTCTTCAGTTCATTGCTGCTGCTGCACGGAGGCTTGTTGCTGCTGACCGCCTTGTTGAGGTCCGCCAGTTTGTCCTTGGTTCGTGAGGCCTGAAAGAAATTATTGAATTTTCTACTAGGCTTCAAAATCTCTCATCGTTAATCATACTTAAAGTCAGAAACGGACTCTTATGCTTCTAAAAAGTAACTTTTGTCTAAATTTCATCAACTATTGAGTACTGTTTTCGCTGCCTTCTGCTACTTCCACCCTTTAAGACGCTGGAAAAATGTGAATTTTCTTAAAAAGAACCCTTTTTGCTACCATTTTCTAGCCACTTCGTCCCAAGATTTTTCGATAAGGACTTTTCCCAAAATTTTCCAGCTTCCAAACTCACCAGGAGGACCGCCTTGAACCTGCTGACCACCATACTGCTGAGGCAGCGAATTCTGACGCGACATCGCTTGAGCATGAGGTGGCGGCGGATGAGCCTGATGTCCTTGAGTGTAGTAGCCTTGTGGAGCTGGAAAGAGTTGATAGTAGAAAAAAAAATCTTCTAGAGTCCGTATAGAAAAAGGTCTAATTTACTGATCAACTACAATAAGATCCCTGTGGAGATTTTTTATCAACTTTCCGGTGATTATTGAAGCGAGAGAACAGTAAGGCTTGTAGGACGCCAGAGAAAGAATAATCCCATTTTCTCGCGTATTTTCAGTCATTTTCAGTCTAGAGATCAAAATATCCTGAAGAGGTGCCAGACAACTTGGTGAGACTCTCGTTGTCTGGGATCTCTACAGGTCGCCGCTGTTCTCTCGCTTTTCACCGTATAATCAAGATTTCTCACATGAACGCTTCAGATTAGTTCTTCACAAAAATATAAACTTATGAATGGAATATCGTTTCTTCTCATTCATAACGCCAAAGAAAAAATGTAATCACTTTTTCTCGCGTATTTTCAGTCATATTCCCTTAAAAAAGTTTGGAAACTAGAGATCAACATGTCCTGAAGAGGTGCCAGACAACTTGGTGAGACTCTCGTTGTCTGGGGTCTCTACAGGTCGCCGCTGTTCTCTCGCTTTTCACCGTATGATCAAGGTCTCATGAAATTTTCAGAATAGTTCTTCACAAAAAAAATATATATCGATATTTCTCATAGTCCTTAAGCCAAGCTAGAATCTCAAGGTCCAAAAATTTCTTTCTGAAAATCTTTAAGGTCCTAGAGGCTCTCTAAACTCAAGAATCTCATTCCCATCAAGTTTCTCAACTAAGATACCTTGAATGTAGTTGCCGTACTGGTCGGTGATGTACTGCGGGTGCTGCATCATGGCGCTGGCGTCGACCATCTGCCCGTTGGCGTCCATGACCGCGTGCTGTTGGGCCGCATGGGCTCCCGGATGCATTCCGCCGGCCGCCTGGTAGATCATCGTCCCTTGCGGGTACATGTTGTACATTGGCTGAAATTGAAAAGCCAGATTAGATAAATCTCATTTTCTCGAGTTTTTTTATTTCTGCTAATTTTATAGTATATCCTACTTCAAAAGCTTTGAAAATCTCTATAATCATTTTGAATTAGGGATGAAATCTAGAGCGCTTTAGCGAAATTTTCACAAAAAAGTTCAAAAAAGGCTTCTTTTGGTCGCAAATGGAATGGCTGAAGAGAGCTTTTTCAAGGATTTTTTTGACAGCCTCATTCTCCATTTTCACCAAATTCTCATGCCCAATCCATTAAAAAGTGAAAAAAAAATCTAAAATTTTCACAATCTACTGAAACTTCATGCCTGAACATGCTCATGAGGCTTGAAAAGGTCTCATTTGGCCGCAAATAGAATGGCCAGGCCAGTTACCTATTTTTTTCTTCAATTTTCATCCGAAATACACTAGAAAAACGAAAATATCTAAAATTTTCTTAATCTACTGAAACTACATGCCTGAACATGCTCATAAGGCTTGAAAAGGTCTCATTTGGTCGCAAATGGAATGGCTAGGCCCTTTAACTTGCGCATTTTCTTTAATTTCCATACATTTTCCATCTATCATTTTCACAATACTTTGAAGCTACATGTCTGAGAATGGTCCTAAGGTCTCATTATTACCAACTTTTCCTTTTAAAGGCATTTCTCCCAACATTCATGCTCAATACATGAGCTAATTGACATCAATTTCCCCAATTTTTCATGCCCATCAACCAAAAAGAAAAACGACAACACTGTTCATTTACCAATTTCACAATCTACTATATCTACGTGCCTGAGCAAAGTACTGCTGCTGCTGCTGCTGTTGTGATTGCTGTTGGGCGTGGTGGACGGCGGTGGCGTAGTGGGGGTGCTGTTGGTGATGAGCAGCGGCGGCGTGGTGCATTTGCTGCTGTTGTTGTTGGAGAGCGGCGGCGTGGAGGGCAGCGTGGGGCTGCGACATCATCTGCTGCTGCTGCTGTTGTTGCTGTTGTTGCTGCGCCTGTTGCTGCTGCTGAGCATTGGGCGGCGGCTGCGACATGGCGACGTGCTGCTGTTGTTGCTGAGTGGCCGGCGAGATGCTGCGCCCGTTGGCGCCGACGTTGGATCCGCCAGAGCCATTGAGACTTCCAGTGCTGCCCATCTGCTGCTGCAAACAACGACACCAATGACTTGGATGCTTATTTTTTTCAATCCATACAAGGACAAGGGGAAAATAGCTTTGAGATGAGAAACCTATTCAGTAACGTTTCTTTTTTGAAAGAGCCCAAGCAAACATTCAAGACCAATGAAGGTTTTCTCAATTTTCAAACTCCTCAAAAATTTCCACAAAAGCAAGCAGCAAAAACATTCAAACATTGACAATACCTAGTCATAACACTACGAGGAAAAAAGCGGAAAAACTGCCAGAAAGTGGAAAAAATTATCATGCCAAACCACAAGCTCCACACTTTTGATCTAGAATCTTAGGACGATTTCAGAAAGCCAAAACAAATTCTGGAGAGGGTTACAGTCACTATCTCTCAAAATTTCATACTACTTTCTTTGATTCTTTCAATACTACTTCTTGAGAAAATGATTTGTTTCAAACATCTTCAAACATAGATCATTCCTCAACAGGCTTCAATCCACACAAAAAAACTGTCGAAAATGGTTACCTGAGCAGGTGACGGAACCGGCTGAGGTGGCTGAGGTCCAGGAGTCGCCGGCTGGCTGTTGGGGCCGGACGGACCGCCTTGTTGAGCTCCGCCTTGCTGAGCAGCAGCAGCCTGGGGATAGTGGGCTGGATCGTGCGGGACTTGTTGTCCTTGCTGCTGTCCTTGCTGTGGGGGTCCGCCTTGGTAGCGCTGAGTTGGTGGCATGACGTAGCCCTGCAATTTTTTTTTTGTTAAGGTAAATTAGGCCTTTAACTGTCAATATAACTTCAGCTCCTCTTCAATGTAATAAAATTTCTCAACTAACCATAGGCGGCGCCGGATAGCCAGGTCTTGCTGCCGCGTAGACAGCCTGCTGAGGTCCGTTGGTCGGCGTGGCAGCGATGCCAGGTCCGGCCATGACGGCTGCTCCAGCGGCGGCTTGATGAGCCGGTACTCCGGTCGTTGGGACTTGATATTGCGCTCCTTGGGGCTGCATCTGCGCGCCGCCGTTGTACTGCTGGTAGGTCGAGACGTAGGGCTACAAAATTGTTCATTTTTCGGAGTTTCTCTTGGGTTTCCGAACCATAGCTCCCTGCTGGACGTGCATCATCTGTCCCGGCCATTGTTGCTGCTGGGACATGTAGACGGTTGCTGGGTTGGGTTGTCTGCGGTTGGGAGCAGCGGTAGTGAAGACTTGACCGCCGTTTCGGGTGACCGGAATGCCTTGGGGCATCATTTGGACCTGCTGACCAGACATGAGCTGGTAGCCTTGGTACTGCTGAGCTTGTGGAGAGTTCGTCCATCCAGTCGCCATCACCATCATGCCAGGCGGCGCCATGGCTCCCTGGAACTAGATAGTCCTCTTTTGAGTCTGGATTCTGATCCTTCTCTTAAAGGAAGCCTTCCACCAAGTTTAAGAAGACTTCTACACACTAATTGGCTTCAAAGCCTTCTAAAAAGCTCTCACCTGAACACCCTGGACGACTCCTTGGACCATCGGGACGCCGGGAACGATCGGCTGTCCTTGGATGTGTTGCATGGCGACGTGGGGCTGCTGTCCGGCGTGAGGCGGACCTTGCTGCATTCCGTGAGGGGCGACGGCTCCCGGATGGCCGACGAACGGCGACTGCGGGGGCTGTGTCGCCAGCGACTGCGGCCGCGGCTTGAACTCTGGCGCGTTGACGTTGAACTCGAACTTCTTCTTGTTGTTGTTGGCCGTTGAGGATGAGTCACTCAGATTACCGCCGCTGTAAATATTATAATCTTATCTGATTCTTATCACAATATATAGAGACTGGAAAAAAGATAGCATCATCCCAAAACCAACCCAATGTCCGTGTCCTTGCTCGAGTCCTTGTCCTTCTTGTCTTCGGCGACATCGGCCGACGTGCTGGCTTTCTCGTTCTGAGCGCTGGTCGACGGGGCCGCGTTGACGGGCGTCGTCGAGGCGGACGGCGTCGGGACTTCAGAAGGCGCGGCAGAGGAGGTGGCCGTGGAGGTGGACGGCGTCGCGGTCGTCGAGACGTTGTTGGACGAGGAGTTGGAGTTCTTGTTGGCGACCAGCGAGGACGGGGGTCCGTGGTTCCAGGCGTTGCCGGTGTTGGCGCGAGTCGTGCTCGTCGGGGTCATGTTGGTGGGAATCGGGGCGGCGACGGCGGACGACGTGGCTGCAGGTGATTGTGGCTCCGAAGGCTCGTGAGACGGCTTGAACTGCAAAAATGAGTTACATTTGAATTTCGCAGCTCCAATTATTTTCACAATAGAGCGCACATGACTTGCCAAACTGCGAATTTGAAAAATCTCAATTTTATTTCTTGAGAAATGTGAAAATTTGATGTGATTCGCCTGTTTCACGGCTGACAGTTTTCAAAAAAATCAGAATTAAGAAGAATTTGGATTAAAAATTCTTTTAGAAGTCTAAAGAACTACTGAGACTTATTTTCGCCTTTGAAAGCTTTAAAAACAAATCGAAAAGCTTAAGGAACTGGAAATAGTTATTATAGCGCAACTTGGCTCATTTTTTCAGCTCCATTTTCTAGTACCTTGCTATCCGGCTTGGCTGGGCCTTGCTGGATGTTGCTGGTGTTGTTTCGGTAGGCGATCGGGAACTCTTTGCCCCAGTGCTTCAAGTCTTCAGTTCGCTGGGAAGCTGAAAACGGGAAAAATAATGGAGAAAAAATCAAAGAAGGAAAAAAAGGGGCGGGACAAACAACGAGAGCATGCGTTTAATATGAGCAATTTGAAAGGCAAATAAGTCAGAACGAAAGTGAGCAAAGGGGTTTCGCAACATTATAATCTCACGAGAAGACCAAATTTCTCATACTAAGATAGCCGAATAGACTACAAAAATACTAGAATGATCTTCCTAAAAGCAAGATTCTACTTAGAGCCTTTCCAAGCCCTAAATCCTTCAGAAGAATCAGTTTTCATTACAGTCACGGTTCACCTCCAGGTGGGATTCTCGGCGAGTTGGGTTCATCGGTGCTCAGATGATGAGCCCGACCACTGGGTCCCTGTCGCGGCTCCAGAATGACCTTCTGTTGGCCCTTGAAACTTGAGTTGGCCGATGACGTCGGCTCATACAATGATCGGTTCTTGTTCATTGGCCAATCTGAACAGGGAACCGCCTATTTTTTCCATTTTTCTTTAGTATCTCTTTCAAATTCCTGATCTTTCTATTTATGTTTTGAAAAATAAAATTTGCCTTCTCTTAAATATTTTTTTTAAAGTGTCAAGTCGAAAATTTAAAACTTTAATGGAGTAAAATAGCCTAAATACATCATTTCCTTATCTAACTCGATAAATTTGAAAATTCAAGTCCACGGTCGCATTTGAAATGCCCTAAAGCTTCAACAATTGTATGCGCCCGACTCAAAACTACTTGCGCCAGGCCTACAACGCAAAAGCAGAGATCAAAGCCATTTCAACCTTGTTCTCTTAATAAAATCAAGTCAATTTTAATAATTCTAACCAACTATTCAATTATAACAATACCCCGGCTGTTCTGATAAATTTTCCTACACTTAAAGTCCCTAAAGTCCACACACAAAAAAAGTCTAGAGTCAAAAGAAATACAAGAAAAAACAAGGAAATGCTCAGTCAATGACGTCAAAAAGGCAACTGACGTGAAAAGAAGGAGGGAAAAGCTGTGAGAACAAATAGGCCGAGAAAAATTGATTTTTCCCCCCATTTATTTGCTATCTTATCAGCTGATATACTTTGACCAGCAAAAACTTCAAGACAAAGGTTTATAGAGAAGAATGAGAAAAGCTCGAGTTGAAATGGGCGGAAAAAGGCGGGCAGCTGAGAAAAAAAAAAGAAAAAGTCGACGTGTGATAAAAAGTAAGGCAACGTGGCCTTTTTTGGTCCGAAAATCTTTGGGAACATACCAGAATTTCCTCTATTTTTAGCTTGAAAACTGCAAGTTCAATAGAGAGATGGAGATTCTCAAAATAGCAGCATTAGAAAAAAAAAAAACAGAGAATTTCCGATTGCAGGGAGCGATTGATCGGAATGAAAGATATGAAAGAAAGAGACCAGAAAAGAATCAAATGAGAAAAAAAATTGAATGATTCATTTTTTGGCTTATGACGATGTGATGACAAAACTCCTACAGTGTCAAAAATCATTTCCATTAGAGCTTTTAGATACTAAAAACCAATATCCCATGATGACAATATTTGAACGACTTTTTTGGATTTGTAATAATTTATGGCAAGTTTGAAGCGTTTTCTCTTAATTTTCTGTTTAAAGAACTACTGACTATTAAAAACGCTTTTCCGCCTAATTAGGGAACCATAAAAATTCAAGGATCGTACTGAAATGTCAGCAGAAAACAGACATAGAAACGATTATTTGGAAATAAGAGACATTATCTTCTGAACCCTATAGGGTACCGAAAAAAAAGCCTGTCAAAACTGAGTAGATGAAGCTTGAAACTTATCAGAATGCTTATTTTCACCCGATACTTCTTGGAAAACTTTTCAAGGAGTTTGAAAGAATCGGGTAAACGTTTCTGACCATTTCCAAGCTTTATCTGCACATCTTTGAAAAGCTTCTACTAGGTACCCCATAAAGTACAGCAGATAATCTCTATTTTCCAAATAATCTTCTACAGGTCTACCATCCCTAAAAACTTCAATACGATCCCATAACCCAAGTCTTCCTGAATTAGGCTGTCTGCAACTGTATATACCCATTTTCGAGGGTCGAAAGTTATAGTAATTTTTCTTAAGCGGTTTCTCAAAAAAAATTATACTTTTCAGTCTACTATTGAGACCTCTAACCCATCTTTCCAGTTTAAAAAGAGCCTTAAATCTTTTGAATCGAAAAAAACGCTTCAGACCTTTGAACTATGGGGAGCTCTAACAATATCAATAATAATGATGATAATAAATTCTTATCATTATCATATCATTCCAAGCCCTCAAATGCTTCTTTTAATTCCCGTTCTCCGTTGATCTTCTAAGCGCTCTAGAATTAGTCTACTTCTATAAAAAAGAAAGAAAAATTGATCTACGAGTAATTCTCAATCACCGACAGTTTCGCGAGCCAATAAGCATCTCAAATCATTGCGTAACTCAGCGAAAAATATTTTTCGAAGACCGATTTAATGTAAAAATTCTAAGAATCAACCCTGAGGTCGTGCAAATCTCGACGTCATCTCTTAATAGAACCAAATGAACTGTATCTATCTTTATTTTGTTACAGAAAATGTTTCTGAAACAAGCCCAAAACTAATGAAACGAGAAATTCGGGGTAATCTACGCGCAGGACAAGATCAACCACAGTTTCGCAAGCCGAAAAAATATTAAACCATTCTTTGATTCAAAAGAGAATCTCTTCTGAAAATTGAAGGAATGTATAAATGTGAAACCCTAAGAAACCCTGGAGTCGGTAAAAATCAGGCAATAGAGCCGAATGAACTGCATCTTCCTTCAATGAAAAAGCTCCAGGAAGATATAAAAAACTCCACTATAGGTTTATGAATAGCAGTCCAACCAGAGGACCTAGAATCAGAAAATACATGGAAATAAAGAAAAAATGGCCCATAAAAGAGGACCCAACCACCAAGGAGGCAAGAACAACAAGCGAATGACCAAAAACAACATCAACAGGAAGCCCCGCCTCTCGCCTCCTCGCGTTTCACACCTGGTATCGGCACGAAGGCTCATCGAATCACTTGGGGTTACTGTCGATGGTGCACGACCGAGGAGACAGGGCAATTATCTGGGTCACCGAGTTGTGTTGCTCCGTGCTTCAGGCAACGAGCCGGAGCAATCGAGCCCATCGATTGGCCTTTATTACACTTTATACTCTTATTTGGCCTGATCAACCGAGTCCACCAGAGGTTGATGTTTGGATGTATTTGGCAGATGGATAGTAAAGATACTATTGTTTTCCCTTTGGGCGGAAAATGAACGGAAAGTAGAGTTAATAGACCTATATTTAGTGAGTGGTACTGTTCTGTTTTATTTTTTTAAGTAAAACAACAACAACAAAAAAACTCTTAATGTTTTTTTAAAAAAAGAGAAAGATTTTTTTAAGAAACTGATTTTTAGAGAAAAATTTAGCGAGAAAAAGTGAAAAATGTTAAGCCTACAGTTGTCTTTTTATGATGAACTAGGACTTTTTTGGATTAAAATATTTTTTTCAAATGATAAAATCCGGTCCATAACGACTTCAGAGAAGTTATAATTATACTTAATCGTAAAATTTAACTATTTTTTAAAAATTTTTTTCAAAATAAAGCTACCAAGACTTACTTCTATCAAGTTGAAAGGTCGTGATACTGACGTTTTTCAAAAATTAAAAAAAAAATCAAATAATCGCCTTCAAATCAAAAAAATTTTTCAAAACAGCCTCCTTTCCACTAGAAAAAGTTGAACTCAAGATTCATTGCAAAAATTTCTTTCAGATTCTCAAAAATTTTTTATTTTTTTCAGATATTTCTTGTTTACTTTGGAATGATTTTTTCCCACGTTCGCTCAGAAAAAAAAAAAAAACAAGGAAAACAAAGTCCAATTGATTTTTTTGAGAACCGAATGATCAAAAAAGATTTTGGAACGTGACGGAAAATTTCCGTACTTCAAACTCCTTCCGAATTTCATAAATACTCCTTAAAGGCTTGGAAAATAACCAAAATTCCAACGATTCTCGTACTTCTACCTCAAAAGTCCATTGCCCTTCATAGGAGACTTCCACAACTCCCAAAAGCCTCAGGAAAAGTACAAAGAAAGCCAGAAAAAGGCCAAACAATTAGTTCGATTGCCCTTCACATAGTTAGGATGAGTCACCGAATTCCCACGAAAATAATGAAAAATCCAATTAATTGCACTCATTTCCTTGAGCCAATCGTCCACGGGAATGAAGAAAAATGTGAAAAAAGCTATTTTCATCGCGAACATGTAGCAGGAACTCTAGGGGAAGATACATAATAAGATAATAATTTTTTTGAATCCTTCAACTTCCTCTCAAGCTTCTCGTTTAGAAATAAATGCTCTCGACTTTACGAAAAACCTCAAAAAAGAACGAAACGAAAAGCTTTTCTCTTTCCTTTTTTTCTTTTTTCGCTCAGTTTCATGACTGCGTTTGTCGCGTCGGCGGATACAAATCGTCCTTCTTTTTTTTTATTTCTTGGCGCTCGAGAAATTGCAAAAAGGCGTCGCTATGAAGGAAATGTTTCGTACAAAATCAATTTTTGAAGGGCTAACTTTTCAAAAATTTGAGAGTCATATTCAAGAACTGGAACAACAATACTCGGATAAAAATAACAAGAAACTGAAAATTAACAACAAAAAGGCTCCAAATATTTTTTTGAAGGTTTTTTTGAGAAAATAACCTTTTTCCAGTCAGTTCCTATGAGTTGAAAATTCCAAATTCTCACTAAAAAAACGGGTAAAAAGGTACCCAAATAATCGAATCTACACAAAATTTTTCCTTCGAATCTCATTTTTTCTGAAAGTTCCCATGATCATTTAGTCTTCAAATACCCCTTTCAAGTTATTTTTTTGTTAGTAACTTGATATTTTGAAACAATGATAGTTTTCCTGACACTATATAACTTTTTCCACCTATCTCTTCATGCAAAATCCTAAATTATCCATACAACAAAAATCCAAGAAAAATCCAGCTAAACATCCCGATTCACATTGCCCTCTAAGAACGTTTATCACAATTATCACCTCGAAAAAAACGCCATCAATCATCGTCAATTTCCGATACGAATGACACATTTGCCGCGTCTTCGCACCTTTTTCAGGTGCGCAGGAAAAGGAGGCTTAGGCATTCTCATGGTCGCGCACCTGTCGCTGTGATCGTACTCGGGTGAAAATGTGATCGGATGGATCAAAAAGGGCGCCGAAAATAATGATTTCTGATTTTATCTTCGGCATGGAGTGCTAATTTGTTACAGGAAAAGCTTATATTACCGTAAAATTTTTCTTGTTTTTTTGGAAAACTTTTGGCTTCTTTCTACTGAAAAATTCGTAAAAATGGTTGATAAAGATACAAAATTCTTGCGCGAAAAAAATTACTCGAAAAAAATCTCTAGTTCCTTGAAAAAAATCGTCACGAACCATGATTCAAGTGATTTTAGAAATTTTATGACAAGTCTAGGTGAAAAAACCTCTCTGCTCCATCCAAAAAGATCATTTTTACAAAAATTCAAGGAAAAAACTTTGCTTTGAACTATGAAAAGACGATAATAATTTACTATCAATTTTGATAAAAAAATTTTCCAACCAGAAAAAAAACCAATTACATCAAAAATTTCATCACATTCTCTCCTAGAATCAATTTTTGATGACAAAGAGAATCACTTATAGAATCATGCAAGGCGGAAGAAATCAGCGTCCCAACTCGATAGATTACGTTATCAACCCAACCTTCCAGCACTACAAAAACACGTGAATCGCTTGAAAACGAGCACCGACACGTATTTCTGATCGATCCTTATGGAAAAAGTGGGCCCCTAGAAAAAAGATTTCATGGATGAAAACAGTAGACCTCCAAGTGAAGAAAAAATCTAAAAGATCAAAAAACTTCCGATCAACAAGTTGTTCAAAAATACAATTTCCGACTACAAAAATAGTCACTCAGTTGGATAAATATTGAAAAAAAAGTTTAAAAATAGGCGAAATGCTGTGTAAACCCTTCAAAGGACCCTTGGAAAAATGGACCCATTTTCGAACTCTATTCACCAGGTTTCTGTTCTCCAAGGAACCATGACTCATCTCTTTTCTTTAGGGCCTTCAAAAGTCGTGAAAAATTGAAGGAATCGAAATTTCTGAGAGAAATCTCTTCCCAAACCGAAAATCGATGAAGTCAAGAAAATTCTATAAGAACTGCAACTAGTAAAAAAAATCCCAAAAAATCAAAAATTCAGCTTACAACCCAATAAACCTCCCCTTCTTCTCACCTAGTCTCCAATTTACAAACGAAAAATGACTGATTCAACGCCTCAAGGCTCAACGAGAAAAGGAACGCGTTAAACCGGCAAAAACATCACCAAACACACACAAATCGCAACCAAACAGACTGAAGGAAAAACTCCGAACAGATGACAATCCCATGACTAACACGCACATACATCGTCAGCACTAAGATCACCAATGTCCGAGAAATAATCAATGATAACTTCGAGAAAAGAGTGGGAATCGATTTGCTAAAAAAAATCGAACAACTACGCCGTGAAAAAAAAAGATTAACCTATAACTAGGACCTGGGAAAATGAAGAAAAAATTCCCCGGGACAAAAAATCTATAACTGTTGAAAAAGGCCCTTTAAATCTCTAGAAATTGAAAAAAGTTTAACAAAAAGTCATAAAAAAATAGTTTTCAAGGACAATTTCTGTTCAAAAATGTCTTAAAAATCACCAGAAATTGTAAAATTGAAATGAAAAATGCCTAAGAGCCAATTTCACTGTTTGAAAATGGGGCTTAATTTCAATGAATCTCACAAAAACTATCAAACATCCAGTCACATTACTTCCGGTCAGAAAACTCGGAAAAAATAATTTCCTGAGCTCTGGAAAAAATGATGAAATCCTCCATTACTGACCGGAAACGAGGCGGCTCCTATCACTGATTTTGTTCTCTCAAATTTCTCTTCGCTTTTTTTTCGCTCTCCGAACATTAAAAAGTCGTTAAAATGTGGGGGCCGTTCACCGGTTTTTTAAAATGAATTCTTTGGTACTTTGGTCAGGATTTCTTTGGTCTCAACAGAAAGTGATGGGATCTGTTTCAAGAAAGAAAAAATTAGAATTTTCAGTTGCGTCTTTGAAAATTGTCTATTTGAGTATAGAAGTCTATGATAAGATTAAAAATATGACGGTTTAACTAAAAATGCACGAAAAAAATAAAGAAATTGAAGTCAGAAAACTAACTCGATTTTTCTCTGAAGTAAATTTAAAAAAATCAAAAAATCCTGATCAAAAATGAACACAAAGCTATCAAAAGCCATCTCAAGTGCGGCTCCTACTCAACCAAACGAATTGAAAAATAAAGGAGAAAGATGAAAATTGTAATCCATTCCAAATGCGACTTAGGGTCGATAGAAGTGAAGAATATCCCAAAAAATTCAAGGAGACAAGAGGCAAAAAAAAGCAAGAAACTCGAGAAAAATCGTCACAGAGAGTACCGAGGCCGGGAGAAGCTACAGTACCGTCCATAAAAAAATCAACCATGGGGTTTTTTTATAACTTTTTTTTTAAAATTTTATTGATTGCTTGAAAATGTTCGCAATTAAGTGTGGTTGCCGTTCCAAGATACACGTGAATAATTCAAGCCAAATTGTTTTCATTACATTTGGAATCTCACTACGAATTGATTATTGTGCAGTAGCCGTGACTATTCTCCAAAATTCGACGAGTCCAAAACTATTTTTCTTCACGTTTCCCAGCCGGAGGAACAAAAATAAACATCGAGCCAATCAATCCAAAGAAAATGTGAAGTAACGATAAAAAATTGTTTCTACGGCCAAAAAGTGTACCAGGACCGAGAAAAGTTCAATAATTCAAGCCGAATATTCTTTTTTCCATTCAAAGTTGGACTAGAAATGGATTACCAGGAAAAAAGTTCAAAAGTCATTTCTCCAAGTTTCCCAGCCGACGAGAAAAAAACATCGAGCCAATAAATCCAAAGAAGGAGACGAGGGGAGAACAGAAAAAAAAAAAACACAAGAAAAATCATCTTTCTACTTTCCCCTACGGCAAGAGAAACACTATAAAGCTGAAAATTTCCATTTCAATCAGTTCAAAGACAACAAATCGATCAATATACAGCAGCCCATTCCTCCAAGAATCTTAGAGTCCAAAAGTCACTTCTCCAGGTTTCCCAGCTGAGCCAATAAATCCAAAAAAGGAGACGGGGGAGGGGCAGAAGAAAAACACAATAAAAATCATCTTTCTACCTTCCCCGACGGCAAGAGAATCACTATAAAGCTGAAACTTTCCATCTCAAGCAGTTCAAAGGCAAGAAATCGATCAATATACAGAAACCATTTCTCCAAGAGTCTCAAAGTCCAAAAGTCATTTCTCCAGGTTTCCCAGCCGTCGAGAAAAAAAAACATCGAGCCAATAAATCCAAAGAAGGAGACGAGGGAGGAACAGAAAAAAAACACAAGAAAAATGGTCGTTCTACCGCCACAGAGAGGACCGCCGCCGGCGTCGAGACAAGCGAGGCGTACGTGGCCGTGAAGGGGGCACCGGCGCGCACCCAACTCTCGCCTCTCACCAGGAGGAACACATTTCTATCCTATTCTTTCCCGCTTGCTTTTTTTTTCTTTGGCTTTCCCGAGGCACAGAAAGTCGAACTGGAAGGAAAAAAAGGCATGATCGCGGGGGATGATAGTTTCTTATGTAGGCCTTGGGACAAAATTTTAAAAAATCCATAGGGTCTTTAAAAATCAACGCATCCAGGACCTGGAATCCAGGTTGGTGGTGATGTCTAAGGAGTCATTTTTTCATCATTTTTTTCTCTTTCTTGAAGACGATGGTTCCTATGTAAAGCCAAATCCAGAAAAAAAGCCCCAAAACAGACGAGTTTGAAGACTTTTTCTGATGGAAAAAATGGAAAAATTAGACTTTCCAAAAGTAATTTAAGGTCCTAAAAATTGAAATTTACAATCTTAAAATGGGTCTGAAGCCCAAAAAAATTGGCAAAACCCTTTTTCCCCGCCGCTTCAAGAGTATTACACTTAAAATCATCTAATCATAAAAAAATTTATTCATTTTAAAACCAATAAATTTCCAACAAAATTTTTCACGCCCCTAAAATGAAACTTTTCCGAACCTCTTCCTAGGGGAAAAATAGGCAAATTCCTAAAGATTCTCCGGGAAAAAAAACAACCCGATTGAAAGACATGGTGGAACGTACTGAAAGTGGCGCGCGATTCTTATCGCTGTTCTTTTTTCTGTTTCAATTTCAGATATCGGCACTTTTCATCGAAAAATCTTGGAAACGTAACGAGGAAAAAAGGTTTCATATCGAACCTGTTGCCATTTCTAGGAAAGGAAAATCGTTTACAAGTTTTCTCAGAAATTGTTCAAACAGATAAGTTTTTTTGTCAAATAAATTCAAAATAAACTCAGAAATGAATCTAAAAAGCGAGAAAAAAATCCATTCGGACCAAAAATAAAATGGGAAAGATTAGTTCAATTTTTTCCGGCGCAACTATCAAACAGAACTTGTGATTTTTCAGATTCTCAAAGGGATAAGTAGTAAAAAGAAATCAAATAATCAGTTGAAAATGAAGCGAAAGAGCTAAACTACAATAATAAAAAGCCACTTGCAGCGAACAAAAGATCAATTTTTCACCGTGGTCTCAAAAATGCATGAGATCCATCTTTTTTGTTCCATTTTTCTTTGATAAAAGAGAGAAGAATGCGTTTTTGAAAGCGAAAAACCGTCACTTTGACCAAGTCTACATAGAACTAGTTGCCATAAAACCAGTTTTGCAATCAAAAATTCTTCTTTTTCTCGGGGTTCTGAAAATCATTGCGCGAAAGGCAAAGGGCGACATTTTAGACTGTTTTCATGGCTGATTTGCGTTTTGAAAAAAATCAAAAAAACTCAGAAAAAAATAATGTCTTTCAAAAAAATGATTTTTTAAAATTGTGTCTAAAGGTCTATGAGAAAAGTCAGAGAAAAAATGAAAAAATAGTATTTTTTCCACGCCAAGACTCAGACTTTCATCAAAAACATTAAATTATCATACCACCCTCTAATATGATAGCTAAATTTGGACAAAAACACCGGAAATGTAGGAATCCAATCGGAAATTGAACCTTCACGAAAAATATACATTTATTGACTCAAATTTCTCCTTCTGAAAAAAGTTCTTCAAGCTCAAAAAACCCAGCAAAACCATTATTATCCAAAAAAATTTTGTTAGAAAAGCTCAAATAATCATCTCAAAAATCCTAAACTCTAAATCCACCTAATCCTAGTCCGAAATTGGGAGATTCGAGACAAAAATGTCAAGTTTGAAGCTTAAAACCATTGAAAATAAAAAAGGTTCTCAAATTTTTTTTAGCGTGAAACTGTGGTTCACAAGGACGGAGCATAAAATTCCTTTTTTTGGCCAAAATTTAGACAAAAGCACAGGAAAAATTAACCAAACTCTTAAAATTTCCGTTACCTACATAAATAATTCTCCCTCTAATATAACTTCAGAATATTCATTTTTCGCCTTTGTCGACCTCTAATCTCAAAGGAAGACGTCGAAAACCTAGGGGCGTTCATTAAACTCAAGAAGAAAACCGAAAAATCAAAAACTAACCGTCTCATAAGCTCAAAACCGCCTTATTTTCCTTTACAAACCTCCAAAAAAGTTCCAAATTCTAAACCAAAACACACGTAGTCTAAATAAGGGAAAAGAGGGCTGACGAGAAGGAAAACGGAGAGGGAAAAGCCGCAAAAAAACGGACGGAAAAAGGGCGAATGTGTCAGCATTTTGCGCGCGGCGCCCAAACCACCACCTGAGCAAATTGCGACCGACAACGATTCACCAAACCGTTCATTCAGTCGCAAAACTAGCGATTTTCCAACCAACTAGTAGTCATGAAAATTTTGTATCGAAGAAAACTTTGCAGTACTAAAGAATCCGTACTAAAACGTCTAACTGACGGATGAGCTCCATTTGAAACTTAAATAAAAAGTAAATCGCCTCAAATTCGTCGAAAAAAATCAAGCTATCAGGCACGAGCTTGATTGAAAAAAATAAAAACACAAAAATCAGACTCTCGTGGGTAAATAAAACGAAAATACGAAAAAACCGCCACCACAACAGCCGGGGTATGTTAATATTGTTAAAAATGCATTCCAATTTTCCAATAACTTTTCACCTCTATCTTATCTTCCATACCAGACCTTAAAAGGAAGGTAATTTCGCTTTGCGGTTGGGAAATTTTTGTGAATTCGTCAAAATCGATTTGTTAGATGTATATTTCTCCTTGCAAAACTTTCTAATTTTCTAATTAAGACTCAAAATCTCAAAATGACCTATTCCACCGGATTTCGACTATTTTCCCCACCTTGAGATGTCTTTTGTGAGGAATAAAAATGGGGGAAAGTCAAGATTTCCAGAACCTCAATCTACATAAGCAAAGTCGGAAAGGCTCAATAAATTTGTCCCTTTTTAGGGTCACAAAGGCTCCCTTTTTGCGTCATTTTCTCGGCCCTTATGCGCCATTTTTGCTGCCCTTTTCCAACATTTTTCGAGTGTTTAAAATCCCAGAAAAATGGTAGGCTCGATAAAGGGACTCTTTTTGCTGCCTTTTTGCGGCCTTATTGCTACCTTTTTCTTGCCTTTTTGCTGCCTTTTTTGAGCCTCTTCCCTTTTTGCGGTCATTATCCACCATTCCGACTTTGCCCGTGTTGTAAATTAAGGGGTATTCTGACCAATTAACAAAAAAAATCCTAAAACGAAACTCCTTGTTAAACTGTATTTTTGAAAATAATCACCTCTGCTAAAAAATTAATCAGTTCCCTAGAAGCTCTTCATGTCAGTACCAAACTTATCATGCTAATTTCAAAAAACTACATCTAAAAAATGAAGAAAAAGCTAAAAATTTGAAAATTATCGACAAAATTTATCCAAAACCTTTTCAATGTTAGTATCAAGCTTATCATTCCGATAATTAGAAAAAAAGAAAAAGTATATACCAGAGCTGCCATCCCTGGGGTAGTCGTCGTGTCCTTGACTTCGGCGGTCGCGGTCATACCGACTTCCGCCGCCGCCGCCACTGTTCTTGGCGGCCGCCGCCGCATATCCGCCTTCGGAAGGTCCTTGGTTCTGTTGTTGGAAGCGGCCACCCGACGGCGCTCCTCCACTGTTTCTTCCTGCAGAGAAGACATGGAATTAGGAAAGGAATGGTTTTTGGTTTTGTGGTTATCAGACTGTTGGAGGACGCTTATATTAAGCTGATTCTAGAAAGTTCTATACATTTCGAATTTATTACGTCATAGGGACGGCATAGCTCAGCTGGAAAAGACTCATTTCTAACGTCCGCGAGATTGTAAGTTCGAGTTCCCCCGAGGTCGACCTTTCATCCTCCCGGGGTAGATAAAATTGGGCTCAATCTCTGGCATCGCCCTGGGAAAGCCGGCACCGTACTTCTTCCCACGACCTCTCTTGTACCTGATGTTCTACTCGAATGCTGAGCAGGGTAACCCAGCCGTGCTAACACGCGGTCTCAGCGGGTGCCCCCGTATAACACCCGTATAAGCCCAGCTGAAAGAACTTCTGGCAATTTTTAGCCCAACTGAGACCCCGCTTAAGCCCAGCTGGGTTACATATTTTTCTTACACCCGTTGTTCCCCCGTTTTAGCCCAACTGAGATTAAAATAACCTCAGAAACACGGGTTTAAGACGGGTACACCCGTTGAGACACCTGCTCAGCATGCGAGTACGAGCGAAATTCACAACTTCTCTGCCCCTGTCGCCTTTGAACACAGTTAAATCATTGAAAGTCGATCGCCCATGTATTTTTACCATACACGGGATGAGCACGATTGGCGATAGCCAAGCCCCCCCTCCCTCCTTCTCCTATACAACCCCTTCTTTTTTATTGGAAATAGTCTAGTCTAGCTTCTTATTACTACTAAATCTTCTACTACAACGTACAATTTTGCTTGTTTCAAAGCCCAGAACTTCTAGAAACCAAAAAACCAACGGTCATTTTTAAGGCCATCAGCCCGTCGGTTGATCTGACCGCCTTGTCCAGCGTTTTGTCCTCCTCGGCCGCTGCGTCCGGAATTTCTGAAAATCTCGTTGAACCGAGGAAAAAAAAGAAGGAGTTCTGTAAGAAGCTCAAAAATGTTGAGTAAGTGGGCAGGCTTCATATAAAGCAACAATGAAAGTAACTAATCAATAAAGTTAGTTTTCCATCTTCAAATCTGAGCAAGAAAAAGCAAACTCCAACAAATTTATTCTTCCAACCCCAACCCTCACCTGGAATTTCCACCAGCTCGTCGTGAATTCGGTCCACCCGAATGAACAGTTTCGAATTCGTCGTCGAGAATCGTCTCCTTATCTAGATCCCGTTCATCGTCGTCGTTCTCCAGCCGCGAGAAGAATTTCGACGAGGCGCTGCCTTCAATTTCTCGGGCGAGTTGCTCGGCCCGCCGTCTGTCTTCTTCGGTTCCCTCCACCTCCACTCTGAAATCCCAATCCTTGAAAAAGTTTCTGAATCTTTTTTTCTTTGGTTTATTGGTTCACGGAAAGACATCTTGAGAATTTTGAAGTGTCCGGTCAGAAATAAAATCATGAAACTTGGCTGAGAATTACTCTTGGTCATCCTGATTCCAAAAAAATGGCAATGTATGACAAAAAAGCAATATTTCCAACTTTTGGAGCGTCTCAACTTGGAAAAAGGTCTAAAAAAATGTTTTCCTTGTTTCGGAATCAAGAGGTTCGAAAGATTGGGGGACTAAAAAGCTCCACAATTAAGGCTAAAAGTTACGTAGTTCGAAGTGAAACAACGAAAGGAAACAACTGAACAAAAGCTTAAAATTTTTTTACTAAGTCATTGCAAAATCCTCATTTTTTTTCCTTTTTTCCTTTTTTCCTTCTACTCGGACAATCTTTTTCCTCCAGCCGTTTCCACAGATCAGCTGTTAGATTTATTTGATTGTCTTGATGTTTTATTTTTTTGTATTTGTGCTGATTGCGGAATGGCGAATAAACACTTGAAATGAAAAAAACCCACGTCGTGTACTGGGACAAATTCTCGTCGAAAGTCGACGTGACTTTGTGCATTTTGCTGTTCAAGGCGAACATTTCCTCGGGGGTCCAGCCGTTCTGACGAGCGTGCCGTTGGCGGTGGTCTTGCACGTCCTGAGAAATTTCAATTTTTTTCAGTTCAATTTTTTTCTTTGTTGTTTAGCCTTTTTAATTTCAAAACTCTTAAATCAATGGCTCCTCTTTGATATGTCACTTGTTTATAACACCATTTCTAAAGAAGTTCTCATTCATTTTAATAGTTCCTTCAAGTTTCCACCTATTCCTGGTTTTATTCAAGTTAGAACGTCAGGCATAGGAGTATCACCTTCTTTAGTTTTTAGAACAAATTTCTAGTTATTTCTCGTGACAAGTTTTGCCTCATTGGTTTGGGGTGTGATCTCGCTCAAGATGAACATTTGGTTGTTCTCAAAAAAGAAAAATCAGGTCTACCTCAGAAATTAGTAACGCGATACCAAGGCGAATCGGACGTGTCTGGGTATTTCTAGTGACCACTTAAGTCGCCTCAGCCCTCTTAAGTGACCCCTAGAATTTCTCAGAAACGTCCAGAGCACGTCCGGTTCCCGTTACCGAGTACAGAAATTGATAGTCAAAAAAATTTGCAGAGTAAATCCGCGCGGAGAATCATCTCCTATAACTGTGCGACAGTTGCGCTTAGCCACGCCCATTAATCACCAAACGCTTTGCGCTATTTTTTTATTCATGTCCCAGCGTCCCAAAAATATTAAAAAAGGTCTTCAAATTTCATATCCTAGCTTTCTTAAGACTCCCTTCGACTTTTATGAATTATTTTTCCTTTCTAACTAGTTTTATAAGAGGTCCGTTCTTTGAACTATTTCATATTCTTTTCTTCTTCCGAATAAATAATGATGATGAACGAACTGCTTCGATGCCGCCTTCGTAGCCGTCCTCGATGGGATGACTGAAGCCCTCGTCCTCCTCGGACATCCACCTCTCCAGCTCGTCCTCGCCATGGCCGTTCGTCTTCGAGTTGCCGTGGTAGTCACGGTCTGTCGCGAATCCCATCGCTGCAAAAACAATCAGTATTTTTGAGAAGCTTGTTGGAAAAATCCTGGAAAAAAGCGCTTTACTTTGGACTTCGAACCGTCTTTCATGAAGTTTTAAAAAATCCTCAAATGACCTCTTTTGTTTATAACAGGTAGAGCAATTTCGAATTTTTTGGCGATTCATAAAACATAAAAAAAAGCCCTTTTTTATTTTCTTTTTCGATATCTTCACCATTTTATAATAAACTAAATTATTCCACAATAATCTTCCCCTACTCAAAGTAAAAAAAAAATAAATAACGAAACGATTTCGAAACCAACTAGTTCAACATCAGCAGACTCATTGACAAGACAAGATAACAAAGTTTGTTAGGAAACCGGAAAAAAATCAAGGAGAGTTCCAAAGTACTAAGAAAACAGATTGGAACTTACGAGTATTATAGTTTGACCTCCTCATTTTTTTTAATTTTTTAAAAATAAGATAAGCCGAAAATTTAAGAAATAATATATGTACTCTCAAGAAGTAAATTGACTGAAATTTCCATTAAAGTCAAATATTTCTGAACTTTTTGAAGCCTTGAAAAGTTAATTTCCCAGTGAGACCTGATCAATAATTATCTCTGCCTCATAAAAAAGAGTTTCACTCGAATTTTAAAGAGGCTTTGTCTAAAAGACCACTGAAAAAAGCTTTTCGTTTCGAGACCAAAATTAAATCTATATGATGCGCCTAACAGCCCCAGGAACGACTAATAAACAGAGCAATACTAGTAAAAACATTCTTAGCCAAAAAAAAAACTACTTTTCTGTCCACAAAATTTTTATATAGCTTTCTTCTGATGCCAAAAAAAGTACGTTCAATGAAATCAGCTTATGCGCCTTTAAAGAACCCCAGGAAGGATCAGACTGTTACTAGTGAAACATTCTTGCCTAAAAAAGGCATTTTTCTACTTCTAAATATTCCTATCCTGCCTATTTTTTCATAAAATCAAGTTTTTCTTTTTTCTTTTCAAAGGACCTTCATTAAAGCTAGCTTTGAACCCTACAAAAAAATTTTCGGTGTATCTCATGTCAAAAGTTCAATGTATCTAGATCCACAGGAAGGATCATCAAACAGACTATTCCTAATATTTTTGCCCAGACATTTTTTCACTTTTGAATAATCTATCCAGTTCTCTTTCTCATAGAAAAAGGTTTTTTTTTTTCAACGAGTCTTCACTGAAGCTAGTTTTGAATTGTTCAAAATATTTTATGGTGAACCTTTTTTCCTCGAAAAACAACTTTTCTTCCTAAAACCAAGCTTCCCATCCTAAAATCCAAAGAATAACACACAACGAGTGCCGGGCTTCTCCTCGGTGATGTTGGCCGACATGCTGATGACGTTATCGAACTGGAAGATCATCTTCTCTTTAACTTCGCTGGCCCGCGGCAGCAGATTCTTCGAGTTGTCGTCTGTGAGCTCGTAGGCCAGCTTTAAGCCAATGTCCAGCTGGTTTCGCTGCAAAAAAGTTCATTTCCCTTCAGAAAAAAATTTTTTTAAGTCTTTCTTATAAACTCGCAGTCGAACCGAAAATAGTTACCTCGGCAAAAACTTTTAGTGGCCACTATAGAGTTCTAAGTGCTACTACTAGACCACTAAAAATTTTAGTGGCCTCTTTAGGGGTCAATGGATCAACATAACTGGTCCAATCTGTTTGTTATAAAATTATCAGAGTTACTGGAAGGAATGCTGGATAAAAAAAATACTTGAGTGGCCACTAAAACGGAAAATAGTGGTCACTCTAGAGGTGGGTTTAGTGGCCACTTTAGTGTCCTCTCAAGTAGTCCTTGGCGAGTCTCTATAGTGGCCACTAAAAATTTTCCCAGCTAAAATTAGAAACGGAAAAAAAATTTCGAATTGATAGCTTTAAGATACAAAAAAATTGTGTCAAAAAAACTTTTTTTCAAAAATTCTTTTTGTCAGAAAAAGGACATCTAAAACCAATGACGTATTATCATTGAAGTTAAAAATCGTACAAAAATCCAAGAAATCTTTTTTTCCGAACAGTTTCTGAATCATTGTTCGGACTAGTCAAATTTTATTTTTCAAATAAACCAAAAAAAATTTTTTCTAAATCAAAACTTTCAATATTAATAGAACTAAGACGGAAAATAAGATTTTTTTCATCAATTTTTACCTTCTCATTAGGTTGACAGGCGACAAAAAGCCCTGTATATTTGCGGCCGTCAGACACGGTGATGACGACATCTTTTCCCTGCAAAAATATACATTTTTTAAGGAAACTAACCAAAAAATCCTGACCAGCATCTCATTGAAAGTCATCAGCAATACATGGTTCGAGTGAAACGTATCTGGGAAGTTCTGAAAAGAAAAAGATTAAAAAATGGCAAAGTTATACGCAAAACTCATTTTTATGGTTTGCGAAAATTCAAAAACCCAATGAAATTCAAATCAAAATTTTTAAAAAAACGTATAGATAACTGTTAAAAAAATGTATTTTGTATTAAATTGCATCATTTTTGGGGAACAAAGTACACAAAACTGGATAAATCGCAAAGGACATGATTTATTTAGAAGGTAAATGAGATAAAATACGAGATAAAAAAATAATTTTTCATTGAAAATTTGAGATTTTTTTCCAGAAAAAAATAGTTAAAAAGATCGATTAAAACATTTTTGAAGGTATTCTAATTGAAAAACTATCTAAAAAAATTTCAAAATTGAATTTTTTTCTGAAGAAAATGCAAGAAGTTAAAATAAAAAAACTTCAAACTTTTTCAAAAATCATTCAAAAACCCATATGAAATTTTTTTGGCAACGAAAAAAAGCTGAATTTAGAGTTGTCTATTTAAAAATTTTTCAAAAAAACTACAAAATCTTGCAAAAAAATTTAGCTTTAGCTTAGAAACCACAAAATAAAAACTTTTTAAAAAGCCAAAATTACTGTCAAAAACCAAAAACCAACCATATTTCTTGTACTCGATGGGCAACACACCGAAGAAGCGTTTCAGAAAATCGCCGCCAAAAAAGGCAAATTCAGCCTCGACAAAATCCCAAATTGCAGACGAGAAAAGTGCGGATTTGAATAGAAGAAATATACAAATTCCTTCTAAAAAAAGCACTGAAGACTGTTTTTGTCGGTGTTTTTGGTGTTGTTTGGTGAAGCGACGGAGATTCCTTCAACAGAAAATCCCACGTCAACCTGAAAAATGTTGAAACTTTCAAGAGAAAAAAAGGTGATGAAACATGGAAAAAAACGATAAAAAAATCAACAAAAAAACCGTTGAAAAATGGTATTTCCCATGAAACTGATCATGATGAAGCGGAGAAAAAACACACGATCTTATAAAAACTGAAAAAAGCCTTGGTCAGCAGGTCAAGGTTTCCAAATCGAAAAAAGCACTTTGACAAAAACAAAAAATGCTTTTCGAAACATTATCAGGCACACAAAAGTTTGGAAAAAAAAAATCAATTCTGATAACGCATCAAAGTGAAGAAATGAAACATGCCTTTGAAAAAAAAACAGATGTCCAAAATGAGGAAGATTTCATCAATTTTTTTAGCTTGAAAAAAAGTAAAAATTTAAATTTAATGTTTTTTTAAAAATTTCCGTTTTTCCTATTGCTTTCTTTCTTAAAGAGAGAATGAAATCTCAAAAAAATCTATGCAAAAAAATCCACTTATAAAACAAATTATGGTTTAAAAAGGGTCTCTAAAGCTGTTTGAAACTTAAAAACATGTTAAAAGTTCCAAAAAAGTACTTTTTATACCCAAATTGAATTCGAAAAAGTTTCTCTATGCAATTCAAATTGAGAAAATTAGAGAAAAAAAGGAGAAAATAAAGGTCTTGATGCGAAAATCTTGTTAATTTTGGACCAAAGTGTTGCGCCTTTAAAAATACAAAATTATAAAACTCACTAGTCAACGAATTATACAGCTGAATGAATGGAAAAGTTCAAACGCTTATTTAAAAACAGAGATTTGTACGGTAATTTTCTTTAAAAAATAATACAGAACATTATTCAAAAACTTCTTTTTAAAAAAATTCTACATGATCAAATAAAAATTTTAGAAAATCAAAAAAATCGAGTACGATTATTGACAAATATTGTAGAACTTACAATCTCAAAACAAGAAAATAAAAACTTTCAGGATAATAATCAAATTTAGAATTTTTTTCTTTTTCATTTTAAAGCTCTCACGATTATCATGAGAAGCTATAGAAGAAGAAAATAACATGACCTTATAAAAAGAGCTAAGAATTAATAAATTCATGAAAACTTCCATCATTTTCGACCGAAATAACTTCAACGTACGTCAAAATCTAGCAAAACACGGAAAAATAAAAATTTTAGTGCGTCGGAAAATGGAGCAGGTGCCAAGGGCAACAGCAGAGTACTCCGTGAAAAGACCGAAAAGAGTTATTTACGGTTCAGTAAATCAAGAATCTTTTTACGATTTTATTACTTAAAAGTAGCTTGATAAGTATGGCGAAAAATCTGAATTCACAAAATTTTCTTGGCCTCAAAAATCGTTATTTATGAATCGAAGAAAACTCGCTGAATCACTTTTAAAAGCTCCAATTGATTTTTCGAAAAATCGAAAAGTTCCGACATGAAACCCTATCAAGAAATTTCCCCTTGAAATTCCAAAAAAATGAATCACATGCGAATGGGAAACATTTCACAACAATAATAAATGGTTGTGGGAATGTTTTCAACCAAAATATATAGAATAGAGGGTTTGGAATCAACTGAGAAAACATATAATTATACGAATAACAGCTGAAGAAAGATCAACCGAAGGTACCAATTATTCTAAACCAAAAGCTGGAAATTACATCAAGTTTAACAAGAAAAAATCTATAAGAAAACAATTTGAAATAGTTTTATCTTTCGAATGGCTTGGAATTGGATATATCAATCAAGAAAATCGAAAAAAATCAAGCCTCAGAAGCCATAAATTTTTCCCAATGGGTATACATATACAGGAACCAATTCATCTTAAGATAAAAAAAGACATTTGATAAGAAAAAACCCCTAATCATGGATCAGTGAAAAAACAAAGCTTAAGGAAGCTTTAAAAAGGACCGTTTAACCCAAAAAAAAAACTGCTTAATGAATATTTGAATCAATTTCTTTTTTAAAAGTTCCGATTATTCAAAAAATCACTTTCGTAAAGCTTCTAGAAACAATTTCCACACTTAAAAAAGACCTTTTGCAATAATAAAAAAGTTCAAAAGACCGAAAACTGCTCGGTTCTAATAATAGAATTATTTTCTTGAGGTCATACTAAAGGAAGGAATAAGTGGCTCTATTTCAAAGGTACCCAGTTTGTCATGTATGAGTAAGGGCTATAAATGGGGTCGTGTGCAAGAGAAACAGGTGAAAATGGAAATATTTGACGTCAAGACCAAGAATGAAAATATTATTTTTAGACTTATCAGGAAGCTGAATAAAGGATCACGAATAACTAAAAATAAGATAAAGAAAAGACGATAGTTGGAAATAGCAACATGGATTCAAAAGATCGACCTTTGACCCTACTAGAAACAAGGAAAAAAAAAATATAAAAAAAATAATATAAGATTGGAACTCTACTTTAAAACAAAGAAACTTCAAACTTTAAAAATATTTATATACTACCTGAAGTTCACCAAAGCATTTTTGATCTATTTTATCCGGCTTACCTAGCCTTCTCCGTTCTCAACTTAAACGAAAACATTATCAAAATTTCTAGCATAATCCGGTTGATTCACTCTAAATTTGATAGCTCCCAAGAAAATATATGAAACAAAAAAGTAGGGCTCAACAACTTGACGCAATAAATCCGGGGCAAGTAGTCAGAGGAGAGTGGGGGGAAAAAAACTTCCGAAAAGCCAGGGGCGATTCTCTTCTTTCTTTCTGTCTCCTTCGGGAAAAAAGGCTAAATGACGCAGGCATAGTAGGGAAGTAGTAGAGATAGGAGGTGGGTTCTCTCTCTGAATCGTGTGGTAGGAGGGCGAGAGACGTTGAAGGGACCATTCTTTGGGGAGAGACGCAGAGCAACAATGGACTCGGCTTCTCTCCGACTCTCTTCTCTTCTCTTCGATGTATGTGGCTCCGTTTTCCGTTCGTCGTCGGCGATTATCGTCGAGAGAGAGAGAGAAGGAGAGAGGGAGAGGGAGGGGACATCAGTGCGGTGCCGGCTCGAGGTCATCGCCTCCCCTCCTTTCTCGAACGCCTGGCCACTTGCCAGCCAACCTTTCGCGCAATCCCTTTTCCCGCATTTTGAGCCAAAGGAAGATCAAAAGGACAAGCGTGACCGTTTATGAGATAATGAGCAAGGATTAGAAGACTGTAAATTGAGATTTTGAAAGGTCAAATCGAACCGAAAGGACAATTATGGTAATCGCCGAGATCATGAAGTAATGAGCCGATTCAGAGCGGCTAATGCTTTTGAAAGCGTTTTTGAAATTGATACTTTGATTTTTGTACCAGAAACGGCCAAGACCATGAGATAAAACTTGAAGACTGTGAGCTTAAAAATTTCTCAAATGGCTTCTTAAACCAAAAATACCGTAGTATCAATCTTAACACGATCATGAGGTATTGAGCCAACACAATTTCAAGCTTCTCGGAGCCTTTTTAAAGAATCAAAACGAAAAGAATGAGAAGGGTCTTGCCACGATCCTGTAAAATAAAGATGTGAAAACCGTAAGCCTTTATTTCGATTGTTTCATATTTTAGCCGGGCTACAATCTTTTTCTCATGGGTACATCCTTCAAACTACAAACCGATGTCGATCCATCTTTCTCTAATATACTTCCTCTTCAGAAGCAAACCTTATCGCAAAAATATTTGTTCATGAGTCAAATTTTATACAAAGATTTTGACCGCTTCCAAAACTTGGGCGTGTAAATGCCGAAAACAAGAAGTTAAAGTGCAAAAAAGTCCTTTTTTAGTTATTAGAATAATCCGGACTTTATGAAGTTTTTCTCAAGACATTTTTGGTGTCTATAATTCAGTTTTGAAGAAAATTAATATCCCAAAAATCATACTTTCTATAACTTATTTTTTTGATCGAGTAAATCCGAATTTTCGACAAAAAAAGCCATTTTTAAAAAAATAGTAAAAAGAAACTTGAAATTGTGTTGTCCGCGGAGCTCACCTGCTGTGAGCACGTGAGGCCATATCACACGCTAATATTCGGTAACAAAGAAGAAAAATGAGAAAATTTCTTTAAGAAGTAAGAACAAAAACAACGGGATAATTATTAAAATCATGAGATTCTTCGAAAAGACATAAGATTCTATGAAAACTAGTAACAAACGAAAGTGAAAAGTTCTTTCGATACCCGTTTTGCATAATATTCCTACTACTCTGCTCGGGAAAACGAGTTTTTGAATAAATTATTAGAAAGAATAAAATAAAGCGAACACGAAAATTCGAAAAAAATGAGCTGATTTCGAGGAATTTACTGTAAGAAATTTGAGCGAGCTTCGGCTGAAAAATCCTGAAATTTTGATAGAAGTGGACCTTTCATGATAGAGAGCAAGTATTTAAACTATATTTTAGTCCCACTACATTTTTTGTCTGTTTCTATGGGAAATCGTCTGAAAAAGGAAATTGAAAACCAAAGATTCAATTGCTTCCGTTTTTTGTTCCCTGCTCTATGCTGGGAGGCGACTAAGCGCCCACTATCGGCTGTGTCGCCACTAAGCGCCCTCTAAAATTTCAGGCGCCTTGAAAGCGGTTTGTGAGAATTGCGCGAAATAGCGAACTTGCCCTCCCACCGTAAATTCTTCATATTCGAAAATTTTTGGGACTTTTTATTTATTTTCATTTTTTGTTTTCATTTCGATTTTGCTTTTGTTTTTGACTTCGGCTACGATTTATGTTTTTAATACGTTCTCCACTGAATCCTGCTAATCCGTACTATTTAGAAAGCATTTTGCCGAAAGAGTATTTATTCTTTGTAATTTATCAAAAGATGTTCAACTTAACTATTTTTTTCAAGATACGAGTATATTATAATTAATAGTTTTTTCACCAAATTGATACCGGCGATTGTTAAAATTTGAAATGGACATGTTTTGAAAAATTCGTTTCTATTTTCCAATTAGTTTTAGTTTTTCAGTTTTATCTTATTATTTTTTTTTACAATAATAATTAAACTATCGTGAATGTGCAGTTTACATCTTGCCAACCTCAAATTTATAACTCCTTGTCAGTAAGTGTCTCCTTCTGTTCTAAAATTACCATCTCCCTTATTGGTGGGGGGAACCCGCTGTGCTAATTCGGGTGAAACTCGGATAAACCTGTAATTCACCAGATTTAGCTTGGTGCGTTAAACCGCTTTTGCCGCGCCGTTCACCCGAAAACCAAAACAAATAATAAATAGAAGCAGCCGTTAAACGGCGCGGCTTCATCGGGTGAACGGCGATGCAAAAAAGGCCAGCGGGTGAACGGTACTGAAGAAGCGGTTTAACGCGCCGTCCTAAATTTACTACAGGTTTATCCGAGTTTCATCCGATTTAGCACAGCGGGTTCACCCCACTAATATGAGAGATAAGAGTTTTTTGAGATCGCTTCAAGAAGATATCTACAATATTCAAAATGGAGATCGCGGTTGACGTTATTTGGGTAAGGTGGTCGGCACTGCCAAGTCTTGCTCATGAGCAGAATGAAAGGTTAGCATGTTTATTTTTTAAGTGTCCTAAAGTAGAAAATTTTTTTAGTTTTTCGTTTTTTAGTTTTTTTAGTTTCCTCTTGGCGAGTTGGCTCGATAAACCGCTAAGCAAGTCAGCATGATCAGCATCAATTGATGGGGTAAGATTTTTATTTATTTTCCAACTTTATCGTGATGTCTTTTTCCAGATAATTGCCAAAAGTTTTTCAAACGTGCCGAAAAAACTAGAAGAGAAAATAGTTTTTCGAAGGTTATTTCTTGAGGTTCGCTTTTGATCCCACCTTTGGACTTCAAATTTTCTGTTGCAGATTATGAAAGACGCGCATCGAAAAGGGAAAGCTTCAAGTCTTATACAACGCCGCATGTCTTCATTTACCAAAAGAATCTCGCAGCGACTCTTTTAAATAATCTCGCAGTGACTGATTTGACTCTTTTTAACCTCCTTCATTTTAAAAAGTAATTTGAGAACGAAATTTTTTAATTTGCTAAAAATGCTTCCAAAAAAATCTGATCGTAACAAAAAAATTTTATTTTGTTGCAATGAGCGTACTCTAACAAGCATTTCAGCTAAGTTTTTTTGAAATTATTGAGATGAAACTTCGTTTTACTTTCGTTGTTATAATAGATTTTTTCTCATTTATTAAATTAGTTTTGTATTTTTTTGTTCATTTGAAATTTGAAATTATATTGATTTATGTTTCAGTTCACTTTCCTTCAATTTCTAGTTTGGTTGAAGTATATTTTTTTGTTTTTCATGTTTGACTTCATTATTATGTATACCTTATCTCGATAGTTTATTTAAGTCGTACATGCATTTTAAAGAAAATAAATTAATATTATTACTTGATGTTTGATGCTATTCCTGCGAGCTGAAAGCGCAAAGGTTGTCTGTATTTTTGTCTAGCCATTGCTATTTTTGAACTCTGATCGTATGGAATCAGAAAAGAAAAGCATTGGTTAGACAAAAATACCGACGACCTTTAGGCTTTCCAGCTCAAAATACAAGCAAAAAAGCAAATGGGAAAAGAGAAGAAAGTGTGCCCTATAGGACTGTCGCGCCACTAAGCGCCTACCAAACCGGCACCAAAGCGCTTTAAAGCGCGCGTTCGCGCGGTTTTGGGCGCTTTTAGTGGGCGCTTAGTCGCCTCCCAGCATAGAGTGCTTACGTACAGAATGATGAGCAGTTAGAGTAATTTCCGTTTTTTTAGTCCAAAAAAAGTTTCTTATTATGATTATCATAAACGCCTATAACTTTTGAAAAATTCTTTGAGTTTATTCAAAAAACTAAAATTATTGACGGTAGAACCCAAAATGTGACTTATCAATTTTGTAAATAATGAAACATTTGAAAATACACTTGATTGCTCATGTTTGTGAAGAAGTTGCTTCACTTTTTCAAAAAACACCAGTTCAAAAATTACGTATCAATTGCCTGAAAAAATAAGGCGAAATTCCCACTCTAAATGTTTCGAAATAAAAAAAGGTTCCTTTAAAACAGAACAAAAAAGGGTTGAAATACTGCCAAAGGGCAGAACAAGGACAACAGCGACATATTTTGAATGAGAAGTACGAATGTTGGTTAACTTCAGCAAAATAATTCTGCAAAGTGCAAAGAAAGGTTCACCGAAGACTTACTTGTAGGTCTCGACAATCTGATTAAATTGAGAAACATAGAAAAAAAAAATTATACTCCTTTCATGAAATATGTTTAAGAAATTTATGAAACTAGGAAGTAAAGTTTGAATTTTGATTGAAAAAGCTCCCATTTCCTTCAAAGAACGAAAAACTCACATTATGTTAAAAAGAATCCTTTTTTGGTTTTTGAAGAAAAATTAACATATTCCATGAAAAGTTTCGAGACGAACATTTATTTGGCGCCACTTTGAGTCATAAAAGGCTTCTGCGTCTTCAAACACTCGATCAAAGATAATTAAACAAGCTTAAAAACGAAAATTTACGAAATAAAGAAGTAAAATGAAAAAATTTCATCGTGGCGCCCCCGAATCGCCCAGCCCGCCCATTTTTTCCGCGACCTTGCAGAAAAAGGCGCACTTTTTGCCGCTATAATGTGAGAATTCAAATTTGCGCGGTTTTTTTAATTTAAAATATTATGCCGCGTTTAAAGTATAAAACTACACGCGGAGAAATTGTTTTTTTCCTGTTTACAGCCACGAGCCGAAATTATGCGCGCCGATATTCGTTGGCAACATTCCAACACTGTTTTTCTCTTTTCTTCTTTTTTACATAATTTTTCTTTTTCTTTTTCAATTTTTCAACCCGTTCAAAGCTATTGATTTTTAGAAATAGTATGAATGAAAAACCTTTAGTTAATTTTTTTCGACTGTTTGAACTTGAAAAAAAGTTCAATTTTTTTCTCAAATTTCGTATTTATCGTGTTTATCCAACGGATGTATCAGAGTATTTGAAGTTGCAGGTCTCTAAACTATGACGGGTATTGGATTACCGAAAGTGTTAAATTTGAAAAAAAGGTTAATTTTTATTCAAAAAAACTTTTTTTCGCAATTATGTTTTTAAAATTTTTTTGATTATTTTCACATTCAGACTCGTTAGGGAGGAAGGGGCGGCTCGTGTGAAGGTAGCGCGTAATTTTCGACGCCACGGGCAATAAGAAATTTGTGAGCTTTTTCCTATAGATCTCTTAATAACTAGTTAATTTAATTCAGAAAAAAAGTATTGAATTTTTTTGTTCAGCTCTTTCGAACAAGACGTTGTGGTCAGCCGGATAAATTTGCAATTTATCATGTCTCGATTGTGTCAAATTCACAGCTTTTTAACTTCTCCTTTATTTCAATGATTTTGTTTTTGTTTTGTTTTTATTACGCATTCATTTCCTCCATCTTTTATTTGAATAAAGATGATGAGCATCAATTTCTTGAGGAATAAATGTAAAAAAACAAGCGGCTTAGTTAATCAAATTCAAAACCTAATAACAGAAACTGTTTTGTTGTCAAATTTTTCTGAAATGCAGAAGAAAACAATGAATTTTTTTTATTAGAAAAAGTTCCATAAAGAGAGATCCAAGTTTCACGTGTAGTCTTTCGGCGTGTCCTTCGTAAACCGATCGTCTAGGCCTGAAAGAAGAAAAAAATTTTCCAAAAAAAAGAAAGGCTGATTGAACCTTGGTATTAATTTTTCGTGTAAAACCGAACAGACAAGACATATTGAAAATGAAAGAAAATAATATCGAAGAACAAGAAAACTCACGAATTTATGCTTGACTGTAGAGACGAACATTTTGCGTTACCTTCACACGAGCCGCCCGTCTTTCCCTGACGAATCTGAATTTTTTTGTGAACAGAATCAAAAATTGTAAAAAGAAATTAGAAAATTTTTTTGAATAAAAATTAACCTTATTCAAAGATAAAACTCGGTAATCGAAGACCCGCCACAGTTTAGAGACCTGCAACTTCAAACACTCTGATACATCCGTTGGAAAAAAAAAAATAATAAACACGATCAATACGAAATTTGAGAAAAATTGAACTTCTTTCAAGTTCAAACAGTCGAAAAATGGGGTTTTCATTCGTACTATTTCTGAAATTAATAGCTTTGAACGGGTTGAAAATTAAAAAAAGAAAAAAAAAAATTATGTAAAAAAGAAGAAAAGAAAAAAATTATGTAAAAAAAGAAGAAAAGAAAAAAGAAAGAAAAAAAAAACTGTGTTGGAATGTTGCCAACGAATATCGGCGCGCATAATTTCGGCTCGTGGCTGTAAACAGGAAAAACAATTTCTCCGCGTGTAGTTTTATTACTTTAAACGCGGCATTATATTTTCTCAGTTTTTCGTGGCTTCAGACTTGTTCCCAACATAATTTTTCCATACATTGAATTAAGAAGAATCAGTTATCGATGTCTTGTTTTCAAAATAAAGCTTTATCCCGCAATTCAAAATCAAAAAAAGTTTTCAGTGAGTTTCCGTATCAGCATGAGTTCCACAACTCCGCATGGAGAGCCGGCCTCAGCTGAAGGTATTTATCAATCATAGCAGAAAATGAAATGTTTTCCTTCAGGGAACGGCGAACGGACTACGGATAATTTTTTCTCGTCTTTTGTATCAAGTATTTAACTATATTCCCGTGAACTTGAGATAATTCCGTGTTTTTCAGAAGGCCACAGCATAGATCTCAGCCATGGAGCCAAAAGCTTCTTTCATTCTAACCGTGAGTATGCAAAAAGGCCTAAGGTTGTTGAATTTTTTCCTTCAGTACTTTTTAGCAAAAATTGTCATTCTCTTTTTTTAAAAGTTGCACACTTTTTGCTTTTTTCGTTCAAGTTATGCGCGAAATTTTGAGGGTAGCAAACATTTTTATCATTGATTTTTGAGAGAACGAGAAATTCTTCACATCTATTTTTTTCCAGACAAACATGGCTTACCCAGCAATTTCAAAGAAATGAATGAAGCTCTGCTTAACTTTGACACAGGTGATTTTTATCAGTGTTTCTGATTTCCTGTATGATCTTCCTGCTGATGCCAATTTCATTCCGAGTTAAAATTTTTGAAGTTTTTTTTTCAGTGTCTATCGACAACTTGGAGGCTTTGAATGTCGCCCTGGGATCAGTTTCGCGTGGTAAATTCATGAGTTGATTACCAACTGTGTGAAAAATTTCGTTTTGTGAATAATTCTTCGATTCAAATGTAGTCAATGTTTCCCGACTTGAAGGGCGAGGGAGGCGGGGCAAGGGCGGGACGCGTAGCGTGTGCGTTCGCGGTTCTTGCCACGTGTACAATTCAACCGCCATCTACTCTTTGAAAAGCCCGTTTTTCGCTTTTTTCATTCCTTTTTTAATTATTTATTGATTATGTTCATGTGTGCATCAAAAAGAAAACATTGAAAAAGAGCGGTTGCCGAGCTTTTTAGATAGTCGGCGACAATTGAATTGAGCTCGTGCCGAGAACCGCGTACGCACACGCTACGCGTCCCGCCCCTTGCCCCGTCTCCTTCGCCTTTCAAGTCGGGAAACATTGACTATATTACGAAATAAAAGCGCTCTTTTTTCCAGAAATCCGGAGGGAATCGAACAATTGGAGCTTCAATCAGGCGAGAAAAAAGACCGTCGTCGCCGACCTTCAGGAAAAACAAAAGAGAATCCGCAAAACTCTTGAAAGTCGCATTGCGGATATTGATGGGATCTTCAGTGCGTTTCTCATTTCAATCAAATCGAAATGAAAAGATTTTCAGATTCTTTGATCGACGAGTTGCGAAGTGAACAGCCAAAAGTTGCCGAATACAGCTGTGAGTGAAGTTTTTCGATTTTTTTGTGAAAAAGTGCAAGAAAAGATGGCTTTTCCGAATTTCTAATCTGTATTACCCATAAAAAAAAGGGTGTGTTTCTTAATCGAACAGGCCTTATAGGGACCGAAAAAGTTGTCCCTATAGGGGAAAATCAAGGCGGTCCCTATAGGGTTTTAGGGTATGATCTCTCAGCCTCTAAAGTTCAAGTGGACCCTATAGGGGTCGTTCAATTTCATTCAAAAAAGCTAAATTATTCATTTTATTGCATGGAGATGCTTCTTCGCATAGAGTTCATGAAAATTATCAACTACCATGTCCCCTATAGGGACCGCTTTTACAAGCTTCAGTGGCCCCTATAGGGGTTGGTTAAGTGGTCTTTAAGTTTGCCCTATAGCGGCAACTCGAGAGTTCTTAAAAAGTATTTTTGCAAAATTTTCGCTGGGGTGTTTGACGATTTTGCGGGTTCCGAGACGAATAGCGCTATTTAGGATTGTTTTGAGCCATGCGTGTTTTTTAAGGGACCGTAACTTCCATTTTATCAAAGCTATTTCATTTTTCAAAATCAAGGAGATCTATTTTTTTTTTTGTTAAGTTCATTTTATTTCAGTTGACATAACTGCTTTCCGCTGTCAAAGGGAGACGAGCCCTATATTGAAAAGTCGAGCCACAAGCACACTTCGAGCTGAACAAAGCAATAAGTCGAATCCTTTCAAGCGGTATAGACCCCGGCGTCGCATTCGTAAATTTTTGCGAAATCAGGAAGCTTCTAGGGGCTCAGAGCCTCGATAGGACCCATCGCAATGAGAATTTCGATCAGAATTGCTCTCCCTCGCCTTGAAACTCTTCAAATTACTTTTTAAAAGTTTTTTTTTATTTTCCCATCTTTGTTGAGCTTGACCCGAACAGTTTAAAGGCGCACCGCCCAAAAAAATCTTTCTGGGTCACGCCACGAATTTTTTTTTCTGCCTGTTTTTTGATCAAGCTTCTTGTGAAGAACTGTATTTGTATGATATTTGCCTTTTTTTTATCATGAGCATAATTCTTGTTAAATTCAACTCATTTTTCATATTTTTGTTTGTAAAAAGGGGAATCTTATTGTCAGTTACCACTTTTAATCACTTTCTTGTTGAAATATTTTTCCGGCCTTTACTTGAATACTCGGTTTTTTTCCGGTTTTTGCTTCCCCAAGCTTTAATTTTCATCTGTATCTCTTTATTGCCCGTCTTGTTATTAGCATATCTATTCTCATGACCTTCATATTATTTTGTTTTTTTGTGTAAGATACATTTTTTTTTTAGTGTTTTTTTATCATGAAGTTAAAACAATGAAAGAAGATCGTGTTGAAAAAAATAGACGTTTACCGTTCAAAATGTTCAAATGAGAATTTTTGAACATACTATAAAACGAAAATGAGAACTTATTTTCAAAATGAAAAACTTTTCTGAAAAAAATTGGTTTTGGCGCCGCGATCCGCTAGCCACGCCCATTTTTTCGTGACTTTGCCGAAAAGGCACACTTTTACTAGTTAGGCGAGAATTCAAACTTGTGGGGTTTTTTTAAATTCAGAATATTGTAATTTCTCAGTTTTTTTCTCGGCTTTTTTCGTAATGATCATTAAAAATATCAATTTTTTTCGCCCTGATAAGTTCCTACTGCCGATTTTATTTTTTATTATCTTCGCCTTTTAATTTTAAAAATTTTTTAGCGCCCCTCTGTTACAAGATGGAATGCGAAATGATGAAAGAACTGGACGCAATAAAAGGTTTTTTTATCACGAAAAACACAGAATTTTTGTTGTTCAGAGGAAGGCGAGCTGACAGATTACGACGACTTGTCGGATTTCTCCCGTACGAATGATATTTTTTTGAATCTTTAGATCATGTTCCTTTTTCAGTGAGTCCCTGCAGACCGAAGGAAGAACCAGATGAAGCCTTCGAAGAATTCAACAATATGTTTGAAAATCCTGCCAAGGAACCGAAAATTGAGGAAGATTATTTTCCAATGTCAGCCCCTCTCGTCGATTTGAAAATGGTCAAAGTTGCGGAAGGTGATTTTGAAATCGTGAAATTTCGAAGCTAGCATACAATATAAATATATTTCTTGACAAGTATTTTTTTTCCAGAGAAGAGAGACGCGCTCGCGGATTTTGAAGAGATGAACCGCATTCTGTGGACAATTGAGACAAGTGATTTTTTTAAACAATTTTTGCTTTTTTTGTGTAACTTTTTCTGGTGAAACCATTTCTCTTGTGGATTCTCCATTTCTAAATAAAGATTTATGAAGTTTTTTTCGCTATTTATTCGAATTTTTTTGTAGAAATCGATTCTCAAAATAATAATTTCGTGCTCAAAATGGTTTCGCGAAATTCAAAATAGCCGTTAGAGAGCGAAAAAGATAACTAAATTTTTGGAGAGTCAAATATGATTTTGAGTTTCGCGAAAATTACATTGAACACGTCTTCAGATAATTGCAGAAATCATATAAGTAACATTTTTTTTCCAGGCCCTCTCGACGACTTGAGGGATCTACATAAGGCCATGGCAACTCTTTCTCGTGGTAATTTAATGAGTTTAATAATGCCGAAATATTGCTCGAAATAGTTTTGCGAACCGCCATAAAATGAAAAAGACACCTGAAAATTTGGAAATTCAGAGATAATTTAAAATTTAGTGGAATTATTCTGAACAAGGCTTGAGGGGCAGTTTTTGAAAAGCCGGTTGAAAATGGGACGTTTTGTAAATTTTTTATTTCGAATCTTTCCCGGGAAGCTTTTTCTCTTCATTTCGAAAAAAATTCGCTAGGAAAAATTAATTAATTATAAAGAAAAAAATATGGAATTTGGCTTTTTTTATCTCTCTCTTCCAAGTTTATATCATTTTTTTGTTGGTTCATCGCTACACAGAAATTTTTTTCCGGATGATAAGTTGATTCCAGAATAAATAGGATTAAAATCTATAGAATCTTCTATAGTCCAGTTAGCGATTTTTTCAGAATTTGATATTCTTTTGAGTTCTCCAAGTTTTTAGTGATATTTTTGTACATAGGAGATCAAGCCTTCGATATTTTGAGTGTTCAAAAGCGGAAAAGTTCCCCACGAGATAAAATAACGCTACAAGTCAATCTTCTCCTTGATACTTTCATGAATTTTCTCTCTTAAAAGAGTTTTTGAATTGACTTTATTAATTTGAACGCCAGGGACAATGTTTAAAAGTACTTAGGTGGAAGCTTTTATCATAAACAAGTTTTCTAAAAGCCTTCCCAGCGCATTTTCTCTACAGGAAAGGCATTTTTCAAGAATGTTTTTGAAAGAAGAAACTCCAGAAAAGAACGGATAAAAAGGTCTTTTTTCTTGAAAAGACGAGAAAAAGAAGCTTGGAACAGACTTTTTTGTCAGATTTTTAAGAGCCCAAGGGTTTATTTTCTTTCTTAAGCTCCAAGGACCTTGGCCATCGTGTGAATTTTATTAAACACTGACAATTTCGAAAAGAAGACAGGAAAATGATATTTTTTTTCTTGCAGAAGTCGAGAGAGAAATGTTCAATAAAAGTTTCGATCCTTCCGCAAGGATGGCGGTCAACGCCAAACTCAGAAGGAAGCTCCAAAAACTCCGCTTGGTCACACGTTTTCAGAACCAAATGGAGCAAATCGACGAGGTTTTCAGTGAGTTTCTGACTCGATGAATTAACAAGCAAAGTGTGTGAGGTGAGCATGGCAGATCTGGCCCAAACTTTTGAGGTAGGTAGTCCTAGGTATGAGTATTCGAAAACGAAAAGAATTATATGCTTAGCACCATAGGGTACTGAGAAATAGCCTGTCGAAAGTGTACGGAAAAATCTCAAAAACCATTCGAGACTTTTTCTCCGTAAAGTGTCGTGTGTCGTGTGCATACACTGCGCCGATTTCGCACAGAAAATTGCGTTTATGCACTAAGAATAACTGCCAAGATAAACGCGAGACACTGGCGGTACATTGACGAGCTCGCAAACATCTCGCTTTTTTTCTCGCGCCAGTCTCGCATTTTTCTGGGCGCCAGCTCGCACTTTTCTAGGCGTGAGCTCGCATTTCTCTCGCAATTTGAAAATTTCCGAAATGCAATATATATGCGAGGTCGCGCCGAGAAAAATGCGAGGTCGCGCCGAGAGAAATGTGAGATCGCGCCTAGAAAAAAGCGACATTTTTGCGAGTTTGTCAATGTACCGCCACCGACCTCGCGTTTATCTCGTCAGTTATTCTAAGTGTGTAGAGGATTTTCGATTCGTCTTAAAGACCTCGGGGAATACGGCGGCCTGCGCCTTTAATAAGCCCTGTTATTTACGCTCTTAGAACTCTGCCGTTCCTATGACGTCACGTGGGAACGGTAGACATTTTGGATTCGCCCACCGTGTTTTTGGCTCCGCTTTTTCTCCCACTAACAAAAACGCCTTCTTCGGGTTTTCGATTTCCGAAACATCTACTGCTATTTACTATACTCTAACTAGGGAACTACTCGGACTCGGGTACGCATTTCGAGTTGAAACTTTAGTAGCTTATAGACCCGGGTAAGAGTACTTGGAAACAAGAGAGATTATCTGCTGAACCCCATAAGCTCCTGAGAAAAAAAGCTTTTTGAATATGAACATTTTAGGCTTGAAAAATTATCAAATTTTTTTGCTTTCTTTCTTCTTTTGGGCTGGAAAAAAAGTTTTTTTAGAGTTTATCATAGCCGGATAATCCAAGGCGATTGTATTAAAATATAAAAATAAGGTAAAAAAAGCAGTATTCTAAAAAAATTTTTCAAAGCCTAATTTTCACATTTTCTACTAATTTTTTTCTCAGTTGTCTATCGGGTTTAGCAGATATTCTCACTTGTTTTCAAGTATTCTCACTTAGGTCTATAAACCATTAAAGTTTCAACTCGATCCGCGTACCCGAGTCCGAGTAGTTCCCTAGTAAGAAAAACGAGAAAGAGACTTTTTTCACAAAAAAAAACCCAAAGAGAATTCGCCTTTGAGCTCTTCCTGTACATTTCCGATAGGATGTTTCCCAGTTCCCTATGGAGTTTGATTTTTTTTAAAAGTTCCCTAGTGAACCATATCGGAGGTACTCGAGGGTCAAGTCCATCGCATTTCGCTGTAACTGCTCAGAGGTATACCCGTGGTACCATGTATTCCAAAAGTCCGCCTTTAGAGTCTAGAGACTCCCTCCAGATACAATTCTAAAGGTTGGCGTATTGGACCTTCCTGTTTGGGATGTCAGCTGCTTGACACAGGGAAATACAGGCAGGCAGGAGTTAAGGAGAGATAGAGGGGACACGCGGAACCAGCAACCCACCAACTGAGGAACGCGGGGGCGTGGTCGAAGGTTCTCCTATCGCTGGGCTGGTACACATGGTTAGACTTCAGACCCTGCGAAACACCCCAAAGGGTCTCGAAATACCCTTTCTCGATTCGTCTATGGAGATTGTCTTCTTGATTCCCTCTCATTTCATTGATCATTTCGTTGATTATCCAATTTCACCCGTCATTCCTAGGTTTCAAAGTTGCTATGAATAGAAATGATGTGAGAATATGAGTGGTCGATTAAAGGTTTGACACTTTCACAAAAATATAACTTTAATAGATAGTTTATTCACTGCCATTATTTAACATAAAAAAATAATTGAAGAATAGATGATCAAGTGAAGGAATAGGCAGAGAAATTAAACTTTCGTTGTGATCTCTGTTGTGTTGCTTGTTTTCCGAGGCGTTTTTCAAATCCTTTGAAGTAACTAAAAAAGCTTCAACGATTTATGATTAGGAATCTCTGGGAATCTGCTACCATAAATGAGTTATTACAAGGCTATTTTAAATCTGTTTTTAAAGGCATTTGGAGGCTTTGCGAAAAGTTATGGCCAAGAAACTATTTTTAAATTTCTTCGTGGTTAGTTATTCATGCAAAAATGGCGAAATTTCGATTTCTTTCAGATTCAGAAGGTCTTGAAGTACACTCAAGTTGAGAAAATCGGTGGTATGAAAAAAACACCAGCGAAAATTCAAACGGCGACTTTTCCGATTTTTTCGTATCGCTAGGGAACTTTCCGACGGCCACCTTTCCGACGAATCCCTTTCCGACTTTTTTCCCTCAAGTTTTTCGGTTTATAAAACATCTATTAACATCCTATTTCTTTTGTGTTTTTAATCATGAAACAACTACCTACTTTATATAGGAAGATTTAAAACGAAGATTTTATCGAGGAAAAAAGTCGGAAAAAGATTCGTCGGAAAGGTGGCCGTCGGAATGTTCTCTAGCGAAATGAAAAAATCGGAAAATTCGCCGTTTGAATTTTCGCTGGTGTTTTTTTCATACCACCAGAAAATCTGAGAAATAGAAATGTACTGAAAAGGCTGAAAAACTGATTTTCTTTGGTTTTTCTACTTCTAAAGCGTCTATTGTTATTCACTATACCACCATACATGGGATAAGCATGACTGGCGACAGTCCCAGGCTCCACTCCCTTCACTCAATGCCAACCCCCCGTGCTCGAAAAAAAAATTTTTGGCATCGAATTAGTCTAGTTCGATGTCGCTGAATCCGATAATAAAAAGCGTTTTTTTGATCACTTTTGACCTAGAAAAAGCTTCTGCCAGTCAATTGAACTTTACAAAATGAATTTTTTAAAAAAGTTTTTGCCAGCCCCTTTCTCGTTTTTTTGCCAAGTCCCCTCCTCTTTTTCAGCTCCCACCGAGACTATCCCATGTACGTATACCATTAGAAGCACGAGAAAAGAACTTTTTCCACAAAAAACTCAATGATAGTTCGTTTTTGAGTTTGTTCTGTACTTTTTCGATAGGCTATTTCTCAGAACCCTATGGGGCTTAGCAGATAAATCTTTTGGTTTTTGAATACTCTTACCTAGAACTACCTACCAGAGAAGTTTGAACCAGATATGCCATTTTCACTTCAGACACATCCTTCGTAAATAATAATCACTTCTTTTTTCCAGACTCCTTGTTCGCTAAGTTGAGTTTCGAAGAGCCAATGGTAACGGAAGTTGTAATGGAACCCCAACCCAGCCGCGAGTGTGAGTGAAATTCGCATTTTTTAGGAACTGTTTTTTCTTTCTAGTACTTGCAAGGAAGGAGCTTGATTTGTTTGAAATATTATTTATTTGAGCAAAAACTATTTTGATCTCATTCTTTCATCCTTTATTTTTGAATCCCGCAGATGTGTTCGTAGTCTGTTTATATTCCTTTTACGCGAATCTCGCGGCTACGGTATCTTTCGCGTTGATACTTCAGCGCGCGGCCCGATGATCCTTTAATAGCGCTGATTTTTTTAATTTTTCAACCTGTTTAAAAAGATTGAAAAGTGTAGTGGTGAAGCTGCATCGATTTTTCCCTCTTGTAGGACAATGGTCCTTTGATAGCGCTGTCCTTTTTAAACCTTTTTTCAATCTGTTATTAAAGGATCATCCTCGAGTGCGATAAAGTGTCGACGCGATGGATACTGTAGCTATGGAGGCACAGTTAGCTTCTTGACATTGAATACATACGGTCTATCACCAGGGGGTGAAAAAGTTTCTGAGTGACAGAAAATTTTCAAAATAAACACGGCATATATTTTTTTTTTAGACAGAATGGCAAGTTTCACTGAGTAGTTGAACCATGCGCCTTTAATTTGAACTATGCTCCTTTAATAAGAGCCCGATTTCATTGAGTTCGTTTTCTGTTGCATTTTGTCGATATACGGAGAATCTGAAACCAAATCTAAGGAATGTAACAAAAATAGATGCGAATGAGATGTGGATAGTTCGAGAAATTGAGCTCTTATTAAAGGCGCATAGAGGATCGCCGCGATCTACTTTGACACGCAAGTTGAAATCGACTATATAGCCGGTTCACAGACAGATCGGGACTCCTTCCTCCTCCAGACACTGCCTCTTTTATTATCGTGTCAGGACCCTTTTTCCGATGGCTTTAGCAAGTCGTGAATCTACTATAATCATTCCTTTTTTTAGTTGACAAATTCGCGATCCGGTCGGTAAAGGAGAGAAGTCCGTCGGGATGTCGGATCCGAAGACCGGCAATCAAGCTTCGACCTGAACAAAAGAAGAAGTCGACTCGACCGAAGCGCTTGAATTCCCGGCGTCGCGTTCGTAATTACTTCCGAAAGATGGAAGGTAATTTGGCCCAACGACCTGAATAAGCCCATTAAAATGAGAATTTCGATCGCAATTCCTCTCTGAAACTCTTCTTTAAGTCGATTTTCGAATAGTTCTTTGTCTCCGATGTCCCAACAGTTTCGTAACTCATCTATTAACTCTTTTTTTCGGCCTCCCGAAAAGTTTTGTTAGATCCCTTGAGGATACCCTTCAATGGTCCATAAGGTTGCCCCTTTAGTGACCACTCTGGTGTCCTGTTGTTTCTGCTTCCTTTAAATACCCGGATTTTTCTCCAATTTTTCCTTGTCCTTGTCAATTTGTAGCTCATTTACGACATTTTTACGTTTTCATCGCTTTTCCGTTCCTTCAAACACTTTTGAAAGCTCGTTTCGAAGAAACTTGGAACTTGTTGATTTTTTCAAATTTCCACTGTCTTTTTTTATTTTTTCCTTACGAACAGTTTTGAGGCCTTATTAAAGGCACAGAACCCTAATTTATACCTAGGTCCCGCAACGATTTTCATTTTGCACCACTTTTTTCAGTGTTCTTGAAACTGTTTCTCAACCTTCTTGTGTAAAAATGTTGTCGCCTTAATAATTTTCAGCTTTAATGTAGCTATATTTTCTTGTCAAATTTGCCAATTTTTCTAAATCTTCATGTAAAATTTCCTGCATGTTTATTCAACTTCCTTAAATTGCCTGTTGTTATATTTTTGATTTTTCAAATCATTATTTCACCCTTCTTGTTGCACTTGATGTTATTTTTTCTGTTTGTAAAATTTGAGATTTTAGTTTCCAGTTTCATTTTTAATCACTTTTTATTCTTTTTTTCAAGGCGCTCCATTTCACTTTTTACTCCCTTGCCTTTGAAAATACAGGGCTTTTTTCCAGGGTATCCTTTACCTAGCTTTATCCGTCCCTCATGCTTTATCTTCATTTTTTATGCCTTTTTTCATATTTATATTTTGCCTTTCATGTGCCAATCTTGCATAACTGTTTCATCCGTGTAATTTTCCGTTTCTGATAAATTTTTTTTTTCAGTTCTTTGTGTATTTTTATTATGAAGTAGAACGCAGTGAAAGAATATCATGGCTAAAAAAAGGAGAAATTGATTATTTGAGGGGACCGCTATACCAACCACTGTAGGGGCCACTGAAGCTTGCAAAAGTGGTCCCTATAGGGGACATCGATAATTTTTATGAACTCTATGCGAAGAACTAAAAAATAGAATAAAATTGTGAGATTCCTATAGGGTCCACTTAAGGGCAAACGGGTCAAATCCTAAAACCCTAAAAGGACCACCTTGATTTTACCCCTGTAGATACTCCTTTTTCGGCCCCTGTAGTGGTTTTTCTCCCCCAACCCCTATAGGGACCACTTTAAAGTCCATAAGAATGGCATCCTGGATTTTTTTCATGGAAAAAAAGTAAATTTTTTTGAACTTTTTTTGAATTTTTTTCAGTTTATCAAGAATTTTTTTGTGAGTTTTACTACTTTTTTTCTAGAAATTTTTCAAACGATCTGCTCTTTTTGTAGATTTGAATAATTTTTGAAAGCTTCTTTTTTTAAATTTCTACTTTAATAGAAATCGATAGCACCCAAATTGAAAAAGATAGTTTCTATCAATAAATTAAAATTTCTAGAGCTTTAAAATTATTAATAAATATTCATTTTACAAGATAGTTCATTGAAATTTTTAAAAAGAACTTGTTTTTCAACCTATTTTTTTAACAAAAAAATTGGTCAATGCTTCGTTTTTTTCACTTGAAAATGAATCGAAACGTTTCAAAAAAAGCTTTAAAAAGATACAAATTTCGAGAAGTTCAATTCCCATTGACACTTTATCATAGGTTTCAAGACAGTATATACAAAAAAACACGTGTAATTTCCGTTCATTTCTTGCCAGCCAGAGCGTAGCCACCGTAGCCGCCACCGTAGTTGACTGGCGCTGGTGGGAATCCACCGTAACCGCCACCGTAAGACGGGGCGACCGCGTAGCCGCCACCCATCGGTGGTCCGTACATTGGTGGAGGTGGCGGGGCTGGAAAATTTAAATAAAGACGATTTTTGAATATTTTTAAAAGAAAAAGCTTACCGTAACCTCCTCCACAGCCTCCGCCGCACGGGGGTGGTGGTAGGGCTGAAAATTTTGACGATTTTTGAAGGATTCTACTTGAAATTCATGAAAAATCTTGATTTCTGATGGCAATTTCATTGATATTGTTTTTAATAACTTCTCAGGGATGCAAAAAAGGGCGTGTCCAGCCAATTAGAGACATTTTTCGGTAGCGCGACCTATAAAGAACACATTTTTACAGCGAATTTATGTTAAAATTTCTCAAGTTCTTTGAATATTTTTGAAAAAAAATATATCTGGAATCATCAAAATATGAGACTCGAAATTTTGTAAATTTAATAAAAATTAGTTGTTACAGAAACCCGATTCAATAATTTATTTGTATTAACCGTAAAATTTTTTTCATTCCAATCATTCTCGGGTTTTTTTAGAAACAGCCGGTTTTCAAGTTATTTAAAGTTCATCATGTAATTTTTTTAATATTATCCGGCGAATGGTGGATAATGGCCGCTAAAAGGCTCGAAAAAGGCCGCATAAATGCAGCAAAATGAGTCCCTTTATCGAGCTTTTCATTTTTCGGAATTTTAAAGGTTCAATAAATGGTTGAAAAGGGAGAGTGAGCAAAATTGGTGCATAAGGGCCGAGAAAATGGCGCAAAAAGGCAGCAAAAAGGGAACTTTTCTTTGGAGCCTTTTCCACCCTTTCCGACTTTGCCTTTGGAGAAACTTACAAACAGGGTTAGAAACAGTGCTTCTCCTTACTTTGAACCAGTTTGAAAATCTAGAAATCCCTAAACCCTCGATTCTAACACATTTAAATCTCTAAAAACACCTTTCAGTCATTTTTATCATATCATATCAAGTGTCTAGAAACCCGCCTACATACGTTTCAAATCATATATTTTTCTTCATTTCTCTCCTTTTCATTCAGTGCATCTTCCATCCACTAGGTAATAAATCCCTTCCATCGAATTGAATAAGAACATCGAAAAATCTAGCAAGGACTTTTTAAAAAGGGGAGAGGCAGCAGAACTGGTGCAAAACAGCCGATGAAATGGTGCGAAAAGGTAGCAAAAAAGAAGCCTTTGTCACTCTAAACGGAAAATTTTTAGCTTTTTCCCACCCTTTCCGACTTTGCCTATGTTCCAAAGACCGAAAATTTCGAAGATAATTGAAAATCACTTTAGAAATCTTCAACTTGAGCCAAATTCTTTGAAACTCACCAAAACCTCCGCCGCAGCCGCCTCCGCACGGTGGTGGTGGTGGTGGAAGGCTGAAATTTCAATATTTCATGATATTCTCCACGTTAATAAATATTATCAAAGATTGTTCCTGTTAATTTGTAAGAAAAAAGATGTATACTAACCATAGAGATCCGCAGCCGCCTCCGCAACCGCCGCAACCGAATCCGCCGAACAGGAAACCTTGGGCGATCGAGAAAAGAGTGAAGAAAATGATGGAAACTTGCATTCTGGAAAGATTCAACTGTGAGTTTTCATTATATTTTTATGAAAATTCAGTTTGAAAAAAAGAGAAAATTTCAGAAAATCAACAGCTCATTTTTCGATAATTTACCGATAAAAAAATGGATTTTTTTCAGAGTAAAAAGAAGAATTTATAGCTTCTTTTTTTAGACAAAGGAGCTCTGAGAAAACTTGAAATGTCATTTTTGTGTGAGTTTTAAGGAAAAAAATAAGAAAAAAATTCTGAAATTTCGGATGAAATATGTCATTTTTGTACATGAAACTGAAGTTAAAAAGCGGCTTAAAAATTTTTTTCTCAAGAATTCAAAATTTCTTGGATTTTTTTCATTTTTTTACACGGGTCAATACCAAAATGAATCAAACAGTTTTTTTCATTCAAAAAAATTGGCCGTAACTTTAAGGAAAAATTGTTGGATTTTGAGAAGAAATGGATTTTTTGTCCTTTTCATAGCTCAAATTTTTCCTTTTCATTTCTATTCAAGAAACTGTTTTTAGAGGTGCAGAAGCTCTTCATGAACTTGAGTAGTAGCTATTCGCTTCGAGAACCTTTTAAATTTTGTCTATGCGCCTTTAATAAGAGCTTCACAGCACAAAAAGAGCGACGTTGCGAATTTGAACAAAAATTGAAAGATTTGAGAATTTTTCAAACAATTTTGAAGCGATTTGGAAGAAAAAGAGACTTTTTGGGAAAATTTTTTAGTGGCCACTATAGTAGTCAAATCAGTGGTCACTTAAAGGGTTGAAAAATTAGTGGCCACTATAGAGGTCTAAGTGCTAATACTACTACACCATTAAGAATTCTAGTGGCCGCTTTAGGGGTCAATGGATCAACATAACTGGTCCAATCTGTTTGTTTGAAAATTATCCGAGTTACTGGAAGGAATACTGGATGAAAAACTACTGAAGTGGCCACTAAAACGGAAAACAGAGGCCACTATAGAGGCGGGTTTAGTGGCCACTTTAGTGTCCTCTCCAAGTAGTCCTTGGCGAGCCTCTATAGTGGAAAAATTTGGTTTTTGAAGAAAAGACAGAAGAAAAGATAGCGAACCTTGCTGATAATTCTGACAGTTGCCCCGGGTCTTTTTATAGTCCAGAAAGTGAGGTGTGGCCGAGGGTAGTAATGTAATCAGGAGGAAGACAACGTTTTCAATTCGATTCGGCCAAGCTTCAACAGGTTCCGGCGGCCGTTTCGAACTGTCACCGAGGTAATTATTAACTGGAATCTTGCTGCCATTGTTGCCAACTGATTTCCTGGAGTTTAAAGCTGGGAATTTGAAGTGAATTTAAGTAGCTGGACGAGAAAGTTGTGGTAGAAGATCTTTCAGTGGCTCAGAAGCTGTCCGAGAAAGTTGTGAACTGTTCAACGATCATAGGTAAAAAGGGAAAAATCTTCAAAGATCCTTAGAAGGAGCTGAAAATGTTTTTTTCTAGATTTTTTTGATGGTTTTTTTCGAATTATATTAAACATTTCGCTCTCCAAGGTTTTTAAATTTTTTTGATTTCTATCCATTATTCGACTTTCTGAAGCGGATCTTCCAAGGTATTAAAAATATTCTCTTCTAAAACTTTTTGTTTATTCTGAAGTTTTTTTCATATTTTTTTATTGATTTTTCGGACGCGAGGCAACCTACCAGAACAATATTTCTTTTTTTCTTTCCTTATCCGCAATTTAGAGTTTTTTCCTTTTATGATCGCTGCTATACATTTTATATGATGTTCAAATTTTTTTCAACTTCATATTTTTTTCAAATAGAGAAGATTTCATAATGTTCGGAAGCCATTAGCTTAATATTATAAACTTTAAAATTGAAAACAACACTTTTTGGAGTATGCGATAATGCGTCCCGGTGTGTTTACACCATAACTACCATAATTCACGGAACGTTTCGACTGACGTACCGAAAAAACGCCGTGAAATTTTGAAGAAGCAGAAAAGTTCTGAGCAGAAAAAAGTCTGAACCTGCACAAGCTCCTAGTTTTCGAGAAAGGAAACCTCAAAGTCAAAGATTTTTACGATTTTTTTCTTGTTTTGAATTTGTAATGATATCTTTTTAATAAGCTAGTTGAATTTTTATCAATTCAGAAGAAATTCTGACACATTATCGAATCGTTATCATGGAAATCTAGTTCAGTAATCTTTTTGAACCTATTACTTTTTTTCACGATGCATATATTACGAACACAACTGCCGCGGTTTACCAATTAAATCATCTTCCGATGTGACAGCCCCCCTTTGTATCGCATGAAATTGAGTTGAAGTTGAGGGCGTTTCCTTATAAGATGCATTGGATTCCTTGGAAAGTTGATTGGACTTTAAAACATGATTTACTGAGAAGGATAAGTGATAGGACGATGTAAAATTTGACTATTAACAGATTTATTTTTCTTACATGTTAAGAAAGTTAGCTAAGAAGTGAGTTTGAATGTATATTCTGTATCTTGACGATTAAAAAAACCAAAATAAAAACACGCGTTATTCTCAAAAATTATTTGAACTCTCTGTTCTGATATTTTTCTCAACAAGAAAGTTAAATAAATTTTTAAATTAGTTTGGTTTTTTCTTGGTTTTTGGAGGCGGTGCCTTTCTACATCGAGTTTATGAACACAAAACTTTCGAAAGTTATGATTATTTCATGTTATTGAGTAAAATTCAATTTGAACCCATCTGGAAGTTGGAAAATTTCCATTTTCACCTTTACGCGGCTTTATCGGTAAAATTGATGAACGAAATCGAGAGGAAGGGCCTTTCAAGCCATTTCAAGGGATAACTACGATAATTTTCTTATATCTTGTGAAACAAACAATTCGGGAGAGCCCAGATTGAAAATCTATTAATTTTTTTAAAAATATAAAAAAAGTTACGGATCTCTTTTTCTGAAAAAGTTATTAACATGAAAGTTATAATTTCGAAATGTTTTATTTGTCTCTTGATTATTTCATGATATAGAGTAAAATTTTGTTTGAACCAGTCCTGAAGTTGGAAAATTTCAATTTTCACCTTTATCAATATATAAGCTTTGTGTATGGGTGAAAATTTTTTTGATTTTTTGAGTTTTGATCTTCATTTACGGTGAGAATGTTTTTTAACGGTCCGTAATCCTTCACTTGAAAAATTACTTTTGATACTTTGATGGTCCATCTTCGCTGATGTTCTCAGCGTGGACCACACGTTCTCCAGGCGGCTCGGTCTTGCGCGACGGTCATCCAGTGGCGGCCTGGCTGACTGATGTTCTTGCGGAAGTAGTCCGTCCATCTGGTCGGTGGGCGCCCGAGTGGGCGCTTGATGTTTCTCGGAATCCAGTGTGTTAATCTCGTGGACCAGCGGTCGTCTTGTCTGCGGATGACGTGACCGCCCCAACGATGTTTCCCGCGTTGTATGTGCTCTTCTAGATCCCGGATTTGGGATAGTTGACGGAGGTCTGTGCTCCTCTGTTCTTTTTTCCACTGCTCGAAGCGAGTAGTGCCGATGAGAGCACGTTCCAGTGCGCGGTAGGAAGTTCGTAGGGCGGTTGCATTTTTTTCTTCGTGTCAGGCCAAACTTCGGTACCGTAGGAGATGGCAGGGATTATCGACGCTTCGAAGATGTGAGCTCGCAGTTTCGGGTCTTTCAGCTGACTGGTGACTTCTTTGATGGAGTTGAAGGCGGCCCATCCAGCGCGTTTGCGTCTGCCGATCTCTGCTTGCAGGTCGTTCACCATGTTTACTTCCCGGCCAAGGTGGATGTAGGATGTGACCTCCTGAAGGTCGCGGCCCTCAAGGGTGACTTTGCCTTGGTCGCAGAAGCGGTTCTTCATCCACTGCGTCTTCTTGACGTTCATCTTAAGGCCGATCTTCTTGCCGACTTCGTCCAGATCGTTCAGCATGGAGGACAGTTCGGTGGTGGAGCTTGAGAAGAGTACGATGTCGTCGGCGAAGCGGAGGTTTGTGAGGACCTTGCCGTCGATGTTGATGCCTCTGATGTCTGTACTGTCTTCCCAGTTGTGCTCTTCGTCCCATCCAAGTTGGCGCATCGCGTCTTCTAGTGCCGTGGAGAACAACTTGGGGGAGATGGTATCTCCCTGGCGAACACCTTTCCTGATGGGGATCGAAAGCTTCTTGTCGAACAGCTGGATGGTCGTGGACGTTCCCTCGTTGCTGTTGGCGATCAGCTCGACGTACTTCGTGGCGACTCCGGCGGAGGCAAGAGCATTCAAGACGGCGTTGATCTCCACGCTGTCGAAGGCCTTGTAGTAGTCGACGAAGGCCAACGCAAGTGGCATCTGGTGCTCCCGGTGCCGTTCCACCACCTGGGTCAAGGCGTGGATGTGGTCGAGGCAAGAGTAGTTGCGTCGGAAGCCAGCTTGCGAAGGCGGTTGGAAGTTGTCGAGTTGCTTCTCTAGTCTGTTGACGATGACCTTGGTGAACAACTTGTAGACGACCGATAAGAGGGAGATCGGTCTGAAGTTGTTCAGGTCGGTGAGGTCGCCCTTCTTCGGAATGAGGATCGTCTTGGACGTTTTTCCATTGTTCAGGAATAGAGGCTTCGCTCAGGTACTTGGAGAAGTGCCGGGGAAGTAGTCGGTACCGCGAGTCTCCTCCAGCCTTCAGCAGTTCGGATGAGATGTTGTCGGGTCCTGCGGCCGTTCCGACCTTCAGCTTCCTGATGGCGTACTTGACTTCTTCGGGAAGGATCGGGGGTTCATCTTCTGGTGGCGGCGTTGGTGTTCTGGGGACGGGAACGTCGCTTCGGAAGAGTTTCGTGTAGAAGTCGACCGTCAGGCGCTCCATCTCGTTCCTTGACGTCTTCAGCTGGCCGTTCTCGTCCTTCAGTGCTGTCATCACCGTTCGCTCGTCGACGAGCTCGAACTTCTTCTTCTTGAGGCTTTGACGTTTCTCAGCTGTCTGAAGAAGTGCACTCCTGCGTCGGTTGGCTAGAGACTCTTGCACGGCCATTCTGCAGGCTTTGTCGATCGTCAGACGTTCTAGGTGCGTGGCCTGCGGGTCTCG